TTCATTGTTTGCTCTAAATAAGATATGTGGTTTTATCTGTTACATTTCTCTCTGAAATTTTGTATGTATTCCCGAAATTTTTAAATTGCAACTAATACTAACACTTAATACTTACAGTTAACCACAAATCATTCAGTGTTATATCATGTCGTTTTCGATTTGAAAGCAATTAGTATTTCAATAAAACGGGGAGACTCAACTTGACCACGGCTGCTGCAAAGCATCCGAAACTTCGGACCGTAGTTAAAATAATTTTCAAAAAAGTTTAACTAATATGTATCGCGTTTTAAACCGTTAGAGTGTTTATTTTAATAGGTAATACTCGCGTAAACAATAGATAATATACTTTAAATTATTTTATCTTTGGTGAACACAGGCTAAGCTTAGATCCTTTGCATGACAAGTTTGTCTCGTATGTTTAATAAAGAACATTTCGCTCAACATTCCGACAACATAGGAGATATATATATATATATATATATATATATATATCTTAAATTATATATATTATATTTTTTATATCTTAAGATATATTTTCCCCAAAGGGTTTATTTACTTCGATCTAGTAAGATGTGAATAATGATGCCGTTTCAAGCCGAGTAAACAATCCAATTAGGAATATGCATGCGAGAAGACGATAAGATTGGATCGATATTCGATATCCAATGCTCTGATTTGCGACAATATCTGTACACAACAAAGACAACACTGTAATGACCTCATTAATTATTATTATCTGTGGACTGTGGTCGTCTGTCGTTGCCTCGCTTCGCTTTCAAGTATTTATACGCAAACAGATAAATCGCGGTTGTATTTTCTCGTAAGAAATATGCGTTACGTATACTAAATGTGGTATAGTCTATCACAATATTATTTATAGTGTATTTTTTCTAACTTGGCAAAAAACTACAACAAATATGGCCAATTTAACCATAGATAACTTTTTTTTTTTGATTGGACTCTTACGTATTGTGTTCCTAAGGAGCCACGAATACTAACCGGGCGTTTTGGGCGAGCGCGACAGCGCTCGCCGTGTTTCCAATTCCATGTGCTTTAAAAAAAAAGTATTATAGAAATTTTTGGTTCTATGATGTATTTCTCATAATGTTACCTCGCCGTAGAGCACGGAGCAACAATCAAGACTAGAACCAAATGGCTGTCATATTAATAATATCGATATTAGTTCATCCTTATCTATCATAAGTGGGCTTATCTTATATATAGTTTATAACAGCATCTCAGGAAATGGAATATGATAAATCGCTTCAGTAATCACAAGCTAAGACTCTTAAGTAGCCACTTATAATACCAGGCTATGACGTTCTGGAAATATATATTGTCTATGGTTTAGGAAATATTTATATTAATATGTATTTATATTAAAATGTAGGCAACAAACAAGTGCGAGCGCCACCGTTCGATCCAGGTTCTACACCCCGGGGATACAGTGTAATCGTTTCGGTCAGGCAGGGCACAACAGTCCGAATTCTCGTTTGATAAGTGGAAAATGGAATTTAACACACGTTTAAATAAAACACGTTAACTTTTTAAATCGCGTAATGTATTAGTTAACTAATTTATTTTAACACGACGTTTCGAATGCTTTGCAGCAGCCGAAGTTACGGTCCCGTATTTTCTTCAAATGTGCCCTACTCGCGTATACCTACAGATAATATAGATTTCATTATTTTTATCTGTGGCGAACACAGGCTAAGCTTCCATGACGAGTTTGTCTCAGGTGTTTAATAATTATTTCTATTTGTCCCAACTATTCGGCTTCAAATGCCAACATCATGCCTATATTGTATTTTTTGTTAATCCACCTTATATTACGTTAATTGTTTTTGGTTTAATTGTGTGATTTAGCTATTTAAAGTCCTATGTTTAGAGGTTTTTTCTATTTATAGTTAAACTTACATTCTAAACTATTATTATGTACCTCTTTATTTAAAATTGTTTATTTGTGCTGCACAAACATTTTATTTGAGAAATGAGAAAGGTAATTCATTGTACAAATTGTATTACACGGAAACAGAAAGACTTTTTCATCCGTCTTTTCATGGTACTTCATCGTCATGAAACAGCATCGGTAAACAAAAGGCACTCATCCCATTTTCAATTCAATTCACGGCAAAGTGGAACCGCTGCGATCGAAAAAACGAAAAGGAAAACACAGTGAGATTATATTAAGCAGCATTTACTCAATTTGGAAAGGGTACACCCATCCGGATTTGCTTATTTCATTTCTTCTTGGATCTTCTTTATTGGCAAGTGGTTTAAGTTATAGCGTTTTTATTGAAAAGGCAAATTCATGAAACTATAAACAAATGACAGTCGATGGGAATGCTGACGGCCTCGTTGGTGTAATGGTAGCAATGTATGGCTAATAAACAACGGGTCGTGGGTTCAATGCCCACCGGTTCCAACGTGTTTATAATTTATAATTTCTCTGATACATGTTGGACTTCGTCTGGAAATCTGGATATAATTAGTAGGAATATGGAAATTGCGAAGTTAGTAACCGTCGTCCACAGATGGAAAAGCCGAAGTTTAATCGCGTTGCGGTTTCAATCTGTGGATTTCAGAATTTTCAAACCCAAAACAGGTAGACATCGCATCTTGTTTAGATGTTATATGGCTGGGGTATTTGGTCTAGCGAGTGAACTCTATGCTGTCCACCCTTATCATAAAAAAATTGGATATCTAACACATCCGTCACTTGAATTGTTACCAATGTATCCTTTCTCTCCTTCTTCAACTGATGAGGAGAATATACAAAAGAGAAAGAAGTCATGGCTGCGTGAGCATCATTAAAACTGTAATTTTACCATTAAATCTCATATGCAAGCCACATCGGAGAGACACCGGAAGAAGAAGAACTATTCTCTATTCATAATTGTATATAATTTGTTTACCCAGACCTTCTTTTTGAACATATATGGGTCATGACAGTTTCATTTTACAAGGGCACATTTTCAGGTTTAAGTTCTGTCTTATTTATATCTTTATACTATAACATATTATGTAACCTGGCATTAACGCAATTATTATGAAAATTTGACATCTCATTGTAATTAAGTAATTCGACGCTTATCTTTATAATATATATACATATATGGATTGACCAAATGCAAGGTTTTATCATAAAGCAGATTTTGAATAATTGTACTGTTAGTTCTCTCATTACATTTTTATAATAAACGGTTACGTAAATTTCCTTACAAGGTATAGTAATAAGCTTAACGGTGTGGCAAAGAAATAATTTGGATTTATTAACATGGAGCAAAGCTTTAAAACAAATAAAAGAGAACAGGGAATCGCGCTGCGAATCCCGACGTTTTCTTTTATGCCTTATTTAGCCCCTTAACACAACATGGCAGATGTTAGGCTTTACGTTGCTAGACAGAATCGTATATGATAATCCTGAGTGCACATAGGGTTTTGTATTTTTAATGGCGGACAGCATTTTCAATTATATTTAGTACGCAATTTGAGATCACGGTCAAGACAGTCGAATTAATTGATAAAGTTAAGTTAAATACTGTCTATAGTTTACGCGAGTAGTACACATTTAAATAAAACACTTCAACGGTTTAAAACGTGATTATATTAATTAAAGTTATTTGAAAATGATTTTTAACTTCGGCTCGACGTTTCGGATGCTTTCTCTCGGACGGACTCATTTTAAAATAAGTTCAACTAATATATCGCGTTTTAAACCGCTAAAGTGTTTTATTTAAAGGTTAAGTTGTTTTTAAGCGACGACCTAACGTAATCTACGAAACATGGAGTGTTATTTTTGGAATAAATCTTCACTAACTCCCATAATTTAATAGTTAAACAAGAGAGGTCTTGGTTTCAAATTTTAGGAAACGATGCATTTATTCAGTAGGGTAGGGCATAGAAGTCTAACTTCTATTTGCTTGTTAATCATCAGTGCTTCTAAATAAAACCGTATACAAGTATTTGCTTGTATATAAAACCATCTATCAGTAGTGCATTAGACATAGAAGCTTGTAGGCCCCTGTCCCAGATGGGGACATAGACACTTTTTTGCCCCACCGGGCTTTTCTAAGATATCTGCCACCGGTCGGTCAATACCCCACCTCACCTGCAGTCAAGTAACACTAAACCGACGAAGTAGACATGTCCTTATTGTTCGATGAAATGTGATAACTTAACGTAAGAAATATTGTATATCTTTGGGTACCTATAAGGCAATACGTTTTGTGCTAATGGAGTAGTTCGAATATTGGAAACAACAGGATATCTTGTTGCAGTGAAAACGTGACCCACGTTTTTGTATTTATTTTGTCCCTTCTATATTTAGGTGCATATTAATGTACAACAGCTGGACACAGGTCTATGTTGCTATAAAAGAGATCGTTTTAAGACCACGCTGTTCGAGTAGAGGTTGCCGGGCTATGATAATATAAGAAACAAGATAATATTTATACTTTTGATGTCTATTGCTTTTAATTCTCATTATTTTAATTCGTTTGTTTGTTACGCTTTGCTTTCTTTACTAGTTTTGAATGTAAAAAGATTTAAAATTTATATAGAAAATATATCAATAAATGAAATAAGTTGTTTCTTAAAGGCGCCCTTTGTTAATAACAATATATATTTTTTTGTTAATTTATGTTTCCATACAAAAAACGGCTGGATAAACAACGCGTTTTATGGACGTGTTAGAAAAGGTAGAATCTTTTTATACAAAAGAGTAACGTCAGCGATAGCAGGAGTTTCTAAGTACTACCATCTGTTAACCTCATAAATGAATAGCTAAATAAATAACTTATTGCACACACGTAAAGCTGAAGGATTAAGGTGTCAATAAAATTTGATGCGTGCGCGGTGCTCGTTCTCCAAGCTTAAATGTAAGTGCGGTTGTCTGACGATGATCCCTTTATGCCATCTCATATTTTCCCAGGGAAATGTGACACAGGAAAAATGGATCTCGTGATCCAGAAATCCTGACGTTTTATTTGTAACGTGCTATGACAGGATCTCAGGTAAGACTATGGAGTTTGCGTCTCGTGAATATTTCCGTTAAAATAATACGATAACATCCACATAGTAGCGGAGCATATATTATGAGATCCGCCCATTGCTTTATGCTATTTGCATATTTATATTTCGCGTGTAAAATTTTATCGCGAAAACAAAATATAAAAATTAAACGTCAACTACATTTTAAAAGTGACAAGTGAGTGCATTTTGAATTTTTGCAAGCGTTCCCTCTATGTAGGCCACTAAGGAATTGGGTCATACGTTTTATAAAATGTCTGCTGCAAATGTGAACCGGTAGATATATTTTATTTGATCACACGCTTGCGGAAATTCGTATAAAGTGATGAAGACATAAAGTCTCCATTTGCATACATTTATTCAGCGGTGTTCCGGAACGTAAAAGTCGTCGTAGCGGAGTCAGCTCAACGCAGGCTATAACTTCGGGTTTAGCTCAACCCTAAACGATATTTAAGTTTATATCAATTAAAACATATTTTTGTGCTAAGTACATAAAAATAATTCATTAAAATATTGCAGAAAACAGCGGAAAATTAGTAGATACTCTTGAACGAATATTTGGGTTGTAAAAAATACATTATTAAATAGTAATAAATAAAATTTAATTACGAGCTCAATGGTATAATACTAGCAATGTATGGCTAATGTATGGCATTGTCCCATATCCAACATGTTTCTAATCAATCTGATTATTTTAAATGGCTGGTAGAAATATTGAAATTCCGTATGGGTTCAAGAACCGCCGTCCACAGATGAAAAGCTGGGAAAAATCGATTTTCGGTTACCCTCAACGCATCTTGGTTAGATGTTCTACAGCTGAGGAGTTTCATCACCATCAAGCGATCCTCATGCTTGTCTATCATCCTCAATCATAAAAAAATCTGTGGGCATTATTATACTCTAGTGGACCATTCGCTAACAGATCGCAATTAGGTAAAAAAAACTTTCAAGTATTTTTTTTTGCAGTCATGACCTTAAATAAGTGTGGTTTATGTAGGTTCGAGACCCGCTTACAATTTTCAATCGAAAGTAATTCCATAAATGTGTGTAAAAAAGATTAAAATACTCCTAATAAAATTGAAAATACTGGCCGGATTTTTTATTACAGAAGAGAATAATATTGTATGCCGTAAATATCGATGCGGTCTGTGATAAGCTAACATATCCTGTATCGGGAAGCTATAACACATTTTATACGTCTATTATGTTAGATGGATGTTGAACGAGACCCAAAGGTTTCAGCCTAATGTCCCTGAGGAAATATGGGTTCTGTATGTATTTATGGCAAGATACTAAATAGTTGCCCTATATTTCATTGTGATTTTAACCGGTTTTAGTAATATTAGTATAGTTTACAAAAGAGCCACTTTTAACTAAAATAATCTATAGTTCATTTATAAAGCTAAAGAGTTCGTTTGTTTGTTTGTCTGCACGCGCTAATCTTAGAAACGACTGGTTCGATCTTATTTTTGTTGAGTTTATTTATCGAGGACAGCAATAGTACATGACAAATTACGCTGGACGAATAGGAGTAAAGGACAGTGGTAAATGTGAAAAAAACGGGAAAATTTTTCTTTTGGGTTTCAAAAAATATCTATGAAACATATGCTTTTTAACACTTTCAAAACGAAAAAAAAAAAAAAAAGGGGGGGAAAAAAAAAAAAAAAAAAATTAAAACCAAAAAAAAAAAAAAAAAAGGGGGGAGAAAAAAACGCCCAAGGGAAGAAATCCAAAAAATATTATTCCTTACAATAATTATTTACACTTAAAGAAAAGGGGATTAAAAGTCATTACAGATTTACAGTATATAAGAGATCAGATATTAACCATTGAACTAACATAATATAAAGCTTTCCCCTTTATAACATATATATATATATACACATAGTTTCTGGTGGAATAATATTATTTATTAAACATGCTTACATGCTTAGTTCTTCTGAGTTATCATTACAATTCACGTTTCATTATAATGATCAACGTTATAATTAGACCAAATATTCGTTATTAAAGCGTGGGATAAACACTGAAAGTGGCGTTACACGTGGAGTATAATAACTTTGATTTTATACAACTTGATTACATACAATAGTAAAAAAATTGCATTTATTTTTCTAACTAACATCATCATCAATGGCTATACAGCCCCTTGTGGGCCCTAGCCTTCACTAGTCGCTTCTGTCATCGCAATCTATCCCATGCTTCCCGTTTCTAGTTCTGGATGCCCAAAATCTCCTAGGTCCTTAGCAACTCCATCCCTTTGGTTGCGAGTTCAGCAAGGATTGGTGCTCTTTTTAGGCCAGTCTGTGTACATGTCCCAGACACTTATTTTTGTTGATTTTAATGAATTGGACGATATTGGCTTTTTCTAACTATAATAGTTATTAGTACAGGTATAGTTTACTATTATGAATTCATGTTTCTATAGAACTAGTGTCTTCGGGAAATAGACACATCAACAAAGATTTAATAAACTAAGACTTTTCCCAAATAAGTTTAACTAATCCGAAATCGGGCCGAATTAAAATCATTTTCAAATAAGGTTAACTAATATACGCGTTTTAAACCGTTAAATTTTATTTAAATTAGCATTATTATTATTTCGTAGTATGGCTATGATAGTCATAATTTCTTATTTATGAAATATGTATGTTGAATCCCCAAAATAACTATTATTAAGTACTTATGCTCATTTTTATTGCTAAAACAATGTAACCTGTAACAGAGATTGTCCCCCATAAATATGTTGCAAAAAATTGCGTTAAGTCCTCGTTCGAATCCTGGGGAATCAATAAATTTTTTGAGAAGTCTGATCAAATACTTGCCTGTAAAATAATTTATCAGTGAAACGGACACATAAATGTGTTCCCAAAACTGATGTTCTAGTAACTTACCTGTAGGAATCAAATTAAAATGAGAAAAATGTACTTATTAAGGCCCTAAAACAGAAAGGAAACACTTATATTGGCGTGGAACTTTACTCATTAATTATCCTTAGAGAAATTAGAAGGTACTTATAAGACATCGGATAAAGTATCTTTAATTAATACGGCGTAATCCCGACCCAAAACAATACACCCGAGACACCAGAAATCTTAAAGACAATGGGGTTTCAGCTGAAGGACATTTGTAGAGTTATCCAGGAGGATAGAAAATTAAATTAAGTACGCTTCACTCGGCCTCTAGCGATGAGCACTGAATAGTCTGCATAATTGTAATGTAATATTAATAAAATTTAATATTTCATTCATCGTTTGTAAAGCCAAACGTATTTGAATGTTTCTATTTGAGGAATCAGATTGCATTTTAATTAAATTCCAGATTGAGTTCAAAACTGACGTGTATTTTATACATTTAGGATTATGGCTCTGTATTAAAACATTTTGTTTAACTAAATATTAAAATTAGTTTATTATGAAAATAAATTTTTTAACCATTATTCTAAATTAACGATATTTGTGTTACGTTACGTTATTATATGAACTTTAAGATGTTACGGAAGAATAAGAAAGAAGATTTGAAGGCTATTGGAACATTGTTCACATAGGCTACTAGATAAGATAGAGATAGAAGAATAGATAATATTTACTGTTTGCATACTAATTTGTTTCGCCTACCTTGCACATCGCATTTTCTCGATTTATTTATTTTAATTTCTTAACTTTAGGTTGCCTGGAAGTAATCGCTTGTTAGCGATAAGGTCACCTATAAGCACTCTATCCTAGTATACAAGTATTTATTATGTATCTTAATTATTTTTTGTGCAATAAAGAATGAAAAAATAAATAAATAAAATCGCAGTCTTATCTACGTTTTATTACTTGATTTTTTTTTATTTAACTTAATTAGATACTGTCTATACTTAATGGTCTTTAACTTAATTCCCGAATAATATTTTATAAGGTTGCTTCCCTAAGCTGTCCATATTGGTGGATATTTGACTAATTTTACTTTTGACTACATGAAACAAAATTATCTTAATATTACTAGAACTCCTTAGTACTCGATAAAGTAAACTGACAAAAAAAATGTTGCTACTAAAAATGAAGTTGAAAAGTTAAACAATATATACTTTACACTTTTCAACTTCATATTTGGTTTACTTATGTCTAGTAAAGACTAAAAAAGCTTGATTCGAACGTAGAAATTCACAGATTAAAAATTACTTCCAGGTGTGCAACAAGGTGTTTGGCAACGCGTCTGCTTTGGCGAAACACAAGCTAACGCATAGTGATGAGCGAAAATATGTTTGCATTACCTGCGCAAAGGCATTCAAGCGGCAGGATCATCTGTAAGTAATTCCTATGCAACGGTTAATAAAACGCGACTATTACTTGAATTAGTAAGGACGTATTGATTTTTAAGTTTAGTTTAAAAAAAATATTATTTTCCAGAAACTTAATTATTTACTTCAAATAGATTAAAACTAAATGCCTTAAAGTTATATTACTTACTGTATTATAAAATCAATATACTCGTCCCGACTAGATCAAAGGGTTTAATAAATAAAAGTGTTTTTATTGTACGTGTTACAACATAAAAAATTCATAGGTCTCCTATAATATATCTATAATGGTATAAATCGTAATATATCGTGTTATCTCGTTACGCAAGTGCAAAATTTAGACCTAGATGTTATGTAAATGAACACAAGGCTTTAAGTAACTATATGATAAAAAAAAAAAAAGAAAAAAAAAAAAAAAAAAAAAAAAAAAAAAAAAAAAAAAAAAAAAAAAAAAAAAAAAAATATATAAAAAAAAAAAAAAAAAAAAAAAAATTTTTTTTTTTTATTTTTCCTCGGGGGTTTTTTTGGTTAAAAAAATTTTTTTTTCCCTAAAATTTTTTAAAAAAAAAAAAAAAAAAAAATTACAAAAAAATTTTGAAAAATTTGGGACGGGAAAAAAAACAGAAGGAATTTTTTTTCAAAAAAAACTATAAATTGGTAACAATTCAGAGATTTAATGTCGTTTAATGAAAATGCTTAAATCAATCTTCAGCATTTGAAACACATATGTGCCGTAACATATATTCTTATATAATAATTAAATACAAGATAAATCATTATTGCAAACAAACATAAAAAAATAAAGCATACGAATCAAATTGATAACACTCTTTTTTGAAGTTGGTTAAAACAATAGAATAATCACATTGATATAAGTGACGTATATGCAAATTACTTCCGCTACTTCTTATTTTAGTCTACACTGAGTGTCCCTTGTATGATAGGTGCACCTTCTACAAACACATGTTCATAGCAAGGTGTCCCTTTAATCGCCGAAGCTGGCACCCCACATGAATATTAATGGCAGCGTGTTCATAATGCTTGTATTGAGTAAAGTGGTCATGTTATCCGATGACCTACATCTTGCGATTCCCTTAGTCATGTGGGAATCTAGTCAAATTATCATATTTACCTTGTTGCTTATAACAGACACATAAATCACTCTATACGTTCCAGGTCAATCGTGATCATAGGGGTATTAAGTTTAAATGTGTACTCTAACTAAACTACAGATAATACTGAATGTTATTGAACTGTACTGATATTTCAAATTTTGAAGTTAGTTAATATGTTAAAAATTATAAGCTTTCTTAACAAAGTTAGAATTTGTCGCTATAGTCTGGACTATGTAAATTCTATCTGGGAAAAAAGCGCCGTCCACAGAGAGAAAAGGTGTAAAGTAAAAATCCGCGTTTCGTTCACAGTCTGTGATCGACAGCATACCTTTACTCAACTCCAAATGAATATGACTGAATATTTTATGCACTACAAGTTTCAGAAAATCAAAAAAATAAATAAAATATTATTGTTCACCAGTTAAGTCTTATACAAAAGTTGCAATTATGTCTACATATCTAAGATCTCGAAGCAATACAGTAAATTTTTATAACCATCCTATTGCTTCGGGAACCAGGTTATCTTAGGAACGGAACAATATGAAAGTATAATGTGAATAGCTTAAGAATAGTGGACTATTTCTTATATTAAATTTAATTCGCCATTTTAAATGCAGGAACGGACACATGCTAACACACAGGAATAAGAAGCCCTACGAATGCAAAGCAGATGGATGTGGCAAGTCCTACTGTGATGCTCGTTCACTGCGAAGGCACACTGAAAATCACCACCATCCCGATAAGAGTAAATATATCACTTTGTTTTCATTTCTTACTCTACCTTACAACCTGATCACAGAATACTCGACGATGCGAACGCCAACGCATCTAGTGATAACTTGTAATGTTGTTATAAACGCACACACAATAGCGATCGGCGATAAGACAGGCGAAGCAAACGAACAGAAACATTAATTGTATGGGACGAACAGCATATATGTTTCACTGATCACATCTCTCATATTACGTCATGACAGCCTATGTAACCAAATGGTTAAACGTGTCAGTATCACGCTCAGCGCGAGAGGTCTTGGGTTCGAATCTTGGGGAAATAATAGATTGTTTCCATCGGGCAGGGCACATCTGATCAAATAATTGTACGTAGAGCTTGTTAATGATCTGATCAGTTAAACGGACATAGATGATCAAATTTCAATAATAGGTAGGTCATATGGCTTGCTTTGAGCTAAAGTCTCGCGGCTATAATTTTCAATGTGACCTGAGCTTCAAAAGCTTAACTAGAATTATTTAATTAACATAAGCACATACACGCCTTTTTGATAGTTTAAATAGACGGGATTTAGTAATTTCAACATCGCTATTTGAGCAAACCTGTTATTTAATATTCTGTGCACCCGATATAAATGCTGACCGAGTTTTTGTTTTTTAGCTGCACGTTTTCATATTTCCAGAGCAAAACTGCTAATTTCCATATTTAAATCACGTGTCCCGATCGTTTTTCAGACGGCAGCAAGGAGAGTTCGGGCAGTATTGAACGTGAGCCGACTGCTGCCCGCGTCGCGTCTCCCATCTCGCCAGCGCGTGCGACCCTCTCAGAAGTAAGTTAAGTCACTTGACAAATGTTTGTATATAATTATGAGAACAAATATATGTCACAAGTGAAATGTTATATCTTTGAATGTCATTCGAGGCGAAATGCAAAACATCCATCGTGACTGGACTATAAAGTCGGACTCTATAGTACAGACATGATGTAGGTGACCGGGCTATAGAGTTAGACTCAATAGTCCAGTCACCAACATTTAAAAGTTATGACAGAACAACAACTAAGATGTAGATTCAGATACATTTTATAAACATTGCTTCGGTCTCAAATTGTCGGAATCAATAAGAAGGCGCACATAAGTAAGTCCTTACAATAAAATCGTATAGTGCAGCAGACATAAATGTGTCTGCCCCATGCCCTACATATTGGAAACGGATCTCGCACACTCTTATAATTAATTACGATATAACACACAGCAAAAGAGTGCTGGCGCTCAATCAGATCATTTCAGTACAAGTGGAACTGGCTGGCGGCTTTCCAATCGAGCGTGTGTAAAATTCAAAGCCGGTCGTCCCTATTAATTAAGCAATTAGCCTGAATCCCGCTTGTCTGCTCTTTTAATTTCACGCTACCATTAAAGGTTTTCTGGAAAAAGGAAATAATAGCGGTCGTGTTCCCCTTTATAATTCGTTTTGAACAAAATACAACTGTTGCTCGTAAAAATGTACTGGCGGCGCTTTCCAGTTATTTTTTTTTAAGACAAAAGAACTGAAATTATTAAATTACAACAACGCTTCCTTTTCATTATTGACCTATAAAAATATAAACACATTAAAATGTCGTTAATTTAAAACAGATAACCTAGTAGTATAAATATTACACAGCGGTAAAGTTCTAATATTTGCGATAATAGAGTTTAGCTTATTCTCGGAAAGCATGGCTTGTATAGGATAGGGCGATAAAGATTAATCTTATCATATAATATAATACTTAACGCCAACAAAAAGACGTGGAAATTTAAAACAAATGAAAATTTTATATTTTCATAAATACAAATATATCGAAAAGTAAAATACGCATACGCAGGCAGTACACATTTGAATAAAATACTTTATTCGTTAAAAACGCGAACTATATTATTTAACAAAATTAACTTAGCCCCGACGTACGGCGAAAAAATATTTCAGAAAGATTGAGAGTTGTAAGAGTTGGTAAGCAACAACATACATTTCTGTCCAAGATTCGAATCTCACAATCCACTAAATAATCAACTTATTATATTATTCTTAAATAATTTTTCAGTAGTCCTATAATATTATTATAATAAGGATACTTTGTAGCTGTAGCCTGTAACTATTTCTACCTTATCGTTCGGCCGATGTGAGCGAGAAGACGTTCCCAACATTTCACCATCACGTGTGGACGGCATCATCACATCGGCCAAACAGCCCAAAAGGCAATGATATGCTGAACGATGGCCGTGAAAGCCTTACACAATGTATTTCTACCTTTTCAGATGAGTAATGGCTCTGAAAAAACCAGTATCACGACGACCATCACCACTAACGGTGATAACACACCACCTCGAACGCCACCAGCTCAACCAACGCCAACAACTGCGCCAGCTCGACCGAAACCAAAAACAGTGAAACCAAAAATATTGCCTGTGGTGAGTTACAATCAATTTAAAGTAGCTAAATCTAATCTCTCTCTATCTCTATCTAAAGTAGCTCTGTTAGCGACTACATCTGCGTAGAATTGTTATTTTGGGCACGAAAGTTTGTTTTTGCAAACGTCCTCTTCATCTTTATAAAATTAAGCTCATTTGCTCACGACGTTGGTTCGCGCGTCGTCGTTATTGCAAGTCCATCTCAAAGAATAGTCATATAGTGTAACGGACATTGTTTAATATCATTTAAAGAGAAATCATCGTTTCATATAGGGTTTTTGGGTATCTTGATCTTTACCCTAAAATTTTCCAATTTCCGCTGTTTTTTTGGCTCCACGAGTACAGCGCAATATTTTTATAGCGATAACATACTGTCTGTAGTTTACGCGCGTCGTACACACATTTAAAAAAAACACTTTAACGGTTTAAAACGCGTTATTAGTTAAACTTATTTGAAAATGATTTTTAACTTCGGCCCGACGTTTCGTCTTTGCAGCAGCCGTGACCACAGCTAAGTTAAAAATCATTTTCAAATAAGTTTAACTAATATATCGCGTTTTAATCCGTTAAAGTGTTTTATTTAAAAGCCGATAACATTCCTCGATAAATGGTCACACCAATACAAAAAAATTCAATTCGAACTAGTATTTCCTGAGATGTGCACGATCAAACAAACAAACTCTTCAGCTTCGCTTACGTTAGCTTAATTTGTATTGCTACGCGTCGTAGCACGCCGTAGCCGTCGTAGCCTCATTATAGACCGAAGTATAATATTTTTTATAATAAAGGAGGCATATTATAATTAATTTTAATGTAATAAAATTAATATAATCAAAACAATATTGTAATAATAATAAACTATATCAAATATTTCCTGAAGTATAAAAAATAGAAAATAATTGTTTGACTTACTATATCAAATTACATCCCGCGTTAACACTTTTGGGGGATAAAAAATAAAAATAGTATGTATCTTTCGTGACATTGATAACAAATGTTTATAAATAATTTACACAGTTAGTAAAGGAATAACAGACGAGCACTTTCATTTATAAACTTATACATTACACTATATATAAATTCAAAAGCCGTAGAATAATATTTCTGAACGGGCATAAACAATAGAACACAAACAAAGTTTGCATACATTTATTAATTTTGCTGAGTCTTAGGGGTGAAAAAAATTGGGGATCCGTGAGAAGATTGCGAGTTACACGCGAATTCTTATGTAAATCGGCTAATTGTAACGCTCCTGATCTGATTCCAAGCTGAATCCGAACGAAACATCGAATGAAATCGCCTATTCATCCCCTTTGCTATTAATAATTCACCTGAGGGTAGGGTTACAGGACTATACATGAAAAGCTCCAAATTGCTGCAATAGTATTTAATGTAGTGTTTTAAAGCGGTATTATTCCTAACTCTGTCTACGTCAAGTGTCCGCGATAGTGTCGACATATTGTCACAATAACATTAGACTGTTTAATGAACAACAATATTGTTACACCGAGTCGCTCTTGTTTTTTTAACTACGAACGGTAAATAAAGATTTTTCGAGCTAGCCAACATTAAGGTTTTTAATATTTCCTTCACTTATTTAATATTTATGTTAAGTTTTAACTCAGTTTTGTTTATTGTATATAAATAATTGTCTTAAACAATGTATACTGCGTCGATAAAGATATATGACAAAACTTGTTATCCCTAGATGATTTTTTATAATAAATAAATGTAATGGCAACCCTATATAACGTAGTTCAACATCTACATAGGACACGTGTATAGTGCGATAGACGCACGTATTTGAACACGACGTGACTCAGATAGATAACAGATTTGATTCGTAATTTTATTTGGCTCTGTTGTTGGTTGAATAACTACATGGATGTATGACCCACTTCGAATCATTTTTATATTGTGTCTCCGTAAGCTCTTTTTCTATTATTATTGTGTAATTCATATTAAACGACTAATCTGGAATTACGTACATTTTTCTATTTAAACATACATTTTTAATTGTTAAAAACATGCTTTCCCAAACTGACTTCAAATGCTAAAGTGAGTTTGTTTGGTTGCCCTCACTTTGCAAAGAATAAGCAAACAAAACAACTTGATTTTGTCATAAAACAATTCTTTTAAGTTGTAAAAAGAATAGAGGAAAATATTTTTTCTGTTATACATAATTATTTTTTACAAATTTTTTAATTATAACTTGATAAAATCAATTATGTTAAAAACCACTAATTTAATAATTTAAATATAACGTTATTTGAATTTTACGGGTTTAAAACGCGTATAATAATCTAACTTCATAAGAACTTCTAGACCACAGACAAGAATTAATAATGCAGAATTATGATCTTTATATATTTCAGAAATTTAAAGGAAAGAAAAATCCATTTTTAAAAGCCATATATCATGTCTCTAAAATGCATTAATTAATCTCCAACCCCATGCAAAGTCGGTTGTCACGTATTAGGGAGAGACGATTCGCGATCAATGCGAGACCCTGTCACCTGTTAGCAACCCCTGATTACTCAAGTTCGCCAACTAAACGACTAGAATAATATTCTTGTTGCAATTCTAGTTTGATGAGATTCTTATGAGCACAATCCACCCCTGTCGTGGGAACATTTACGTGTTCTAGTACGCATCGTATAAAAGATCGAGTATTGTGCGATAGATATGTAACTATTGATATATATTGCAAACTTATATATAGCCTATAACATTCTGTGTACGACTATTGTTTTAGGGTAACTTTACGTTTTATTTTTTTTATAAATTGTGTAAGGCCTTCACGTCCACCGTTTGGCGTATCATTCTTCGAACAATCGAGGAGCTAACATCTGCCATCCGCTCGTGATGGTGAAACGACGAGAAACTCTTCTCGCTCTTGTAAGCCGAATATCCCAAAAAACAATGATATGCTTATATTATTATGTTCTTAACCTCTATTATCTCATTTGAAGAAATATTTTAAATTCATACATGCATTATTTATTTATTAAACTTTATTAATCGTGAACACCACTAGATTGCTTTACGTATATAAAAACTTATAAACTAGTTAATAAATAATAGGTGGCTTTATAAACAGCGATTTCTTTCAGGCAACCAAATGTGTAGGGGAAACAAAAATAAAGGACTATAAGTAGGTGGTGCTAGAGATCTTGAAAAACAAAGGCAATTAAGAACTGGAAAGATAGTTTTTGAAAACTGAGGTCTTGAAAGATCGGTGAGATTGAGCTTTTCTGATATCTAAGAGAGTTCCAGAGATTAATGGATTTAGTAAGGGGGATTATAACATTCATCTACTAACAAAAACATTTTGTATAATAAATTCTGAAGTTCAAGGACAAAATTCGGATATACCAGTAAACATACATAAGCTTATTTATATGACTTGCTGAAACATTGTACTGTCGACAAATTTCGATCACTGCCAGGGATACGTTATACACAAGTACACGGTAGCACAGAGTGTGTTATTCATATTGTCTTTGTTAACTATGTACCTATACAAATTACACCTTACTTATGAATACAATGAAGCACAGTTACACATAATCCCTTTAAATCTATGATCGAATATTACACATTCATTAACTAAGACTGAATGTACAACGCAAGCGTAGTAACGAGCAATCATGCGTGAATAGTATTTCATTATTAATAACATTACCAGACTATTGACTCTGACACCAGCCACAATAGACCTCAGCGGGACTCTATTGAAAGACAATCCGCGTCGGAATCACACTGATGTATGCCTGATGAGGGGTCGACATAAAACGGTCGTGTAACTACAGTGGTGGGCTTTATTAAAAGCACTCACTTTGATCGCGGGCTCGATTTGACGTCACCTGCAGGAAGCAATAAAGGCCGGCACAAACACGGGTTCATAATTACAAACGGCCCGACGCAGTTTTGTTCACAATATATTGACAGCGGTATGCCTTTGAGCGAAATAAATCCGCTTTGTGCCACTTCATTACGGAACGGCCGATGATGGAATTATTACAAAATAATTTATAATTATGCACGCAGCGGCGGTGCGGGGCGGCTTTCGAAATACCAATCGCCAATCGCTTTGTACCTGTAACCATTTTCATATCAATTGAAGGTGTGTTTATTGTATTTGTAGTTTATGCGAGTATTACATAAAATGCAATAATTTAAATTTAAAAAATGTATTAGTTAACGTATATATCGTCCCTCCGTGATCACAGCTGCTACAAAGCATTCCAAACGTCGGACCTTCGTTAAAATAAATGGTTAATAAGTTGACTAAAACATTTCGCGTTTCAAATCGTTAAAATTGGTTTTATTTAAATGTGCACTAGTCGCGTAAACTACATATAACTAAATAAAACCACTTAAACAAGTTAATAAGCGAATTATATTTAAGTTTATAAACTTTAGGGTAGGTGAATTTATTCAGTTATGTTGATTTTAAAAAATCATGTTTTTAAAAGCTACCAAAAAAAAGGTTTAAATATCTCAAGTGTTTTTCAAATACTTGTCATAACAATCTTTTCACACAGTTTGTAAGCCAAAAACCAATCAAGAAATGAAAAGAACTAAATGTAATACCATCAAGAGCAATAAAAGCACCAAAAACTTTGAAAGGTGTAAACTATAAGAGCCTGGCACCTGCGGTCTTTCAATAAGAGCAGATTGAGCAGGTACGGTCGACTGCCCCACGCCGCACAGAGCCCTAACTCTGGTTATTCACTGGCAGTGAATGGCGAGTGACAGGACAGTGAGAAGTGACTCACAGCTAAACGGTGTTCTGCGACATATCAATCGCGATTAAAAAACGTAAGACTACACTAAACGTAACGTAAGAATAAACTACTAGCTGTAAGCGACTTTGTCCACGTGAAATAGTTATATATTGCATAACCTAAAGGCTTCCTTGGTCCAACCAACACAAAAATATTTTTTTATTTAAAGCAGTGGTTTCTGACATTATCGCGTTCAACTTATAAGTTTTATAAGATTATGTTACACAAAATGATGTACGACTGACAAAAGTAGATCGAGTAGCCAGTGTAAATATCAGAATCAGACAACTGTGCGGTCTGCAATTTTTACTCAGCCGCAAATTGCATTGCGCCGGTTTCTTAAAGCTGTAACACATCGAAAATATTAGAATTTATTTGAAGCTATAAAATTCGCCGTCTTGCGCTCACGATAAATTTTCAAGTAGACAGTATTAAAAACCATAAACTTTACTTGCACTCGGAGTGTGTTGCCATAAAAATGTTCTAAATACATTTAAGTATTACTTCATACCATAAATTAGCTTTTAACTAAAATGAGAAGTTCCCATTTTGATAAAATATAAATCTATTTATTTAGAATAGTTGATATTTTCTTTATATGCCATTTCCTTAATAGTTATACTGCAAATATAGGGTAATAATTATAAGTAATGTTTATTTACATAATTTAAATAAAAGGTTAATTAAATTATGAAAACATTTTTGAGAGATAACTACGCGTTTTGAATTATCTCTCTGTATTTTATCTAGTTAATTATTTGCCTATTTATAACTTATCATAAGAACTATAATTTTAAGTAGTTTATTTGCCTAGTTAGAAAGTCTTATTAAGCAAATAAATACAGAAAGCATAAAGGATGTTTTTAAATCTATAAGTCTGATTCATTTGTTAGACTTAGACTGTAACTTAACTCGAAGTCTCGTAAGTTTACAACTTGTTAAAAATTGTTTATGAATATCTTTATAGAAGAAACAACATTGCGTGTAACTTTTTTCGCACCTTTCCAGTTCTTTGGAAGTTAGGCGCTGCCAATTTGATTCATCCCAACAGATGTGAATATTTTATCGACGTCTTTTTTCTCGGGAAGTAAGCAGTCTCAGAAAGCGATTTATTATTAATAGTCGTAACTGTATTCGCAAATCGTAACTATTGATTGCGGGTATTTTTATTCTAATTAAATAACACGTTCAAACTGCTAATGATCAAGTAATCCGAAATCGTTTTTTTATATAAAATAATTTTAGTGTCTATTTCACAGATTAATTTTATTTATAAGCAAGTAGTTGATCAAATTTATGTGTCCTTTACAAACGAAACTTTTTACGACGGTTTCTGGGATTCGAATGCAAGACGTCCTACGCTTAATACTGGGCAACGGAGGCGGTTGTAACAAGCATTATTATACTGTTATAAGGAAATATTTCCTTTCTTTATTCGTGTGAATCTATATGGGGCATTGAATCTATTTGTGAGCAATTTTTAACAACTTTTACCAACCGACCCGATAGAGACATTTACAATGTTTCCGCGTGAATCAAACTTAGAACCCGAAACTCGCACAATGCAACTACATATTGCTCTTAGTTTTATATGGAAACGCTGCGACTAATAAGAGCAAAGAAATCGTGGGAAATGTGGATCAAACGGGGAAAATATCATCTTTGAAAGTTTCCGTTGCGTGCGCTTCGCAAACAGTTCAAAATACAAAATAATTATTCCTCTTTAAACTATCATTAAAAAATGTCCCCGACAGTATATCTTTTAAGATTAATTTGCAATAAAAAGGTTTACAAAAACTAATTTTGACGCCCAAAATAACTATTCTACGCGGACGAAGTCGTTGGCAAAGCTAGTTTATTAATATGGTTTTAATTCAATGTATACAGACACTGAGTGAACATCTTAAAATAAAACTAACAATAAGTGCCCTATAAAATATAAGCGCCTGTCCTTCACCCTAACGCCAGTATACGCAAGCTAGCCATTAATAATGTAGGGTGACAACGGCGCAGGTGGCGCTAGGATCCGTTCCGCGCCGATAAACGGCCCGTTGCATAATTGAAGACGTGTGCCTTCCACCGCTTACGTGACTACCCTCCAATCTCCAGTAATATTCACCCTATTGGTTAAATATGGATGATTAGCTTTAACTAAAATATATCGCACTCCATCTACATTTACGCTTTCTTTTGTTTCTCGGAAAATACGAAATGCCGTTAATCTTCATCTGTCGGATCACATATCATTACTAATGTAAACAAAACAAACTTTGGATTTGTAAGTTTTTTGTTATAAAATTTTAATATATAAGATAAATATTTCATACATATTATATAATAAGAACTCCATTCTTATTTTTAGTTTATGCATATTACTTATCTAATCTATAACGGTGTAAAACGTTTCCCCGGGACCACGTTGCTGACAAAGCATCCGAAACGCCGGGTCGTTGTTAAAATAATTAAAAAACGAAATAACGAATATATTTCCCGTTTTAAGCCATTAAAAGTGTTTTATTTAATGCTATGTAACATCCGTTTCTGTACTATAACTCTTTGCTAGAGGTAGATTTGATACCGGGAAAGTCAAAAACTAAATTATTAGTGTAATATTATGTGCCTATGTCCCACGACTAATTAAAGAAACTTATTTTTGCCTATTAGATCGAAAATTTATTTTAAACTTGTGACCGGCCCCGGTTTCGCTCGGGTACACTAGGGAAAAACTGTGAACGCTGTATATAAAAACCTTCTTGATTCAATCTATCTATTAAAAACCTCATCAAAATCGGTCGCGTGGTTTTAAAGATTTAAGCGTACATAGGGACAGAAAAGGCGACTTTGTTTTTCACTGTTCTGATAAGAAAATATATTCCAATTTATTCAACCATTGGTCACCCTGGTTAGAACTCTGACGCGGTGACCTGTGACTTTTCACCTTCGCCACGTGGCTCAGCTATTGTTAATGGCTTTTGCATTCCTTTCCTTACTTTAACTAGCTGTATAATGTATTCTATACTTGAGCTAACGTCCGGATTAACGCCACACTTATTTCTATGGCGTTTCAGACATTTTAATTATGCATACGTTTAATATAAATCTTAAATGCAGCATATCGTATTTATATAAGAAGATAATTACGTTGTTTTCTTTATAAGTAATCTAAAATTAGTATCTCGCAATTGTTTTAACTAGGGCCCGACGTTTCGGATGCTTGGCAGCAGCCGTGGTCACGGGCGGACAACTGCCACTTTGCTTTTATGTTTTATTTAAATATATAACTCTATCGATCCAAAAATGTTTGAAATGAAGTAGACTGTAGTTTACACAAGTAACGTACGCACGCAAAAGTGCAATTTAAATAAATTACTTTTAACGGTTTGAAACGCGAAAAATATTAGATAACCTTTTTTATTTTAACTATGGCCTGATGTTTCAGATGCTTTGCACCAGCCGTGGCAACGGGTTTTTGTCATGGTCAACCATAGACTTTTATTATTAACCTATTGGAATTAAAAACTTTCACACGATCATTTTGGCACAGCTGCCACAAATTTTTATTTAGCAAATAGATCTTATTCGCTTTGATTTCTCATCTAGTGTGAATGCATATGCAAATCAAGCGAATACATTCCCGCCACCTTTTGTTGCCGGACTGGTCATTTTATCTCACAATTCGCGAGTCCAGAACTTCGAGGGGTCATCTCTTCGATATCTTTCCCTTACATTTTACAATCATTCCATGTTCGTGAACCGTGAGATCGACACCTTGTGATTACACCAGCGTTTGATGTTTTTCTTATCGTTATATACTTTTTCGTTGTGTTAACATTTGTACTTTTTCTCGTAATAATGGATTGGATCACGCAACTCTTTCAGACTCCTACGCTTGCTAAGCCGCGGGTAAGTTTTTATGATAAAACTAGCTCTGAACATATTTGTGTATATGTTGAAGTGATCGATTTTATTTAATAGTTGAACAGACTATGTTCAGTCCGACCGAATCTTACTATTGAGTTACAAAGTTAGTACGTATGAAGAAGTTTCTTGAGATAAAGTAAAAATCTTTTTTTGAAATACATAACTATTTTTGACAAATTACTATTCATAAGTCCGTTAATTATAAAGATTATTACATTAAGAAATAAAATCACTGTAATTTAAACCGTATACAATTTAGTTAATCTTTAACTAAGACCCCACATTTCGATTTTGTAACAGCCGCACTTTTGAATCCAAACTTCAGGTCGTATTTAAAAATTTCCTGATAGTTCGCGCTTTTAACCTCGTAAAGTGGCATTAAACAACACCACTTATGTAACCGACGCACAAAAGAGCCAAATAAATTTGTTAACGTAAATTTGATACAGAAAAGGATTCAGAATATTTAAGTCCAGAGAGCGAGTTAACTGCTGTACAAGTGTGATGTATGGCAAAAACGCTGTTCCACCCGCCCGCCCTAACAGCTGGTCGCGCACCTACCACGCATTAACCTAACGAGCTGGCGTAATGGCCTCGCTTAGGGCAACCATACGCTAAAAAACTTCAAATCAAATAAATTACACCGACCTAGTTACATATCTGTAAGCCCGCATATGACATACTAAGTCCTGACCTCTCAATTTGTCATGCAGACAGCTTTCGTATTTATAACGGTAGCATAATGTTTAGCATTTACTTAAATGACCTTAATAAAGATTACCGCGTAGTAAATAATATATTTTTTTAGCAAAACCTACTTCATACAGAACTAAAAAGAAAAAGGAATGCTTAGCACAAAGTAATACGTATTTTGATTAAATTAAATGATTGAATGAATATTTTAAAAAATATTTTTATAATATAATGTAAGTAATAAAGTAAGTAGTTGCTATGTATTCCTACAAATTACTAAAGTACTAGGTACTGTAAACGCTGAGGAGTTTCCCATATAGCCCTTGTCTTTAGTATCACACCCCTAATGATACTCACAACCCATCTAGATGTAAAGTTCTCAACAATACAAATAAATTGACTAGACTTATTTTTCTAAATAGGTAGTAAATATAAAACTATTTCAATTTAGACATTGCAATGTTATACTGCCATTTAAATTTTTGTTTATAAATATAGAATAACTGGTCTCACCAGCCTTAGAATATATAATTAACAATTACTTATTTATAATCACGACAATTATGTAACAAATTTGTAGCAACTTTATATATTTAATTTTAAAAAGTATATATTTTTTGAATTTGTAACATATATGACGGAACTGAATCCATGACTCTAGCATGATGTAATTCCACAAAGTGATGGATACTTATTGGCACAGTTCTACGGCCTATGTGTCGTATAAAGTACTAGATGTGACAGCGACTTCGTCCGCGGGAATCATTATTTTGAGCATCCAAATTCGTTTTTGTAAACCCTTTTACCTTTATATACTTAAGCTGTTACCCACGACATCGGTCGCGTCCCGTCATTCTTGCAAGTCTATCTTAAAAGATAGACATATAACGTCGCGGACTTTTTTTTAGATTATTTAAAGAGGAATGACTCTTTTCGACATAATTATTGAACATCTGTAATCGTTTTTGCAGCGTACGCTTCGGAAACCCATAACGGTGAATAATTTTCCCAAAATTTTCTTCACTTCTCGCTTTTTCATCGCTCTTATTAGTCACATCGCTATGTGTTAGAGCATTTCTCGATAAATGTTCTATCCAACACAAAAATACTGTTTTAATTCGAACCAGTAGTTACTGACAAAAGCGCGTACAAACAAACAAACTCTTCAGCTTAATATATAGATTAACTTAAAATGTAAACTTAAATTACAACTCAATTTTTAATTTATGCACAGCGGGCACGTTTTAAAAAGGTTGAATAAAGCCCTTTATAACAATCCTTTGTTATAAAGTACTTTATTCGACGACTATTTTACAAAATTTCCAATTCTTTTCTATGTTGCATATGGTTTTTAATATGAACTTTCATATTTCCCGCCACAAAACGAAACCAAAGTGGAAAGTTTTAATTACAGTCTTACAAATTATAAGTTAATTACGTAACTTTAACGACACACGCGTTAGACTAGTTTTAAAATTTCATTCACCTCGCTTGGAAATTCTATTCTGACATTACCGCGGAGCGGACGTCCGCAGCTACCTAATTAAAATTCTACGTGAATGAATAACTGCACTGCACAACTTGCACTCTGTGGTAAATTATACTAATAAATACAGCAATGTTCTTGTTCAAATACCTTCTCGTCATTTTCTATTTTCTTCTATCTACATTAAAGGCTTTTAAAATACATCACAAATCACTTTTATGGATGTGTCAGGAAAGAACAGAAAAACCTTAAACTAAGGCTAATAAAATAGGGACTATTATACCAAATATGGATGTAAAAAAAATTTGTCAAATGCTGTGATGGCGCTGAGCGGTTCTCAATAATGTGACTTAAACTTAGAGAATGAAAAAATCTTCATTTTGGAGTGGAGAAGAGAAGCGCAAAACAAACATAGATATGGAGAAGTTTCCAGAAGGCCTTCGTTACAGGGCAAACTACTTTAAAAATTTGGTCGGTTAAAATTGTAATGAATAAAATACCTAAGGCTCACTTAGTAAATAATATTTGCAAAATCGAATACGGAATGTTAGCCTGGAACCAATATATTGCTAATAATAGACTTCAGTCAAATTGCTTGTAAGAATTTTCCTTCCCTAAATCAAATTGTATATTTGCTACAACAATCTAATATTTCATCAATAAACGATAAAAAACTTCCGCTCCTCTCTTTGTACTCAAATATATTTTGTAAAGCTAAATATTTTTAACTTTTATTGGTCACATGGTTCGTTCTAGTCTAAGTTGACTTCTATCGATATCTAATAAGATAATTTTATATTTTAAGAATCGAAAATAAATTGAAAAAATTATCGACTCGAGCAGAACTTGACCCGTATCGTCAACGTTCCGTGCTGTTGCTCTTGTTAATATGATTTGTATTAATTGTTTATCTGTTCTATGTTATAAAAAAAGTTCATCTTACATTGAAAACAATTGATCTCTAGTGCTTGACTCTTTCCCATTATTTATTAGTCTTTGCTCTAAGAAAAGTAATTTGCCTCTATCAGTGAAATTTGGGCAGATATAATAAACAAAATATGTTATGTATTTATATATTCTTTATTCGTTTACAGCAAGGGAATGCAAAATGTGGAAACACTTCGACCACCATAACACCAACAAGTACCAACAACATAAGCAGTACTGTTCCTCGACCTGGCGATATCAAACCGGTAGAATGCAATCTTTGCCATCGCAAATTTAAAAACATACCAGCCTTGAATGGACATATGAGACTTCATGGAGGATATTTTAAAAAGGTTGGTCAGTTTCTTGCTACCATGAATAATTTATTTTTTGCAAAGAATGAATATTCTAATTGTCAAACAGGACTCCGATAATAAGAAACTGGATAAGAAGGAATCTACTGGACCTCCATTACAAACAGCTTCTGTTTCCGTGAGAGCGCTTATCGAGGAAAAAATAATAAGTCGTCGGGGAGCGACGAACGGTTCACAGAGCTCAGGTATATCTAATGACAATGTACTAAAATTGAATAATTTTCACAGAAACATAGAAATAATGGATAGATTATAATCTATCCAGCAAGTATATCTTCAAAATATTATAAAACGCACGAACTGTTTACAATTTAGCACACGGTTTTTTGTCAGATTACTTTAAACAGACAAAACGTGCGCGCTAATTGTTAAAACACGGATTTAGATTTCTAATTAAATAATTTGCTTTTAGATCTTCAAAAACTGAGATAAGTTATTGCCAAAAAAACGCATTAAGTTGTAAATTGGGCGTGCAGCTCTCATTATGTCCCAATATGACATGTAATAATGCTCGCTGAATATAATCTAATAGTATCTACATTGTATTGCTTCCAGGTGTAACGATAGATACGACTCGGTCTGGATTCGCTACACCAGCTCCTCCTCCTTTGACTAATATTCGTACCTCAACAGCATCACCAGCGTCACCAGCAACAACAGCAGTACATTTTGTTTCACCAAAAGCTCCTCCTGTTGTTACTTTCGCTACAAATGTAACAAATGTCACTTCTTCTCAAAAGGAATCAACATTAATCGAATTATTGAAGAAAAGTAATTCTAAGGTATTTTTTATTTCTTATGTTTACGAACCTATCCAATTTTTATCGACCGAATATAATAATAATCTTTTTTGTTAATAATGCCACCTTACAACTAGAGCTTAATAAGTTTAAGGTTTTAATTTGTATAAAATGTACATTGTTCCAGGTTGTAAAACGATGCGCATCAGACCCCGGGCAATGTTCACCACAACAAGAATTCACTTTTCGACCAGAGTTATTTGGCGTGTCGTTCAATTCAGATGATGGTTATTTTTCACCAGCTCTCAATGAAGATACCTTCCAATTCGCAACGACACCCGATCAATTAGAAGACTTGGCCTCACTTGAAGACTATGCGACTGTAGCAGCGTCCATACATGAGCGTTCACCGGTCACTTACCCGTCCAATCGCCGCTTAGCAGCAGTTCTTAATTCTCCGTTACCGGAATCACTCGCTGATTTTGGCGCTTGTCATGGTGGCTCAGCTATTCCTTCTCCTAGTCTCCCGGGATATTCTGAACATTCTCCAAGTTTGTCCTATTCAACTGGTGATTCGCCAGGCTTGCCTTATGCAGCAACCTCTCCAAGCGGGAGCTACTCGACACATCCGACACCGTCCCCTGGTTTAACGTATCCAACACCTCCAGCATCATTAGATGCTCAGTCGCCAGCCCATACAGTACCTAGAGTTTCATCACCTCTTACTGCAGCTTTCTTTACTGCCACAATGTCCAGCCAGGAAGAGGTAAGCAATCTAATATTAAAGTTAAATTGTTTTTGATATCAGTGAATTTATTAAAGTTTTTTATTTTTATTTTAGGTAGAAGAAGCTTTAGAAGAAGTATTGCCTGATGAATGTAGGTCTTTAGATGCTTACGCATTGCAACCGTCACCGACAGCTCGGCGAATGATGCTGAATTCTGAAGATCCTCTACTGTCGAGTAGTCCTAGGGACTTCCCTCATCGTCAGATCCGACGGCTTAATCGTTCAGTTACACCTATATCTACATCTATTCAACAATGGCATTCAGATCATAATTCGCTTCAGGTGGGTCTCTAATAAAATTTGTTAAAAACAGTTATCAAATTTTGTGATAAAAAGGACGATGATTTTCTCCCGTTTTTTTCTTGTTCGTCTCTTTTTAAATGTTTGAAACTTTATTTTTAATTTAACTTTGGTTGGCGTTAATACGCATACGCATTTTTAAATAACCGTTTGATTTTTATAACCTCTGAAAGATACTCACTCAATTTTTATTGATCGCCAGGTCTGCGTCGAAGGTCGAGACCCTGTGCCAGCTGTGTTCCTCAGTCCAAATAGTATACCAGCGTCTCCTCAACGACGAAAAAGGAAAGCTTCGCCAGCTGGCCCTTACCGGTCTCGTCTGCGACGCACTAGTACCCACTTCACGCCGCAACCAATTTTACCTCCAGATAGAGATGCACCCGGACTTTTTCTTGATTCCATAAGTGGTTCGTCTTATACTTATAAACAGTTTTAATAGGGATAGCAACAGATAAAACTAAACAAAATAACAACAACAAAACAATATAATGTAAGTGAATTACTAAAGTACACACCAATTCTCACATAATAGTTTGAGTCACTGCCATTAACAAAAACAACATAAATAACAATAATAAATACAAAAACGTATTTTTCATCATCATATAAAATTTTCACACGTAATTTTTTTCTATAAATATTTCTTTAAACCAATTCAACAAGCATAAAGGCATATGTATCTACCAGGTTTACCAAACACTGAAGCGGAAGTACTGTCGCAGTTTGAAGACACTCAGAAGCCTCAAATTAACATTGGCGCTGAGCATCAAGCCGAGATCCCGGAATTGTGCAGCGATCGCATAGATCTGCATCGTGTACCCGAACAGCTGCTGTGGGACCCTGGCATTAATGACGCGTTGGATGACAATGAAGGTATACAGCCATTTTATACTCCACACAGTAGAGACAAAGTAGATATTTAAAGTACTTCCCATTATAATTAGTTTAACAACCTACCAGGTCTACAGAAAGGCATAGGCTACATTGTGTACTACTTCCGTATATAGTAGATATTAGTTAATCCGAAGTTCTTTATTATATTGTAATATAAATGCCTGAATAAAGACAAGGACAGACATATTTCTTTGTACGATACGCCGATAAAATTTTCCTAGGCCAGTAGATTAAAATTCTGAATCCTGTCCAACTGATTCTCTTTATGTCAGATCTGTCACACTTTTCGTATTGCTAGAAAATGCGTTATTCAACTATGTTACCTACTTGGACCAAGTATCACTTTTATTAAGCACATTGTTTTTTCTAGTTCGTATGTTTATGGAGTTGGCGATGTGTGCGGCGATGCCTGTAGGTGGGCATACAAGAGAATTCGCACTTCAAACTCTAGGCGAATGTGGAGGGGACATCCGGGCAGCCACGCTGCGTCTTATGTCACGACCAGCGACTCCTGCGCAGCACGAATCTAGATGGACGCCAGATGAAGTAGAAGCATTCCTAGCCGGATTGTCGCATTATGATAAAAACTTCTACAAAATATCCCAATTGGTGAGTAGGTGTATTGAAAAATAGCCTTACACAAGGTAACAATTTAGAACCGCACAAGTAGGCATCAGTCACAAAATGTCAGTACTATGGTTTAGGTAAAACAATAGAAGGAACGAACATTTCATAGCATGGTTTTGTTATAACAATTGGATGTACTGTCCCTTTTGGATTTATCAAATGTAAAATTCTCATCTTTTACTGACTACCAAAAAAATATTGTCAAGTTTTTTAACAGATAACAAATTAATTACAGATAAGGACGAAAGACTCGAAGCAATGCGTCCAATTCTACTATTTTTGGAAGAAAGTAACCAAAGACTATAAAACAACGTTCTTGAGAAGCTGGAGCGACTCACGCCACAGCCAAGTAAGCGGCGCTCAGAGTGGGCTGCATTTTGTCTTCAGCCTTACTGATTAATGTCTCAAAACTCTTGTATGTAAAAATTTAACTCGAATTATTCAGGGTCCCTTTGGGCAAGTCCATGCCGCCCCGAGCACCTCGTCTCCCATTTCCTTCGACGGAGAAGAATTCCCGTGCAAAATTTGTGGGAAGTAAGTGTCGTGTTATACGCAACAACAGCTTCTGTTTGATAGCATCAGCAATTCACAAACCTAACCCTAGTCCTTGATCCAGATCGCTGCGGCGGTCGTGATAGATTACCTAACGCATGTACGGAACGACTGTCACAAAATATAGAGTCAATGAACAGTGTAAAATCGGTTCGATAATTTTGTTAAGTAGATTTTTATGTAATAATTGAATATGTTCGGCGAATTAAAACGTTTTCTTAGATCAGTAGTTATTATACTTAGATGAGATCGTCTGGGTTTTAAGGTTTGATGTTTATTGCATGTTAAGGGTTGCTTTATCGGATATGCAGCAGCAATATGTAAATCTATTTGACATAGCTAGATTCCATCGGGGAACCGACGTACCTTATTCGCTACTGTAAAATGATAAATATGTTTTTGTAACTCGGTTGAAAGAAAAATAATGTACCTTAGTCCCGGGGACCAGACTATGTCGAATAGTTGCCAATGTTGTAAATAAGGTTTAAACGATATGAGAGAGTCCATGATATTTTAAATAGTTATAGCTATAAGTATACAGAATGTTGTATAATCGCTAAACACTTGTAACATAGACATCGATACTAGGCAGTTTTTTACTAACGCTTCGCTTAAGCTCGCCCCGCTTTTTTACCTGTCGCTTCCTTTTTTCTGTTGCATTTCTAAATGTTTTCTGTTATGTTTCAGAGTATTTAACAAAGTTAAAAGTCGTAGCGCGCACATGAAGTCGCACCGGCCTCTCGACGCCGAGCCGAAAAGGCCTAAACTCGAAAAGCCTTATGAAAAGGTCGAGAGATCTGACGAAAGATCCCAAGCGACTGACGAATATCAAAATAAGATGCCTTTACTATAATCTATTCGTTGCTCACTCATTCCGCCCATGCGTCTTTTCGCCGCAAAACGACTAATCAGAACTTTATTATGGATGGTCGTAATTCTCTTCAGCGCACCTAATAAAATACAGCTCGCCAAATTTTTCATCAGTATCTATTTGTGACATAGCAATTTATAAAGATACAGATCTTATTTTTGGCTTTCTATTTTTTTTGGTCCAATACAACGTTTGTTTTCATCTAGCATTCACAAGCTGTATTTTGGTGTTTCCAAGGTCGCGCTGCAACAAGACACAGAACGCTGACCCGATATTTTTTTGTACTAAAGACGCGAAAGATGCTAAATTACCAAGCATTTATTACAATAACAGCATAGATAAGTATTTATTTTATTGTTAAATAAAACAACAGCCGTCTAGAAGCTAGAGATGTTTACTGTAAGAAGTACAAAATGTAGACTCGCTTTCAAGATTCTTGCAACGCTACGGAAAGAGCGCGTACAGATATTTTGTATACACAAGTAGATATACATGGCCATGGTAAAGTTTTTATATGACAAACTTTTCAATGTGACTGCAAGTGTGATTTGTAAATAAGTCGAGTAGCTTAATTAGTATATATCTGTGGGCGAGCTAAGTGTAAAATAATTGTATAACAAGTACAGGAGTGTGATAAATTGATTAAAATTCGTTCGTGTAGAAACTACACTACCTCGTTATGTATTGGTTTCGGTAAGAGCTCAGCTCAGTGTTGTGTTAGCTTATTTGCTCATTTTTGTTATTTTAGCTTAAGTAGACGAATTTATTAGCGCGGATCGATTGCGTTTTTTTAGGTAGATAATTGTGTGTAACGGAAATCAATTCAGCATCCGTGCCGGAAACTAGTCACATATCGATGCAGTTTTAGAGAAATATAATATTGACAGATTTTACAAGGTCTTCTGTGAGTAACTTGGAATCATAAATTATTGCGCTTCCTCATTCAAAACGCTGTTCACAATAAAAATTGCCGGCCTATAACTTGATTAATTAATATTTTTGACATAAACGCAGTTATTAGATTACTAGTTATTCGCAGAATACTATTTTATAACATAAAAATAAAGGAGGGATATTTTTTTACATGAATATTCACAAATGCTCAAATGTTCTATATTTTACGTTGATGATTTTATTAACTTGTTCCTGTTACCTATTATTTATTGTATACTTGAATAATAATAATTTTTGAATGTACATTATTTTCAATGAATTAATGTTAGATAAGAATAATTATGTACCTAAGTATGTATGTACCTACGTGTTGTGACAAATGGATGTTTTTATTTCATTATACTCTAACTAATGTATTTCGTGTACAAATCTTGCAATAACTGTCAAAACTGCTCAATTTCGCGCTATCCTCCAATTCTCCGTCGCTGCCAAATAGATTCCAACGCCTATAACTTTGCGGTTGTGAATTTCATTAAATTTCGTCTTCCGGTGGTTGAACAGTATTCGCGTATTAAAATCGAGGCAGTATTGCTTTTAAAAGACATGTAAATAATTTGAATTACGTATACCTACATTTTAAAATGTTCCAAATATTATTAGAATAAAAACGAGCGTTTGACGCCACCAGTATTATATATACCGCGATATTAAGACCTTCTTATATATTGTATGGGATTTGAGAGAGTCATAATGCTAAAGATATACATACCAACTAACTTAGTCGTGCCAAAACCAAAAAACTCAATAAGATAGTGTCATATTGTTTTAGGACTATTTATATTGAGGTGTATTGAAACATTATGTTACCACTAACTCGTGTGATGATTTGGTTGTGTTCTATTTAACAATTCATATGAGGAAATATTGCAAATGATCTATTTAAAATATTAGACACGGGCCGTGCCAAACGATTGCCAAATAATATAACTCTATGTACAGTTTCTAATAAAATACGTATCTTGCATTATACATGCGATATTAGAAGGTATAGATTTTTCCAACACTTCCAAATGTATAAACAGTCCAACGGTAAATTTTCCTAATACACTAGCCTTGGGTATCAGTTGAAACAAAAACTAAGAAAGCTTAGCGCCCAGGCATGTCATTAAATATATCCGAATGATAAAAAAACAATTTTGATTTTAAAGTAATCTTAATAAGAAAACAGGACACTGACAATTGTCTAGCCCATGCAATATCTATGTAAGAAAACTGGAATATTAAGTGCTTTTTAATTAAAATACAAAATTGGTGGATGTATTAATTAAATTAATTGGCTTTAATTAATATTTCATCTACAAAGATAATTCTTTAAATCAAATGCAAAAGGTACCACTGCAAAGTTTAAGTTTAAACTTTAATTTTATTGAACAGTTTAATACAACACCGTATTAAATTATTTTACTGTAGTAAAGATAACAAAGAAATACGAATAAAATGCAAGAAAGAGGCACTCACAGAATAGTAAATATTCTTCATATATTCGTTGGTTGTGTTAGTATACTATGTGTATTCAAAATCTATTTAATATTATATTTTCCAAATAATAAATACCAGATAGTTCTACTTCTACAAAATTTTATAACGATAAATAATTAAGGAAAAATCCCTCCAAAGACTTTAACTATTAAGATTATATATAATTCTGTTCCAAAACTTTGCTTGCTTCAGTTTCCAAGAATAGCTCTTCTAATGGCTTTTATTTATATCGCAAAAAAATCCAGCTCCATTTTGCGTGACAACTGTACTAGTCAGGGTGTAGGTGATAGAACATGCCCTTATAAGTAATACATTATGCAAAAGGATTATTTAAAAACATGACATTTAGATTTCACTAGGAAAATTAGTCAAACAGAAATATTACGTATTACAAAAAATAACATAGGTATTAAATTATTTATAAGATCAATTGATAAAATAGAAAAAAGTCTTATTTCAACTTTAACATAGAAGTGCCTTACAATTTTATTTTTGTACTATTATCATTTGTTGTTCTGAATGGAAATTAAAAAAAAAACGGTGTTTTGCATTTATTATTGCCAACATTTGTCAGTGCCAGCAGCAGATAATCGGTATCGGTTATTATGCCACAATTATTTATGCCAAAAATATAAAAAGATCGAAGATATAGTAAGAAAATCATGTCAATTTATGTAAAAATATATACAGTTAGAATTGTAGAGGGCGCAAATATATTATATGTTTTTCTTCCTGTCTGTCTGTTCCCCCGCTTAACACTTATTTCAAGCTCTGATATTACGTGTAATTGTATAGTATAATGTATATATTTATGTATCTAATATATTTGTGTCAAAACTCAAATATAGGAATAAATCCTAGTAATTATATTTGTAATCTAAGTGGATTATATTCTTCTAATTTTGTATTGAAAATTTTTACGAAGGAACGCCCTTCACTGCGAATCAATGTTACCATGTATAATGAACAAAAGACGCTAAGAGAAAACGTCAATATATAATTATTGTGGTAATATTGCATCAAAGAAATACGTACTTAATACGTTTAGTGTAATAGTAGAATGTAAAAAACGTGCCGAACGCACGATAAGTTGATATTACACTCTGTGTTGTGATTTTGAACGTTCTGTAAATTACGAATCTTTGAAACTATGAGAAATTTGTAGACACCCTTCTAGCTTAGCGCAATTATTCGCGTAGACATAACATTAGGACCTTGGAGTAATGGGCATTTAGATTAACATTACATAGTTAAATATTCATTGAAAGGTGTAAATGTATTAAAATTATTAATTATAGATTCATTGTTATATTGAATGTGATGATTTGTAATGAACAACGACACGCTCTAGTCCAGCCCCGCCCCCTTCCCCCGCCGGGCCGAGGGCGACTTCACAACTTCGCATATCCTTGAAACAATAAGTAATTAAATAAAACTATTACATATATTATGTATATTGATAAATTTATTAGGGTAACTAATTTTTTAAGACAATGACTACTACGTGATCTTTTAGATTGTCTTTATTAATAAATATATGGTGAAGGTTTTGTCAACTTGTTTTTTTATATCCACCTTACATAAAACAACTTCGAGGGATAATATCGAGTTATACTATAACTTAGGATGAGCAACATTATTTTCACATGCTTTACATGAACTTTCAATATTTTGATTGAAAACTTGTTTCACATGTGGGACCGGGAGCTTGGTTGATAACAGCTGTGGTTGTGGATTATAGTTTTGGCCGTATCAACAATTTTTTTAGTCTGTTTTACTTTGATAACATTTATTTCAAACTACGGTTTTACTTCGGATTGCACTTAAAATGGCATAAAAGGTAAAAATTCATTTTTGTAATTAGGGCTTGTCATATATTCACAATAAGTGGTTTGAATTCCCACACTTCGAGGTACTTGTGTGAAAATAAAAGTCACAAGTCATCATCAGATTTTATTTAGAACACCATGTAAAGTACAATGGCAGCAATTCTGATGTACAAAAAATAAGACTAAACTAGACGCCACCTATGTCCAATATTAATGGACCGCATTGCAAGCCTAGTTCAGTTATTGAACAACAGAAATCACATCAATGACATCTTACATAAACTATAAACATCTGCCACAAGAAAACAATATTAGTGCTGTGCAACAATAAAATTAAACAACATAATAAAGGAGACATTTTAAGAAATAGTTATGCGGAGCACTTAAGTTAGGAGCAATAAATCACACATCTTTAAAGTACCTAGCTTAAAATTGTAGAATAAGCGGGCACTGATCACTTGAACTTAAAAGAGATGTCTTTTTATTAATTTCATTCGTGCATATAGAATTAAACAATAATTTCATTCGTAGTGATCAGTGTTCCTAGTACACAAAAGCTAAAATTACTTTTCATATGGTAAGTACTGGGAATGACAAACTTTTACACTGATATCCAGTTTTAATTTATTTAATTAGAGCCTTTGGAATAAGCTTTTGCTACCACAATATATTGATTAAAACTTAAAATTGTGCCTGATCATACCCAAAAATAACAAGTCTGCTTTATTACGCAGACTTAACACTTTAAAAGATTTCATACTATTTAATTAACATACGAATGGACGTCGCAATTACACGTGTACACTAAGTTCAGGGATAAGGAACGCTGCCTCCGTACTTATTGCTTCGTTTCTTTAAAATTACCTCGCGTGTATTTTACTTGTTCACTATCCCTGCACTAACATTCTTTGAACTATAATTTATAAATTAGGTTAGATGATAATATGGTCATTGCATTTGTCAAACAGTCCTCTCCAAAAGATTCCTATAATTCGTAGAAAACCAATTTCTGATTTCAATTAAACACTTTTAAACGGTTTACAACGCGAAATGTATAAGTTAAACTTTACAAATTATTTTTAATACAAGATACTTCGAATGCTTTGCAGCCGCCGTGGTCACGGTGAGGCTAAAGATGGATAGTATCTCTAATGTCAAAATAAAAACTGGTTCGCTAGCGCCATCTGTTATGCCGTAGTTGGTATTTGCCGAAGCACACAAAACACATCTCAATAACCATATCATCGATGACGAAACCATTAAAATCAACCAGACAATCTCCTAATATTTCTAATGGACTAAATACACAAAGATTGGTGTCAGTCACAAAATGTTATATCAAGAGAGATGTATGCCAGTGTTACGATTTGGAGAATTCACATGAATAACACAAAAATATTCCCAAAACTATACAAGTCAGGCAGTAACAAAATGCTAGAGTTAGCACTTTTCAAAAATACGTGTATTGAATATTTATTTAAAATTATTATAATTTTTTAACTCACTGACTGACACATCCCTGCTGATATATATTGAACTAGGCTATAGGTCACTCTAGTCTCATTTTCTTACCTTTCACCACTGTAGGCTTATTCTTAAGTAGGCCTTTTCTTCTCTTTGACGTCTGTAAAAATAACACTTTTATTTAGACATGTTTGTTAAATTAAAAATCGATTATAAATTGAAAAAAAAAAATGCACGACACGGGCAGCACTTGAACCGGCATCCACAGCGTTTCGTGCCATTTCTATAACCAATTGAGCTACCGTGCCCAACAAGTCATCGTCGACTTTTTTCAACCGATTGATACATGCAGCTCTCGCGCAATGTAATTTCACCCTAACACTTGCGTGTTAAGGCTCAATGTGTCAATCTTCATGATTTTTTATGCTTTGCAGCTTAAAAAAATCATTGAAGATTTCTCGTTTTTCGTTTCTAAATTTATATGATTCTAAAAATTGCTATTACTATACCATTGATCCTACATCATATGCAAGCTGTAAACGAAACAGTATGTTTAAAAATAGTTTACGATTGTTGAGTTATTAAAAACGCATGCCGTTACAAATATTAACTATATACACATCTAGGGTCTAATTGTATAGAATATTACGGTTAATTATAATAGTAAAATAGGGTACACAGGTTGATATTAAAAACACCAGACTAAAACTCCTATAAAGCAGACTCATTATCTGTCTTTACTGTTGGTCTGTAAACTGTCCAGTTAAAACAGCCTATCAACTAGTTTTAGTTATTTTATAAAATACTCGGAGGAATAGCCGTCATTCTCGTTGGTGTAAATATAATAGTAGTGTGTGTGTCTGTGGACATCCGAATAGCCTTAGCCAAATCTATGCCATGATCTACAAATGTTTCCCTATACTTTTAAGACTAACTTACCTTGCCAAATGTTAAAGAGTGTTAAACAATTTCACTTTAAATCAATATCTATATTTCATTAAACAATACTTCATTATATAACATATTATTATTTAATATAAACTGTGATGTGGAAATTATTGTTAGAAATATTTAAACAAGTTTATATATAACAATATAGGAAATAAAATAAAAAGATACATAACACATACCAAACGTACTCAAAATACGTTTTATAAATAACGTGAAACATTAAACGCCCTTACTGAACCCCAAGAACTAAACACACAAGACATTCACCGTACATAATATAACAAGTAAACATGTCTTCCATATATATTATCTTAAAATAATTGTTATTTTCCAAAAAAAAAAAATGATTTTTAGGGGATTTTTCACCATTTTCAAAGGTACAATTACTAACTTAAAACTTTGTACTTATTATATTATGTACTTATTACAAGGCACATTCACAAGGTTTAATATCTTGTACCAACCATTATCATGGGCTAGGTTCTCGGAGCTATTGCGACGTCTTTGCCTAAGATCATTTTATAACATAAGTGTTATGAAAAATAGACTATATGGATAGTTTACGAGGGTAGTACATAAAAAAACGTTCAAAATATAAGAGCAGTTAAAAACGAAAAGATTTGTTCCGAATTCAAAAACAATGTAATTTAAAAAAAGAACAAAAAGCAATGATTCTTCCTGTGATAAGTTTTAAAAGATGGCCAGTAGTAGTGCATTCTGAAGCGTATTTATAATAAACGTTATTTTATTCTTGTCTTAAAATTATGATAGTAATTTGAATTTGAATGTCAAATTGATACCTGCCTATACCTTAGTGCACGAAAATGGACCATAAATGGTTCGGCTATCTACATGATTAACTTAAGTTACCTATTCACCTTCTATTAAGTCATAAAGAGATTGCTAAATACCTTCTTAGAGATAGAGTTGCTAGTAGGAATAGTCCTTTTGGCGAGTGGGACTCGTGGACGATTGAACTCATCACGTTTTTTCACTCTGAAATGATGAGAAATATTTATTTTAAAACATATCTATTATTTATATAACGTGTATTAAATACACAATGATCAGTAATGTTTACATGTCGTATTATTTCTTATTTCACAATATTAAACGTGATTTAAAATTACATAATAAATTACCTGTATATTCTAACGAGCCAATGCTCAGTGGTGTAGGACTCCTCAAGATAAGTAAGTTTGAAGCCGCGGTTGCCAGGCAACGCATTTCGCGTCCTGTCGTAACCCGGCGGACTACCGCCACTGTCATATCTATAATGAGAGAATTATACTATGTATAATATATATATTAATATACTACTAATTAAAGCTGAAGAGTTTGTTTGTTTGAATGCGCTAATCTCAGAAACTACGGATTCGATTTTCATCTCTGTGGGTTTCAGTTGCGCACGCTGCGAAATTATTCTCTTAAATACCTAAAAAATGTATATAAGAGAATAATTCCTCTTTTAATCATCTAAAAAAAAGCCCGCGACGCTATCTTTCAAGATTAACCTGCAAGACCGACGGGAAAGGACGCGATCGACGTCGTAGATAACAGTTCAAGTTTATAAAGATGACGGTGTTTGCAAAAACTAATTTGGATGCCCAAAATAAAGATTCTCGTGGACGAAGTGGCTGGCACAGCTAGTAATGAGTAAATGGTAAAGATTTTCTCTCAATAAAAAATATAAAAGTTGTATAACAACTGACCTATAATATGATAACTTATACATTAAACAGTTTAACATTGTCTTCGATCCTTCTGCGTCTATCCTATATTCTCCGCGTTCGGTGAAATAGTCAGCTTCCTAAAACATAAGGGCATTACATTTTTCGATGGGACAACATATTACAATATATATGTAGTTCCATAATCAGTTTTTACGTATCGGACGCACGAAAACATAGATAGAATATTTTAAATAAAACACTGAACAGGCGAAATTAGTTAAATTGTTCCCCCTGTGACCATGTCCGAAACTTTGAATCTTAATGTAAAAGTAAAATCTCTTTTCACCCCCTGGCTAGGCGAAAAAACAGAACAGATAGTTGTTCAGACTTCTGTGCCCCGACCGTACAACCGAAGCATTGTGTTGTTTCCCTAGAATTTGAATCCAGGACCTCTTCTACGACATGCAATACGATTCACCTCTAAGTAAAGGGTATTATTAAATATATACTGCACGCATTAATTATAAGCAATTTTCGGATTAATTTGACAAAATGTATAAAGTCTACTCACGTGTATATCCTTCGGATGTTCCCCTTCAGCGATTCTAACCATCCATATGAACTTGTTGATGTCGTCTCCCGAATAACCGATGGCCCCGCCGAAGATCACCAGCACATAGTCCACATCGAGCATACTCATAATCTCATAGGCCGCGGTCTCGTTACTGGCCATAGCCTTCCCGACTAGGGCTATATGAGAATTGTTCCATGTATTATTGTCCACGAGCGTCGTCCTGTTACCCATACCCGCTATCTGCAAATTTTATTGAGATGGTTTATTACACATTTGTTAGCATTCATGCTTATGGCTATATTATGGGTATAGTAAGATTGCTGGGGAAGCTTTGGAGTCAAATAAATGTGTTCCCAGGGCCCCTTCGACAGCACTGTAATGACCTGGTGGTGTTTTTTTTACCTATACATTACATTATTATAGTAGTTATTGGACATGAATATTATACCTGATATCCGTAATCCCACCACGACATAATTCTTGCGTCCTCTGCAGTGTTCTGTGACAACCAACCATATGCTTCCCTGAAGTCATCTAATATTCTTCGTGACCTGTGATAAGCAGTTTTTACTTTAATCATAAATAGAAACGTGCAGCAATATAAGATTTTTAATATTGTTTTTTTCAAATAAATATAGTATGTTATATAGGTAATATGTAAAAATTTGGCACAGTCAAACATTTACATTACTTCGTCCAGTTGGGTTGTTCAAAAATAATCGTGTATTTAAAAATCACACGATGCCACTATTTTCGTATAAATGAAAATATTGTTTTGGACAGAAAAAATATGGTGCTCTATAATTATTATTATACCAGGATGTTAGCCACATTAAAAAAAAAGTTTAATCAAAACCAATCATGTTAAAAACATATTTATTCTCAGAGATACTTTCCAATTTTCAGAACTAGGACCCAAATACGTACCCGTCATTCCCATAGCTCGCCAATACGATACTAGGACTGGAGTAAGCATTGGAGGTGGCCCACGTACAGTGAACTGAGAATAGCATGAGCAGAATCATGAAGGCTATAACAGTTCCGGGCCTCGCATATAACCCCGGTCCTTGATCTTGCGCCTGTACTGTTTCTTGTACACGTTTCTTCGCTTTACCAGACTGTTTGCGAGAAAAAAACCTTTTTTTAATTCTCTACGATAATGTAGAATATAAAAGAACAAAGATTTAGTAGTTGAAAGACGAAACTGTAAAATACTGTCATTGCAATGGGTGGCTTTTTATAACAAGGAAGTTTATTTAATGGTTTTAACATTATTTTAAGTTTTAGTACTATTAAAATATCACATATTTAACGGTTTAAAACGCGAATTACATTAGCTAAACTATTAACAAATTATTTTAACTCCATGGTCGAACTCCAGGGGGAGACTCGCGTGACTAAGGCTGTTGCAAATTTGAAATAGCATACCTTGTCATTCTTAACCTCTTCAGTTTCAATAGGTGCCTGAGTAGTGTCTTCCTCTTTTAACACCAATTCGAGAATGATAGAGAAAGCAATACCAGCGAGAACACATACAACGGGAGTAAGTGTTAGCATCAATCGAACCATCACACCCGCAAAGTATACAGCACTCAGGGCGTACAGTGCAACTGTAAAACGATTTTAGGCAAATTTAGATATAGATTTTCAAACAATAATGTGAATCTAAACAGCAACATTTTGGCGTTTGACATTAAACATGATTTAATAATAATAAACTACTAGGGAGTCCACTAACCAAATACTCTCTCGTCATTAATATTCTTGATGCAGTACCACAGACCAACAGGAAAAGTGCACACCAGAACATGAAGATCAAAGAAGAATGAGGACCATGTTGTTGGCTGATGTTCTGACACTGAAGCTATTATCGGTATATGAATTTTGGCATATCCTGTGTCCCATAGAGAATAAAACCTGAAAAACGCACTTAAAGTATAATAATTATAAAGGGACTTCTTATTTCTATGGTTTTAATCAATACAAAAATATGAGTCTGATGCTAGTATCTCTTACATAGTAAGTCGTAGTAGTATTGCATAAAAATAAGATGTAATCTTCTATACCTAAACAGCAAATCGAGAACCCATAACTAATACTGTTCTGTCTATCACAAGGGTTTATCCCTTAAACTGTAATAATTACATGCTAAATATTACAAAAAATATGAATACATATACAGAGAGAATAAATTTCGGGTTGCATTTACATACTGCATGCATGTACCTATAAGAGGCAAAACTTTTTGACTGCTCGATTACAATAAAGTAGAATTTAATTTACCCGATATTAAACACATGCCTTGCCCAACCCAAGTTTTAAATGATTTAACTGTATTTGGACAGGCCCTATGACACATGTTTACCATCTTTTATTACCACCCACAGTGGTAGGTTCTATTTAATACCGCTTAAACAACTTTTTAATTATAACTATATTATTACACATTTACCTTCCACTCCAAGGTGCAATGATTCCCATATAAGTCAAGGCCACCACAGCTAAAAATACTGCACCAGCAGCTACTATTGTACCCAAAATTAATAGTTGCTTCCATTCACCTTTTGGATTCAGGCTGTGTAAATATTTTAGAGCTCCAACTGCCATTAGCAATGCAAATACACCTGTAATTAAACATATTTATTATGTTACCATCTGTGGAATAACTATAAAGTATGAATAATTATTTATATATTAAAAAAATATATTATCATAGTATAGATATGTAAATAACTATTTTAACAGCTTAAATTGTATGTCTGATATTACTTAAGAAATAAGCTATTATTTAGGCATTGTAAAAATATTGTGTACTTTATGGATTAATCACAAAGCAATATTGAATACAAAATTGCTTTTTTAAAACATTAAAATGATTTACCTGAGGCAGCCATATGTTCGCTGGTCCGAATCGGTTGGAAACCAACAAATGGAATTTGCATGGAGAATACAAGTCCAATTATATAGAAGACTGTGTAACTTACAAAGAGTCTTTGTGAGAACCTGCCCATTATAAGAAGCACAAAAACGTGGAGTGGTATCAAGTTTATAATGAATACATAACCACCCCATGCTGACACCTAAAAAAAGAAAAGAAAATTTACCCATTAAATTTACTTTGAATGTTTCTTGATACTAAATATTTTAAATTGTAATTAATACTTTTCAATTTATTGTTTAGGTAAATTCAAACAATTCAATCAATTTACTTTTTGTACAAACTCTATATTATGTAATTAACATTTAATGAGTTTCATAATACAAAATTAGTATGTATTTAGTATAAAAGTATGTTTTGTGTGCTGTATATGTCAATAAATAATCTTATAAGAGCAATAAAAAAATTAAACAAAGAACTTTTCTTACCATATAAAAATAGGACAAAGCTGTACAAACAGACCAAAAGACTGAACCGCTCTTAACACTCTTCAACCATAAATAATATGTAAACTGAAGTGCAAAGATAGCTATGCCCTCATTATCATAACTACCAGCCACAGACCTGCTACTGTACCCGGGAACAATAGCAATAAAGCATGCTGCAAATAACCCCGCACCTCTTGACCATAATTCTGAGGTTAACAGATATGTAGCTATTGCTGTAAGACCACTGTAATAATAAAAGAACATAAAACTTTGTGGATGATCTGAACACAAAAAAGTGGCGTAAGAATGCTTGCCATTATTAAAATTTACACTAAGCTCTGTTCTTACCTAAATACAGGAGCAAGGAATACACAAATATCCCTAATATGAATAGGAATATTAAGTGCATGTAAAAACCAATGAATTGTGCCTGATGTAAGCATGAGACCAGGATACACTGTGCCACCAACTATCCTACCCAGAGGATACCAGGCTCTTTCATCAAACCAGTTCAGGAAATTGTAAAAGCCATGCTCCACCATATAAGCTGTCGATCTATAGTTGAACCTGAAATAACACATTGAATTTAAAATTCTTGTTTGTTTTGTTTTATAAAGCAATTATGATTGACTAACTAAACAATACAACTCTCTCCAAAAATACTTACCATGGATCAAATTCATGAATAATGCTTTCGAACCGTATTACAGCGAAAAGCCGGGAAGCAAAGCCGGCCAACCAAGCAAGGGTCAGAACTGTAACCGTGATAAGTGTGCTGAATCCGGCAGTGTTGTGAAATATGCCCTGGTCAGGACCATTTACTGGTTTCGCCGCAATGGTTGCGGGCATTTTGATGCGAGGAACTATAGCCAACTAATAACAAAATCCCATAAATACTTTCTCATACATGAATTCCAACAGTTCTATTGAAATTGATTGACTTTTCGCTGACGGACACGTCTTTCTTAAAAAAATAATTACCAGTAGTAATAACAGTTGGCTATTTTATTGAACATAATTTTTAGAACGTATTGTAAATAATGCATATACTTATGACATCTGTGAAACCTGCTGACCACTGACGTCTGACACCATACTGACATCTATCGGCTGTCGTATATCAATCAACGTCATTCGTGCTGTCATACACTTAATGCATATAAAAGAATGATATAAAAGATAAAACAAAGTGAGCAGCTGTAACTATAACTTTCTATTAACTTAATGTAATTTTATTGTAATTATACTCAGAAATTATTAATGTAGTGTGTATGTTGTTTAAGCCTACTAATACGGACATCCTAGATGTACTACTCGCCTAATAAAATTTATGGAAATACTTTTGACTACCAATATTAATGAAAGGTTTTTGAATTCCTTCCTATATTTCTAATAAAACTTATAAATTGGTTGGAAATCGAGTGGAATCACAAATATTTAATATAAATGTCCAACTACCAGGAAATTGTTAATCTAAACATTGGTGGTACAAGGTAAGAAATGATGATTATGATTTAAGTTAAAAATGGTTATTGAAATAAACAATACCAAAAAAAACTTTGTCGTACGATTTTGCTAATTCAGTCACATTGTATAAATCTTAATTGTATTTACGTTAATTTAAACAAATACTTTCACTTATTACTTTTGTTTTTTTAGATTTGCGACATCATGGCACACATTAACATGGGTACCAGACACTTTTTTCACGGCTTTACTGAGTGGAAGAATACCTACAGTGCGGGATGATACAGGAGCCATATTCATTGATAGAGATCCGAATCTCTTTGGTCTTATTTTAAACTTTCTCCGAACTAGAGACATAGACTTAAATAATGTTAACATAAGAGCATTGAGGCATGAATGTGATTACTTTGGTATAACACCATTAAGTAGACGGCTGGCTCTCTGTGATGAAATGAATCATTCCTCATGTGGAGATGTCTTATTCTATGGATATCTACCTCCCCCATGTGAGTTATATTTATTTTTTTACTAACTGATTTTAAAACTAGTATAAAGTTATTATGATAGATTTATTTGATTTAAAATAGTCTATTTATCTAAAGGTAAACCATTTGATTTGTTCAGGTCAAATGTGTTCAAAACTTAATTTAAGAGTAAATACTACTAGTTTGTTTACAAGACTACTGTTAACTAAGTTACTATCTTTTAAATTATTTCGTAGAATGAAATGGTTAATTATTCAAAAAATAATCTATAAACAATATAATGTATACATCATAGTGAATCCTGCAGTGCCTAATGGTAGTAGTGGAAAGAACAGCAATAGTGGATCTAGGAAGAACCTCACGGCATCTAATTCGGATATAGCAGCTAGTAGAACACATTCAAGAAATTCCTCACTGGACCTAAGGACTGTTGGAAGAGTGCCTTCGCAAGATCAATTGAGGTTAATTATCTTAAGTAATTATGTCTTTTATTTTAATCATATTTATTTGTAAATTGCACATAATATAATTCTTTATATATAAAAATGCTTTATCTATCATCACACACTGGACCTGCATATAGACTTATAACTGAGTATATTTTATTACTTGTATGCTGCAATTTTGTTCTGTATCTGAGTTTTACTTTTCCAATACATATTCAGTCGGTGCGGTAGAGGTCATTCTAGAGCAGCATCTCTTGGCAATGCAGAGAGTCAAAAAGGGTTGCGAACTGAAAGTAAGTTTAAATTATTTGAAATTGTTACTTGTGCAAGTTACTGAGATACTGACTTATCAATTCATCTTTTACAGACACCTGGTCCGAGAATATGAAAGTACAGATAGTAAAAGCACACCATAATTGGATAGCTGTTGCTTATTCACACTTTGTAACAGGATATCGGTAAGTTGAGATAAATACTTTGCTGAATGTCTCACTGTGTGATTTCTTTTATTATAGAATGTTTTTAAATAATATTTTTAGTAGTAGGAATTTTAAGAAGGTATTACTATTCTGACACATGATATATTATGCTTTCAACCACTTTTATAATGTACACCTAGGGTATTTGCTTTACAGATTAACCGATTCGTGTGGTTGGTATGTTGTTTTTCAATCTCCAGTCCAAGAAACGGCCATTGAACGTATAGCGCTTAACGCTAAAACAGGTGGGGCTACGTCAAGTGGTAATAGTTCAGCTGGATCTGATGTAATGCTTGGTATAGCAAGTGGACTATTTGTGAGACTGTGGGCTTTTTCAACACATAGTGAACCAGTTAGGCGTACGCTTATTGGTATGTTTTTTGAGATTTAACTGTTATTTTAAAATCAATAGAACTGTAAAATATTTACATTCTCATGACATCCTGTCTTAATGGTTAGTTGATTTGTTAAGTATTAAAAATATATTTTAGATGAAGAAATATTCATGACATGGGCAAGACTTAGACCGGCATCCATATTGTTCCATGATGTTGCTCTACCACCACCAATTAAGCTACCGTGTCGTTAACGTCGATTTTTTTCGAATCGAACGTCAAAGTCGAATACATTTCTAATCATTGTGTGTCTAAAGTTTCAACGTCTTATGCTTTGCAGCTAATGAAAATTTGAACACTTTAATATTTTTCACATGATTGCACTATATACAGAATAAATCGATTTTAGGTATGGTTTAAGTAAAAATTAACAAACAAATACACTTGAATTTATAATTCTAGTAAAAGGACCACTTTTTAAGATAGATAACCCACAGTTAAACTTCTGGTGACCCCAATAGAGAAAATTAATAATATATACATTATTCAAGAGTGTTAAACTAAAAGATTTTTTTTAGGTACATTCAACCTGGGCGTGCGCGTGGAGCACCTTCTATTTGTGGGACCACAATTAGTTGCTCTAAGTGGAGCTGGCAGTCGGAGTAAGGCCGGTGTTTGGCACACGAGCACTCAACACTGGCAGACACAGGATGTCGCACATTTGACCACATATGACACCGCGGGTTCATTCCTACTGCTAGGCACTGCTACTGGTGCTATCAATTATATAGGTATATACAGTATTTAAGTACAGTACAGTTTGGAGAGTACTGTACTTAAATACGACAGTATGTAGTTTATGCGAGACACATTTAAATAGAACACTTTAACGGTTTAAAACACGAAATATATTAATTAAAAAATATTTTACCTACGGCCCGACGTTTGGGATGCTTGGCAGTAGCTGTGTCACGGGGAGACTGTCAACTGTGTACTGACTGAATGTCGCGTTTTAAACCGTTTTTTATATATTAAAAAAAAAACACATTACAATATTGTTATTTTTAGATGGGACATAAACCTATTCAGGTTTTTCCGTCCATCCGAATGTCGATACAGAACAAATTATGTGCTATGCTATGCTTATTATACTTATAAAACTATGTTATTAAATTACAAACTTTAACAATTAAACATAAAAAGTAGACAATTTTTAAACAAGTTAAGTTAAAGTGTTTTATTGAAATAGGTATATACTTACCATTTAACGCCCTTTGAGAATTCCGGCTATGATTTCTGATGAAACAAGATAGATGGCGACGGGAGAAAGCACTCAAACACACGACACGGGACAAGGCAAATAAGGCTGATCACCTACTTTCCCCTAAATAACTTTATTTAATAATATTTATTATCCACTATTCTTTGTTTCTGATAAGATGTTATTATTTGAACTTGTTAACTCATTGCTTTCAGATATGCAAAAATTCCCGCTTCGTATGAAAGACAACGATTTACTGGTGACTCAGCTTTATAAGGACCCCAATCAAGAACCAATCACTGCGATATCAGTATACCTTACTCCTAAAACAAGTAAGTATTATTGCTTAATACCAAATTAGTACCTGTACCTTGTTACCTTGGTACTAAAAAACTAAACAATGACAGAAAGATTAAGACACCGATCACAGAAGTCGTAAAAAGGACGATTTCTTTAAAAAATCGAAATTTAGAGATACGTCCAGATTAGGGTCGTATTCATTGTTAGCTCAAAAGTAGCCTATGTTAACTCTATCTTTGCAAATATAATTATATTAATATTAATAGTTAGCCTAGGCTAAGTTTGACCGTAGTAAAAAGATGAATACACTGATAAGAAATAATCCCTGGCTGTCAAACACCTGTAGACCTCTTAGATATTGAGCCAAATTTCTAGGCCTATGCGGCAACTGGCTTGAAATAGCATATGGAACGCGTTATGGGTCTGTCCGCGTTATCGTACAGCACCCAGAGACTGTTGGCCACGGGCCGCAGCTTTTCCAGACCTTCACAGTGCATCAGAGTCCAGTCACCAAGGTATATTGTAAAATATTTTATCTGCCTATTATTTTATATGAAAAGATATTATGATTTTTAACAAGGTCGCTGAATCGTTCTCGAACATTGCTTAGTACTCACTGTATATATATCTGTTGCTTGTTTTAACTAAGCCAGCAAAAACTCTTTTTCTCTTCTATTGCGTGCGTTAAATTTTTTTTGAAAAGGTTTAATTTTATTTTCTATTCTTTTAAATAAAACACTTTAACGCCTTAAAACGCAAAAAAAAATTACTTAAACTCGTTTACAAACTATTTCTAAGTACGGCCCGACGTTTCGGATACTTTGCAACAGTAGTAGGGATACTCGGTCTCCAGTAAATCTCCAGAGAAAAATAAAACAAGTTTTACTATTATATATATCGCGTTTTAAACCGTTGAAGTGTTATATTTAACACTTTAACTTGTACTCGCGAAAACTATAAACTGTATTTAATTGCTATTCTCAACAAGCTCAAACAGCTCAAGTATATTAAAAGTAACCTTCCATACACACTTACTTACTTTAAATTAGGTTAAAAAGTCTTTATTATATGATGTTCATTCCTCAGGTCTCGCTATCTGAGAACTACTTAATATCAGTATGCAGTGAATACAACCATGTACGATCGTGGCGCGTCACTCGCTTCCGCGGTATGATTTCAACTCAGCCCGGAACAACACCCAAAGCCGCCTTCAAAGTTCTAGCTTTGGAAGCGCCTACTGCGCAACCACACAATGATTCTGGTATGTTTTATTTTTACTCTTTTATTTATAAGCTGCTTAACAAGCCTTAGTACCTTACTCAATACATATTACCTAGTTTATACTATTTCCAAAATCTTTTTAATGGTTTTAAACGCGAAATAAAGTAGTTAATGACCCGGGACACCTACTTTTGACTTTTAAACCGTTGAAAATCCATTTTAAATACATATTCCATTACAGTTCTTTAAAAAACCAAGTAACACAAACTTGCTTACGTTTTAGGTCCCTATGGAGAGCAGGATGAAGAACAAATATTCATACAAAAGGTAGTTCCTGACACAGATACTCTGTATGTTCGTCTAGCTTCTAACGGAAAAAGGTATATTGACATTTTCTCAGGCCATAATACAATTTTCCTTTCAGCATTTCTAGAACTTTCGAGTTTAACGGTATATACCCCTTATTTCCGATCGTGAGGTTTGGAGTGCAAAATAAATCATTTACCTATTTTTATATTACACTTCTGGCTTTTGTCTGAGACAATAAACGTTGTTGTAAAATAAACAGGCATATCCAAGATCTATGTAACATAGAGTAAAGCGCTCTTTGTATCTCCTTTTTATGTAAGACGCTGGCATACTGGCCATAAAAAGGGATTTCTTTTTTTTGAGAACGTGATGATGCTTGCTAAGATTTAAAAGTTTCTTTTTAGGGTATGCACGATACGATCAGTAGATGGATCACCAGTATCGTGCTTTGTGGTAGCCGAGTGTGAAGGAGCCTTACGACCTCGCAGATTGCTTTTATGTGGACATAGATCTGGTGCCGCTCAGATGTGGGACCTAACCGCACCCATAGACAAAGCTGCAAAACCCTCTCAGACGGTCGCTGGAAGTGGTGAGTCACGTTTGGAGTTGTGTAAAAACAAAGTACTTCAATGTTTTCTGAAATAACTAGCTGTGTTCGCGACACCGTCCGCGTGCAATATCCTCGTCATTTTAGGCATCAAAATTTATTTTTGCACACAACCTCCACGCTTTATAAATAATTATAGCGTCAAACGCTTCGTATCGCCCTTGTGAGGTTATCTTAAAATATATACATATATTGTCGCGCGGACGTTTGTTTAGATGCACAGACTTATTAAGACTATATGTACTTGGAGCCACGCGGGCAAATCATGAACTGATGGTAATTACGACAATAAAGGATTGATAGTAATGTATTAAAATTGAAAAAGATTTTTTCATTTAAGTAAGTATACTTTTTCTGTCAGCGGGCCGCGGTCTCTGCATCTCTTGCTTTAGATCTTTTAAAGAGGGCTTATTCTTTCATCTCATTTTTTGAGTATTCTGAGCCATTTTCGCAGCGCACGCAACGGTTGATGAATAACTCCTCCCCTCCCCCTTTTTTTCCACATTTACCACTGTCTCTTCGCTCGCGTTTGCTTGTTACTGTTTGTGCGATAAATGCTCTAACCAACACAAAAATAATTTTTATTTCGACCCAGTGGTTTCTGAGATTAGCGCGTTCCAACACGCAAACAAAAAACGCACTCTTCAGCTTTATACATATAAGAAAAAATAATTAGTTAACTAATAAAAATAATTAGGTAACTAGTTATACCTACTAGAACACGGGTCGTAAATTTTTATACGTACCTGGCGTCAATTGTCACTGCGTGAAAAAAGAAATGTGTTTATTTCTGATAACATATGCATGACTAGTGCGTAGTACTTGACAAATGCTTACCTACTTAATCTAAACTGTAAAAATGCATACAAGAAACATTTTTATTTCTCAGAGTATTTAATATCCTTTATCTATTTCTAGGTGAGGGCGAAGAGTCACCTGTAGCAGATGGAGGCCCATCACCTGATGAACTAGTGCGACTGCTTTCCGCGTGTGACCTAGATGCATCCCCTGCACCACCCACCCCAGCTCTTCTTCCACCATCCCCTAATCGACCGATACAGGCGCCCTGAGTACACTCAATATGCTCAATGCTTCTGTCCTTAGTTATTCCAACATAAGTTCAATCTACCAAAACAAGGAGGGAAGGTAATACAGAAACTGTTGTCACTAATATGTGTTGATCACACAGGATGGCACTTTTAGTAAAACAATTATAGCATAGTAGGGAAAAATCTATATACTCATTTTAAGAAAATTTTATTTGCCGTGTCAAAACTTACAATTCAAATTTGGAATGTCGAGAAAGTCATTATAAATAGCGTGGGCGCAGCGAAATGTATATGTATTTTCTGTAGGTAGTATGTTGAAATATGGTTATATTTTTCTACGTTGAAATGACCCATTTTTGGTATTAGGTAAAGTTTTATTTTCTCTGTTAAAACTTTTTAGCTCTTTGTGTTATTAGGTACCTATATTAAGGTGCTTGTGTTTTTTTAAGACTGAATTATATTTTAGCCCTGCTCAAGGGTCATGCAGCGCGCGATTCTTTGATAAATTCGTTGCTTTTATTTAAATGTTTAAAAAGTTGTGACTGATGTAGCTGAATGAAATCTGATAAAAGTATTTTCATATGTACTTGATGTTATATAGTTGCTGTATTTAAAACGTATTTTACATATGAATCGTGATTTAATAGAATCTTTAAAAATCGTATAGTGTATTTTTGGGAATATTTAACATAGTGTAAAATCAAATTTAAATGTTTATAGTAGATAGTTATATTAGCATTGTCTTAATGTTAAACGTGAAGATTTTTCTGCACTTTTCTTAAATAAATTAAGCTGACAATGTAGATTTTGTTGTAGTTTTATTTTAAATAACTACTTTATCATATTTTCAGATCTTTAATTCTGTCATCCCAGTCCTAGACAAGGATACTTATTTAAAAACTTCTGTATATTTTGGCTAAATGTTCATTAAATAGTAACATACTAATATTACGACTATAGCGGATAATAGTACTAAGTTTGCTACATGACATAAATCTGTTTCTTTGTATGGAAAAAAGAATGAAATGAAAAAAAAAACATTTATTTTAGTTTATTTGAAATATTTACAATTTATTATGTACCGTTAGTAATAAATTAAGCTTAATAAAAGAATCAACTGCACCATATGTAAACTTTTGCATATTTACCAAATGAAAAAAAAAACAAATATGAGGCTACTAAAGATACAATTATTTTTTCTACTAGACCTTTTAGAATTCTGCGCAACTTGTAAGAAAATAGATTCGTTAACAATAAAAATAATTAATGGCACATATCCAAACCCGTGACAATAATACAATAATATTTACTATAAAACAATTGTTAACTTAACAACTTTACTACATCTTATGTAATGACTAAGTTATACAATTCAACTGACTAGTATGTAGATTTGTGCTTAAAAGTATTGTTAAAACTAAACAACTGATTACAAACGAAATATTAAATAAACATTGATTTGTGCATTACTTCGTCCATTCCCACAAAACAGTTTAGGTCCTTTATATGCTTTACGTCCATTTTTCCCATATTTATATTATAACAAAAGAACTTCGCACGTTTTTATAGGTGTCTGACAAGTAAGTACCATTGTTATATTAGACTATACAATATAAGAATACTGAGTAATTAATAGTAAATATACAGAATCAAGTTCACCTACTTACCACAGTTGCACATGTAAAGTATCTATTCTACTTAAAATGGACATTTATTTTAAGTTGTTCATGTTACGTGTAAAAAGTATTACAAGATATAAAAAACTGGCTAATCTTTACTAAAACTTAAAATTATTAGACAGAGTGCCTGCAGACATATTTTTTTTTTATTAAAATGTGACTTGAGCTTGATATTTGTAAAATTTTAAAACATCAGATTAATCATTAAAGCTACAGATACTTGAATCATTGGCAATAGTTGATAACGGCAAAGTGAGTTCTTACGTAAGTCTAGCGGCAGCCTATATAGTCTTAACAAGTTTTAACTTTACACAACCATGTACCAAAATTTATAGTCTGTGATTTCAAGTAGCAAATTGTATTTTATTGTCATACAGATCTGGGCTCGTCATTGGGTTTAAAAGGTAGCACCATAAACTAAATCCTAATAAATAATTACAAATGATTATAAATCTCTCTATTGGCGGAAACAATGTGACGTCAGCAAAGTTAGGGAAGCCCATATGATTGCAAAATATATGAGCCATTAAAGGTGCAATAAAATGTCCTGAAAAAAATTATAATCTTAATAATAAATAGGTAAATAAAATACTTCTATATCACAATAAAAATGCACTACTAGATAGAAATCTTCTGTATGATATACATATACAAACATTTAACTAATCATTATAAAAGAAAAGTTAATAAACACTAATTGATTTTACTTACCGCTTCTCAAGAACAGATAGGATGAGTAAGCACCAAACATTGAGGTGTATGTAAATTGAAAAGCTAGAAAAAAATATATTTAGTTGAAATTTAAAAGTCCTTAAAAAATTGGTTAAAAAATATTGTAAATACTTACTAGATACAATAAGTGCAGTCTTCATTTCATATCCAGCCTTTATTTGTTCAAATACATGATGAAAATGTGCTGAAATATTTGAGTTGGTGTTTAAGTTAGTCACACAAAACAAAACACAAAGGGATATATTTTCAACAATTGATTTTTTTAAATTGCTCCACAGTAAATTATGAATTGCATATGTGTAATTGATCAGAAGTTGTACTGGCATATGTCACAATTAGATATGCTATGGCATTGCTTTTTTAAGTATGTATATGCAAAAAAACTAGTTAGCACTATACTTACCAATTCCAAAAAGTAGCGGACCTATAAAAACTGCTGACATTGGTTTCAAACATTGCAGCAACAGAGGCATCATGCAAGCTCTAAACACCCACTCTTCACTCAAAGGTGCCATTATATGATTCCTTACCCACACTAAATCTTGCCAACAAGATATCCAATACATTGGTTCTGAAAATTAAATTTACAATAACATCATAAATTTAATATAGATAAAAACAAATATACATCATAAATACAGATGAAATATTTACAAACCTATGTATATTCGCCATGCCCCAGAAAAAAGTTGCATGGACAAAGGTCCCAAGAATAAAATAATAGTCAGGGACAATGGTAGAATAAGTGCTTGCACAAAACCTTCTTCACGTAACCCCATTTTTACATACATTTCTTCCCTATCAATTTGTTCATTAAGGAAGTAGTATGTAAATAACGGTGCAAGCATCATCATGACAAATACACTGAAGAATCTTTTCTTAATAGTGGTGGGGTGGTCTCTGAAGTATAATCAAGACAATGTAAACATAATTGAAAACAGGAGTGGCATAATTGTAAATATGGTCTTGTTAGAATCACACCTGTTTTCCCTTGATCTCCAGACATAGAGACTTGCTACGTAACACACGGTTAAAAATACACACGCTATAACGGAAAATATACAATTACTTATGTCAATCCAGTCCCATGGAGTCATTATTTAAATTAATATTATTATATTTTTTTATATATTACAAGGTATCTTAAGGAAACGAAAATATTTAATAGATTACTATGTTTTGTGTTAATAGTAAAAAACTTATTTTTTCCTTATATTATTAATAATTAAGATACACAAGGGATACTTGGTTAAGTATAATTATTAGTAATTTATAATTAAATCTACTGACTACATAATAATGAAAAAAGTGATTGTGATAAACAATAATAGAGATATTTCAGCTGGTCAGTGGGCCACCTGCCAATATCACATATGACAGAATCACGTCATTTATTTTGAGATTTCACACCAATCTGACAAATGACATAAATGAAAGAATTAACCATGGACAACAGAATATTTTAATATAGACCTTTAGTGTAGGTTGTAACATGCGCCATGTTTTTCGTCGGCGGCCATATTTTTCTTCAGAGAGTCGCCCTTTCTTAGCAAGTGTTAATTTTTCTCTTAAAATAGTGAATAATGTTTTGTATGAGTTAACAGTTGCATATTTATAATTAGTGTTTAGTGCAATATTTATAATCATATATTAGCTTTGCCTATCGTCGACTGATGTGGAATTATCTTAGTTTCCTGTTTCGGTATCCCAATCTATTCTAAACAGAAAATGGCCGACGGTGTTGGTGCGGTTGTCTCCTTTGTTTAGGCTGGTTTCTAGTGAATATAAAGTGTTAAAGAAATAATGCCTAGTGCCTCGTTTTCATCTTCGCGTTCTTACGTACGTAGATCGCGAAGAAAAGGCGGACATAGAATACCATTACCATCTAGAACACAATCAAGTAAGTTATTCGGGTCGGCTGTTATTGCACCAAATATTCATTAAGCCTTAATACATTGCACTGACCGTGACTAGTTTTACGATATCTGTTTGCGTAGACCAGATTTTCCAAAATATTTTTTATTTAACAAATATATCGATTAAGTACTGTAATGATTCCGATTTAGTTGGTTACAATTTATTTATAATCATTGTCCCCGTACGATTTTGGCGTGCTTAAATATTATTTTGTATAGAATGCACTTTTTGTCTCTTTCTTTACAACAGAATTGTATGATATTTTCGCAATATCAGTACTGATTTTAAAAAAGCTATTCTATATATAACATTGAACAGCTGTTTCAATATGACTAGATGAATAAGTGATGACTATTTTAACAAACAAAAAACGATATTTTTATTTATTATACATACAGTTTCAATGGTCAATTTCTTTTCTCTTTTTCATATTTAGTGAGAATACAATACAAGAGGCATCAAAGTTTTTTTTACCTATTTAATTAATTATGAATTCTGTGTTTATCCTCACATTACATTAATTTATTATTTTTTTGATGGCTTAGATATAAGTTTATGCTTCTTATGTCCTTGAACTTTCATTTCCTTGCTTAAAAACGGTTACTTTTATTTAATTTTATAGTTAGGTATATATATATTGATAAAATCTCCTTTATGTACGCATATTTAAGATTCATATTTTATATATTCAAGTTACGTCAAATAATTTCAGTTTTTTATCTAATTAAACCAGTATTATCCTTATCGAAAACATTCTCTGTATTGGTATTTTGTGTTAATGTTAGATGTAATGCAATGTTAATTATAATTGTTAGTTGATACATTTGTAGTTTCATGTCTTCTAGTTCATTCTAACTTTATGTATCAATTAGGTCATGTAGTTTGGCAGCTAATCAAATTTCAAAGAAAATAGTGTTATGAACATGTTTTTCTATCATTGTATAATTTTAATTATAATTTAAACACTTGTATTTATCACAGTCAAATTAAATTGTTTATCCATGTAGGTTGCTAGGTACACTTATATATGACAATACAGTTAGAAAATTGTAGAATAAAAGAGAAGAACTGGCAACTTGCTGCCATTCCTTTTACCTTTTATAACCCACAATTATTAACTTCTCCTTTATTTTAGTTAGAACAGGTTCTTCAGAACCCTAAGCCTTTTAATTAATAAAGTAAAAATAATTTAAATGTCAAATTACATACACAAATTGTATAACATACATGTTAATGTTATACCATATGATTTAAACTTTTATATTGACACATATTATTAAAATAGTGTAGGCTATTATATACTTTAAAAAAATACTAATTTTATGAAGCCTTCTGTTAGAGTAAACATTATTTCCATATTGAGATTAAAGAAAACAAACAAACAAATGTGGTGATTATGTTGTTGACAGCTATAAAACTATTTTCTTACATAAATGTCCAAGTTTGATTGTGATTTTTATAACATAGGTACTTATTGGCTTTTTTTAATTTAACTCCATATTATAAAACTAGGATTGGGCTCTTGTGTTGCACATTATTTTGATTACATAGAGCAGATTACACTCACTAAATAACTATAAATGTACTTACCTAAATTAAATAACGATTTTAAATAAAATTACGCCACAGCCAGGACTTGAACCTGTATACGGCCGGTTTCGTGCTGTTGACCGTGGCCTACTCGTCATCGTCAAGTTTTTTTAATCTATTGATACATGCACCTCTCGTACAAATTCTTAATAGTTATTCTCTAGTCAAAAGTACAACTTTATTACAGTTGGCTTCATTTTTATTGGAGCTGTTACTGCCCTATATACTACTCTCTTCGATCAATATTTCTATCTCTTTTTCTATTTCATTAAACTGAGCGGTTTACAGGTGAACCATGTGAATCAGTCCCGTGCCCAAACAACGTAACAGGCAGCGCGATGGCAGCAACTGCTTGCGCGGGTCCTAGCGGTAGTGGTGGTGGAGGCTCCCCGCCCGTACCAGCAGCTGCGCCCGCTACTACAGCTGGTCATCACAGCCCCTATGATCTGCGACGAAAGTCACCCCCCCGCTTACCATGAACCGGGGCCCTCAGGCACCTGCTCACTGCCGGCCAGAAAAAGACCAAGAACGTAAGTTATTGTGTTGACTTTTGTTTTAAATTTCAAGTTGCATACTTCTACTTTGCTCTAATCAAACATACTATTAAATAAATAAACAGGAACTGGATATCTTTATTTAAAAAAATTGTGTTTATTTGTTTTTTTTTTTTTTAATTATATTTTATATGCAACTGTATCTATGACGGTGTCGTCGGCGAAAGGCAGTAAAATTGTAATGGAGCCGCAAAAGATTGTAGGCCCAAATTTTTTATATCGTCGTATCGTGATTGGAGACAAAATATTACCTATATTAAAAATAAATCTTAAGATTAAACGCCAAATCAAGTGTTTATCTGTTGTTTTGCTGGTTTAGTTATTAATGTAAGGCTAATAATAATCAAAGGATCGTAGGTTCGATCCTCACCCGGTAAAATATTTTTGTGATCTTATAATTTTTCTGTTGGAGATATGTTGTTGTATATGAGTTCGTCTGAAAATCTGGATATGAAAAGAGCGGTAGATATATCAAAATTCTTCCGGGTAACGAATCGTCTTAAAAAAAAAGAACACCATAACATATTAAATTTGTTTCCTTTTATTTAATGAAACAAACATCCAAGCTACTATGAACTAGAATTGAACAAGCAAGCTAACTATGGTCGCTCATTTAGGAAGTGCAAAAATCTTTATTAATTATGCCAAATGCAAACAAACATCAAAAATATTTTCGTAGTAAGGCACATCTTTGATTTTTACATATTGATCAAGTTAAAATAACTTAAGGGTATGTTATCCAATGTAACAAGTAAATCATCTTTTGTATAAAATTCTTTGTTTTGAATTGACGGATCAACGCACAACCATTGCTCCTTGTAAAAATCTACCTGAATTTGGCGGGTGTATTCTTTGTTTTGTCGAAGGCAGGTGATAAGAATGGTCTTTGCAGAAAAGGAAGGTATATTTAAAGAGAAATCATTCTTTTAGACAATTGTTTTGGTTTCTGAAACCGTATTCCCAGCGCACGCAAACAAAACCGTAAAAGTCGAAAAATTTTACCCGGTTTTCCACATTTTCCATTGTTTCTTCGCCCCTGTTAGTCGCTGTAATGTAATGTAAAAAGCTACCCTCGATAAATGGTCTATCCAAAACATTTTTTTTTTCAATTCGAACCAGTAGTTCCTGAAATTAACGCGTTCAAACAAACAAACCGCTTTAGCTTTAATAACCATAGATCTCGATTGTATCCCCATACCTACGTAAAGGTACGGCGCATAACGCTCGCTTGAACGTATTTGAATACGCTCAAATGTGTATATAATATGTCGTTTTCAGATCGTTGTCACAAGGCGTGGATGTTTGCAATGTGTCGCAATACCTGCAATATGAACTTCCGGACGAAGTATTACTTTGTATACTGTCCCATCTCACTGAGCGCGATTTGTGCCGCGTCGCGCAGGTCTGCAAGCGGTTCAATACGATCGCTAACGACACTGAACTATGGTAAGCTAATCATGTTTACGTCCGTTCAATTCTGCGATACGGATTTAACTCGTTTCTTAAACTCCACTACTACAGAGCTAAGTCTGATCTCAAACATATGTCGTCATCATCGTCATTAGCCCTTAAAATACTAATGACGATGATGTTTACGTTTAGCTTCACCCGAGCGCACGTTGTCAGAATATACACCAAGATATTTTTTCGGCCACTGAGAGTCAAACTCAAGAACGAAAGTTGGGTTCTCAACATCTAATATATTATGCGCTTATAGAATAAAAATTTAAGATTAGGAGATAGATTTATGTTTTTCTCAATAGGAAAAGTCTGTATCAATCGGTGTTCGAATACGACACGCCGTTGATGCACCCCGCGCCATGCCAGTTCGAATTTGTCGCGCCGGACGAGTGCGAGGCTGACAACCCGTGGAAGGAGAGCTTCCGTCAGCTGTATTATGGCATCCACGTGCGACCCAACTATCGCCCCAAGAAAGACTCTCGCATTAAACATTATAACACTATAAGGGTGAGTATTGAGTTCACTTAATAAACACTTCTTAATTCATTGTTCTACTGTTAGCTACTAATGTAGCTTTATTATTTACCGATCGTAAAAACTTTGGTTTCGCGATAAAAGGTAATAAAAATCTTTCCGGGAAAAATGACAAATTTCTTGAGTATATGTGTAATATATAAAACTAATTGTGTCAGCGACTTCGTCTGTATAAAATAGTTTTTTTGGGCATCAAAATTTGTCAATCAAATCTCTTCCTCTTTATAAATATAAGATGTTATCCACGACGTCCACGGGTCCCGTCGTTCTTGCAAGTTAATCTTAAAAAATAGACGAACAGGGTTCATACATTTTTTTTAGATCATTTGAAGGTAATCATTTTCCCTGTTTTCTCTTTCACATATGCTACGCAGCGCTATGTTTTTTAGCCTTCCTCGATAAATGCAAAATGATTTGAACTAGTAAGTAGTTTCTGAGAGCGTTCAAACAAAAAATCTCTTCGCCTTTGTATCTTGGTATGGATCGGTATACATATGTTATACTCATGCGATCCTATACGGCAATTCCTTTCAGGCGGCTCTTGAATATGTTGAAGAGCGTGGGGGTGGATCGTCAACCCCAGCCACTAGTGCCAGTACTGGAGCGAGCAGTACTATTACCAGCACTAGCACAAGCAGTGCATGCTCTTGCGGAACCTCTGCCTGCTCGTGCAGACGTGCCTCTACCTCTTCGACCGCACCAGCACCTGCTCTTGTGTTTGTCCATGCTGGGCTCTACCAAGAGGAGTGCTTAGCCATTGATACTGATGTTCAGCTTATTGGTAAGTAAGATTATATAGTGAATCAAATAATTAAGTATTAATATCTTAAATTATTGCTGTCCTTCCAATAATATTATATGTATAACTAGCAGTGCTAGCTACTTCGTCCGCATAGAATAGTTGTTTTGGGCATCCAGATTTTTTGCAAACGGAAAAAAGATGTAGATCTTTACAAATGTATAAGCTGCCAACGACATCGGTCGCGACCCATGCTAGCCATATATTGTTTCGGATATTTTTTAGATCACTTAAAGAGGAATCATTCTTTCATACATATTTTTTGTTTGTCTTGAACCGTTTTCGTAGCGTACGCACCGGAAACCCAGAGAGATGAATAATTTTCCCCTTTTTTTTTCACATTACTTCCTGTTTCTTCGCTACTATTAGTCACAGCGTGATGATTTCTTCAATAAATGATCCATGATGAAACCAACTCAAAAATAATTTTTCAATTCCAACCCGTAGTTCCTGAGATTAGCGCGTTCAAACAAACAAACTCTTTAGCTTTATATGTTAGTATAGATTTATTATATTATGTAATGAAGAAACAAAAACGTATAGTAATTAATAATAAAATATAGATAAGTTTAGAAAAACACTATGGTTAATTTATACCATCAGTTATCTATTATATAGTCGATAGAAGAACTTGAAGACCTCATTATATAATGTTTGAATTAAGTGATTTGTTTATTTGACATACCAGAAATAAATGTTATGATTTAATATTTTTTGTGTTATTAGGTTGTGCTCCGGGCAATGTGGCCGAGTCAGTTGTGTTGGAGCGCGAAGCGGAATCGACACTGACGTTCGCTGAGGGAGCAAACCGCGCCTACGCTGGCCACATGACATTGAAATTCTCACCAGATGCAACCAGCACCATGCAACACCACAAGCACTATTGCTTAGAGGTCTCCGACAACTGCTCACCCACCGTTGATCATTGTATTATACGCAGTGCTAGTGTTGGTAAGTACTGTAGTTTAAGGGAATAGTACACATTTAAATAAAACACTTGTAACGGTTTAAAATGCGTAGTATATTAGTATATATCAATTTTATATATCAAGTAGTCTTGATTTATATACAATTTACAAGCATCCTGCCAGTTTCGCCAAATATCAACTACGACGGAACAGATGGCGTTAGCGTAGCAGTTTATATTTTGACATTAGAAACACCCTCCATCTTCAGTCCCCCCCAACCATGGCTGGTGCAAAGCATCCGAATCGTCAGACTAGTTAAAACTTATTAACAAATAAAATTTCGCGTTCGATACCATTAAGAGTGACTTTAACTTTTAATGGTATCAAACGCGGCTTTTAATCCATTAAAAAGACAGGCTGTTGGGCATAGGTTGAGACCCGACTTTATTAAATATTTATAGTAAGTAAGAGTTATTGAATTAATCTATTGTTTGCTTTATTTTATTTATATAGCTAAAGCGCTGTACTGGAATTAAGTCTGTAAAAACTTAAAATTGTTAGTTAGGCAGTATACAGCACTTATAGATAGGAAATTATGTGTTTAATTTTACTTTTTAATAATATTAGTACAAAGCAGGTTAATTTGACTCACGCCAAAATCTGATCATGTTGTTCTTATTATCTAGGAACTAATACACAAGTGGTTAGAAAAATACTGTTTTAGCATTGTTGTTTTTAATTAATATTTATTTTTTAGTTGGTGCGGCGGTGTGCGTTTCTGGTGCTGGCGCAAACCCCGTGATCAAGCACTGCGACATCAGCGATTGTGAGAATGTTGGTCTTTATGTCACAGATTATGCGCAGGTAAGAAAACATCACTACTTAATTTTAAAAAAATGGAAACATGTTTTTTGTGGTCAAATAAAATTAGTTATTTTATTTTATATAAAATAAAAAATTCTTTCTCTATTTATTGATTTTATATGTTAACTAATGTAAAAAAAAGACATGAAACCATGTCCTAAATGCTTTGATTAGTATTGTGAGCACTACCAAAGGATTGGTTAAATAGAGCAAGATCATAAGCCTAGCTCCATGATTTTTTCAAGATCCGTTTTAAATGGTAATAAAAAAAAAAATGGGTAACATTTAAAATTAAACGTTGTTTGTCAGGGTGCATACCAAGACAACGAAATATCCCGGAACGCGCTGGCCGGAATCTGGGTGAAGAACTTCGCGAATCCCATTATGCGTCGTAACCACATACACCATGGCCGGGACGTCGGTATATTCACATTTGAAAATGGATTGGTAAGGTTTTGTCTACACACAAATTTGCTTCCTGGCTTTTAAATACTATTATAATGCAAGAAAAAAAACTTATTATATAGGATTTACCACCATTTAAATAAAACACTTAACGGTTTAAAACGCGAAATGTGTTAGTAAAAAATTTACAAATTATTTTAACTACTTTCCTATCTTTCAGATGCTTTGCACAAACTTTTGCCATAGAGAGATTCACCCCGAGAATTCCGTTTTCGCGTTTTAAACAGTTGAAAGTGCTTTAAAAAAATGTAGTTTTTGATTACCACCATTATTTTAAAACATTTAATATGTGTTATGTTTTCGTGCAGGGTTACTTTGAAGGCAACGACATACACAACAATCGGATTGCCGGTTTTGAAGTGAAAGCCGGTGCCAACCCAACCGTAGTCCACTGTGAAATCCACCACGGTCAAACCGGTGGTATATACGTGCACGAATCGGGACTCGGGCAGTTTATCGACAACAAGATACACTCGAATAACTTTGCTGGCGTCTGGATTACCTCAAACAGCAATCCCACGATACGTCGTAACGAGATCTACAACGGACACCAAGGTGGAGTGTATATATTTGGCGAGGGGCGCGGTCTCATCGAACACAATAATATCTATGGGAACGCTCTAGCTGGCATTCAGGTATGTTATCATTACAGTTTCTCCTTCTTCTTCATTCTCTTTCCCTTCGTGATTTATATCAACGCCGGAGCCAAGGCGTTCAGTGGGGGGATTTTTAGGGTCACTGAGCTGGTTCCAGGTCTTAGGGCACTTAATTGAACATATTGATTTTATACACAAATTATTATGGGTTAAGTTCTTAAAGTGTACAATGAATAATAAATATTTTGAAGTACAGTACGTTCCGGACATTAATAAAATACCAACTTTTGCTTGTATGAATTGTTATCAAAATTAAATTAAAAGTTATTGACTTGACCACGACTGTATTACCCCCTCCCACCGCTAAAGCTGGATCCTTGATTCAGATGTATGTTTATTGTGTAAATTGCAAGATGGATCCCAGATAACATGTTCCAATATTAATCATTATTACGAAATCGCTACTTTTCCTCTCGGCTGTGCTGTAATCTGTATAAATTACAAACCTTTCCTCTTTATAGATTCGCACAAACAGTGATCCAATAGTAAGGCACAATAAGATCCATCATGGGCAGCACGGCGGAATATACGTGCACGAGAAGGGCCAAGGGCTTATCGAGGAGAACGAGGTGTATGCCAACACGCTCGCTGGAGTATGGATCACCACTGGTTCTACACCAGTGCTTAGGCGCAACCGTATTCATTCGGGCAAACAGGTAAGCTTAACCCATGATAGGAAGCTGTTTTACAAATACAATGGCAAAAATAGTGGACATTTAAACATAAGAAGTATGCTGCAATCAATTAATTTTATATACGATTCATCCATTCAGAAATATAATAAATTGTTATTAATAGCTTTTAAATGAAACACTTAACGATTTTAAACGCTAAATAAGTTAAATACCAATTGCGACGGAACAGATGGCGCCAGCGTAGCAGTTTTTAGGTTTAAATTAAAGACACCCCCTCCATCTTTAGCTTCATTGTGACTACGGCTGCTGCAACGAATCCGAAATGTCGGGCTGTTTTTAAAAATAATCTGCAAAGTTTAACTATTATATTTCGCGTTTTAAACCGTTGGAGTGTTATATTTAAATGTGTCCTTCTAGCGTAATCTACAAACAGTATTTATCATTAAAATCTTTCAAGTTTAATGAACGTCGTTTATTTTCGTATTGTTTTATAGCGCTGTTTTCATTCCAGGTCGGCGTGTACTTTTATGATAATGGCCATGGAAAATTAGAAGATAACGATATATTTAATCATTTATACTCCGGAGTCCAAATACGGACAGGCAGCAACCCCGTGATACGCGGAAACAAGATCTGGGGTGGGCAGAACGGCGGAGTCTTAGTTTATAATGGCGGTCTTGGCTTATTAGAACAAAATGAAATATTCGATAATGCCATGGCCGGTGTCTGGATAAAAACAGATTCTAATCCCACCTTGAAGAGAAATAAGATTTTTGATGGACGCGACGGAGGAATATGCATTTTCAACGGAGGCAAGGTAAAGTCCATAAATCGTATAGTGTTATTGATCTAAGACTTATTAATTTGTCTTTAATATTTATTACAAGCTGCAATATTCGGCATCCAAATTTGTTTTTGCAAACCCCCTCATCTTTATATATATACTTAAGCTGTTACCCACGACGTCGGTCGCATCTATTCTCGTCGTTCTTGCAAGTTAATCTTAATAGATAGATAGATTTTTTAGATAATTTAAAGAGGAATCATTCTTTTCTAGATATTTTTTGGTTATCTTGAACCGTTTTTGCAACGAACGCCTCGGAAACCCATAATTATAAATAATATCCCAATTTTTTTCACATTTCTCGTTGTATGTTCGCTTGTGTTAGTCACAGAGCGATCTCTCATACCTGTAGCCTTCCTCGATAAATGCTCTAACACAAAAATATTCTTTTGATTCGAAACCCAAGGAACCCGAACTTCCTGAGATTAGCGCGTTCAAACATACAAACAAACTCTCCAGCTTTATATATGTATTAGTATAGATAATAAAACTTGTATTACTACAGGGTGTGTTGGAGGAGAACGACATATTCCGCAACGCGCAGGCTGGCGTTCTGATCTCTACTCAGAGTCACCCTGTGCTGCGACGTAACCGTATCTTCGACGGACACGCAGCCGGCGTCGAAATTACAAATAACGCCACCGCTACACTTGAGCACAATCAGATATTCAATAATCGCTTTGGAGGTGAGATCGGTCGATCTTTATTAATATTTATTATTAATTTCAACATTTTACAAAGCAATTTAGTTGAAGAAGAATTTGAAAAGTATATATAATAATATATACTTCTCAATTTCTTCTAATTTTAATGTATGAAGGTTAAATTTATAGAGAGGAGATTTTTTTCTTCTTTTGCATTCAAACTTCTAATATGATTTAAAAAAGTTGTATGAGACAAAAAGCCACAGCTTATGTGACACATAAAAATCTTTACACTCTAAAACTTTTTTTTATTTAAATTTGACTACGTCTTTTACACATAAGTATTTGTTAAAGACGTATATAGTAGACGTATAATAGTAGATATGAGTGTATAGTAGAGTATTAATTGTAAATGCCTCTATTTTGTAAATTACTAAAAGACTCTTTCCGTATTTTACAAATTTCTATTTGAATTTAATAACGGTTATTTTTTTAAATTTTGTACAGCTAAAAAAATCTGAAATGTTTCTTAAATAGTTAGCGATCGACTTCATTTATATTATAACTTCTAATATTCTTTTAATACAGTTAATTAAGACAAATACTGATTTATATTTGTTTACGTTTTCTCTAGGTTTATGCTTGGCGTCTGGCGTATCACCGCTAGTGCGAGGCAACAAAATCTTTAGCAATCAAGATGCTGTAGAGAAGGCAGTTGGCGGTGGTCAATGTCTATACAAGATATCCTCTTACACTTCCTTCCCTATGCACGATTTCTATAGGTATGTACATAACAATAATAAAACACTTTATTGCACAAACTAAAAAAATACAAACATGGTGATACTAAATATTTTTTTTACATAAAAGAGTTAGTGCAAAGGCGGTACATATATCACTTGTAAGTAATATGTAACGAAACAGTTTGCTAACCTAAGAATTTTTACATGACAACTCCAACTTTCTTAATCAATGTCATTATTTTTGACAAATTCAGGCCCAGAAGGATCGTAGTGTATGTATGTCATTTTTTTGCAGATGCCAGACATGCAACACGACGGACCGCAATGCTATATGTGTCAATTGCATCAAAACGTGTCACTCCGGGCACGATGTAGAATTTATACGCCATGACAGGTGAGATTAAAGATCAAAGTCACATGAACTTCATACGCATTTTTATAGTAAGAAAACATTCACAATAAAAGAAAAATTATTCCAAAACTGTCCATGAAAACATTTTTTATATATAATACCAAAGTGCTTGGTAGAATTTTATAAACAACTAACTTGGTTGTCTATATATGATTACTTTATAATTCGACAATGACGTTTAGGACACGGTAGCTTGATTGTTTAACCGTTAAAGCCACAGGATGCCGATTCAAGTCCTGCCCGTGTCGTAAATTTGTTTCAATCAATTTAATCTTCTTTAAAATATTAGTGTTTTAATATATTTGTGTCTATACCATGTCTTGCAATTGTGTAAAAACGTTAGAATTAAATTAAATATGTGGTTCCAGATTCTTCTGCGATTGCGGCGCTGGCACGTTATCAAACCAATGCCAGCTACAAGGCGAGCCGACGCAGGACACGGACACGTTATACGACTCGGCCGCACCCATGGAGTCGCACACTCTCATGGTGAATTGAACACGCACACGCGCACACCACACCCGCCTCGAACACTACGAGGGGGCAATTCTCAAATGCCGTAAGATTTAGCGCAGTAGCAGAATATGTCGAGTTTGAGACTTATGATAGAATTCGATGTGAATCGTATATCGCTTCGAGAATTACCCCCCATGAAAAGCCAACATGTCACATTTAATTCCTCTCTATTTAAGACCACGTATAAACATGAGCTGATTCGTGATTAACAATTCTCAATAACTTCGGTATATATCTCACTGTCCCACCTTGTCAGTAGCTCAGTTGTAACATGCTAACGCAAAAGTTCCGGGATCTGACGCTCGAATATATATATATATATATTTGTGTTGGTCAGAGCACAAATAATTAAAATTGATTTGTAAAACATACAAAAACGTTTCTGCCCCTATGGCCCAGATTGGATTTTGATGCAACTTAAATGGTGTGTATGATATTAATAGTTTGACAAATGATCTGAGAGTAATCCTGAAAGTTACTGATTCTTGTGTAACGTTTATTCTCACGCTTTATACATGTGTCTTCGTAATTTACCAGTCTAAAGACTTATCATAAGGTCCGCACTAGAATTATTGTATTCTAAATAAGTCAGTGTTAACTAAGCTATTATGGACTTTTCACTCGATTCATCCAGGAGCGATAAGATTGGTAAAAAGATGTTGCTAGTGAAATAAAAACGTTTACTTCAGGGATAAGTCGAGGTTCAAGCAAGCATAGTGACATATGTTGGATGGGGCAATTCTAAAGTAAACGACAAAAGATTTTAACTGACATAAGTCGCAGGTAAATGAGATTTGTATAAAACTTCAAGCTAATGAACGGCGATGTAAATAAAAGTCGTATTACTTTTTAGACCCCAGGCGGCAAGTTACAATAGTGATATAGGATTTTCAAAGACGTAAGCCATACGTTTTGTACTAGAAACAAGTAATTTTTCTATTTAATCACAAGTACAGTTACTACTTGTTTGAACATCGATTTTACAAGTTTGCGCAAAGGAATTGATTCTGTGATGTGCTCAATTACATCATTTTCACATTTGTAAATACACAATTATCTCGCTACATCTTTAAATATTGTACTATGCGTTAATGAAAGTATTACATTTTTAAAGTCTTGTATCAGGGTACCAACCGCTCTGTTTACCTAAAGCGCTTTAACTCAAGTCAGCCAGACTGCGTTGGAGCCAATGTTATGGACTGAGATATATAGTATATGTCAACTTTGGGAATTAACCTTTTTTAAGTTAAACAGATTAATTTTCAGACATAATGATTTAACATGAGTACAATAATTTAAGATTGGTAGCGAACCGTATCCTAAGCTAAGTCATTGAATGTTCTAGCTATTATTTTTATTAGCTAAAACTATAACACGTTCGCCGAGTCGCTGATTCACAAACGGTTGTGCCCTAGCGTTTCATACTATACTATTTGTAATTTTAGACGACAGAACTTAGCCGGGTCGGGATCGCAACAGTAAATACTCGTGAAAGCAATTCTCAATTAAGTGACAAAACAAATGGATGTAAATTGTTTCGCTCTGTAAAGAATTGCTCTCGTGTATTCACATCATCTTTTATCGAAACGCCATTTCTAAATCGACACCCCAACCCTCGCTAAGGTGAATTCTATGGTCAGTAATTGTGTCGCTACGCTATTTGTATATGTAGGCGTGTTATCGGTACTTAATTATGTATTTCGTGTAGCATCGTGCATTCCCAATTTGTAATCATACACCATAATCTCAAAATCACGTTAATATTTAGAATATTTGTTTGTTTTATAAGATGTACTGATAGCGATCTTTATATAATAATAGGTGTACTGTAGGTCAATCATGGAAAAGTTTGTTTTATTTCTAGACTATCGAAGAGATTTTTCGTTTGTAAAAGTATTACATAACTACGCCAGTCAGGGTGGCGCAGGGTTTTTATTATTTGACGAGTTTTTTAATAAGAGGCATTTATTTTTAAGCTTTCCTGACGTCGAGGGGTGTATGCCGGTTTTAGTTAATAAATTTAATATTGTATTAGCGGGAGTGGTGTGCATCCGGCCGCAAATGGACCGAGTCCGCGACGCCACAACAGCTCGGCGCTCCTATTGTGCTTTGTAAATATTTATGTCACACAATAATCGAAATGTAGTAATTAATGTATTTGTATCATTATATTTTTATTATTGATCACAATATGTATGTTTAATTATAATTAATTACGTACGTTATGCTCAGAATTGTTCGGTCGCTCGGTGACGCCGGGTCGAGGCGTGCGCGCGCGCAGCTAGTTAGTGTATATTGTAATACAGAGGAAGGGACGTGCGCATCAATTTGAAAAGATCTTAGGTACAATTGTTAATTTAAATGTATTGATATCGATCGAGAAGCAATGTTGGTGTAAGTCGCGTGCGACTGGAGTGCCGGTAGCGATAAGTTTATCGAATAAGCTATGAAAATCTAAATTAACTCTGTAATCACTATTGCAAGTTTCCAATCGTTAAATCGTCTCCATAGCACGGTATGTTCTGAATCTGCTTTTTTTATAATTCTCAATCTGTGATCATCGCTAAATGTTTAAGAGAAAAATAATTTAGTTCATCACGTACAGAATCTATAAGACTAATTATTATTATTATTGTATTCAAACAAAATTATTATTGTGGCGGCTTATTGTAATTGAATGCGAAATTGTTATTTATTGAATTGTCAGTATGTTCTTAATTTATTTAATAATTAAAAACTGGATTTTGTTTTCCTGAGAATACCACTGTAAAAGCCGTGATATACATCATATAATATTATAATTGGAATTTAATTTTTCCTCTTCCTCTTGATTATTATCTAGAATCATATTTCCGGAGAACCATATTATGGATGCCTAAAACTTATGATCTATAATAATCATCAAGTGTTATTAGACAAAAGATTGACGAAGATATAAATTAATCTCTATTTATCAGTGTTTGAAATATATTGTTTTCCTTTCCTTGTGTTTCAAATCCAATAAGTAGATTTCTGTTTTTTTTTTTTATAAAACTTCTATAGTTTTAGAATGCGAAGTATGGTTTTTGGACGAATTGTCAAGGCCAACCTAACCAAAACAATAGTAATGAAATCTTAGATTTTTATTTAAAAATTAATTCTTAGTATACACCTCCCAAGATTATACCAATTATATAATTGTTAGTGTAGGTAGGTACATAATTATCGATATTATATTAAACATTCTGTTGAGATCGATGAATTCTGTGACGTGGAGATCGCCGTTTGGGGGATACATGCACTGCTTTAAGTGGGGTATTTTTTTTCTGTTCACAGTATGCTACAGGTGTTCTTAATGTCCTAGAGGGGCACAATGGTTTTCTCAATGCTGGTGCATGTGGAGTCTTTGTGTTTGATTGTGGTGAAGTAATGCTCTTTGATGGTGGTGTAGCTTTTAAATGAGTATTAAATTCTTCATTGGACTGCACTAAGTTACATCTATTATAGTGTCTCTTTAAAAAAGCAGTGTCTTTGTTAACATTGTTTTTGTAAATGGTTTGAGGCTCTGTATTTCCATTAAATGCTAATTTTGTTTGAATAGTTGTTTGAATTTGAGATAATGTTCTTTGAGACTTAATTTGATTTTGAAGCCGAGGTTTTCTAGCAAACACTGTGTTTTGTATTTTATCAGTCTTCTCCGATGATTTATCAGAACTTGATTCAAAAAGTTTCGCTTTTGCTAAAACACCACCAGCATTTTGTTTTCTTAGCTTGTTAACAGATGGACGGCCAGAAGTACTACCATCTAATTCACCAGTTTTCTCTAGAAAAAATGCTGCAGCACTTTTCCACTTATGTTGAGAATTTGGTGGAGCAATTTTACATGAATTTAATTTATTGCTTTCATTGTACTGGTTGTGTTTGGCTTTTGTTTTATGACCAGGTCTCATTGTGTTGCCGATCGTGGTGTCGGAACTTTTATTAAAACTAAGATTTAACGACCGTCGCGGTAATAGGCACCGCGATTTTATAGTGGTTCTGTCTGATCCATATTCTGTTGCTAAACTTATTCTTTTGCGCATACGATACTTCTGGCTCGAACTGGAAACGTTGTGAATAGAGTCATCTGATATGTTAGAATCAGAATTATTTTTGCTATCAATATATTTGTCTTCATTGGTTTTGTTTATCTCATTTGAATTAACATAGGGATAAAATCTGTCCATATGACTCGCTTGGTATGTGGATGCATTCCATGATTTATGACGGACTATTTTGGTTAGGTTCTCTTTTGACCGACGTCTAATTGAACCGATTTTTCTAGCACTAGGAGATCTGATTATTTTTGTCTCTTCTTTAGGTCTAATTTTAAGCTCTTTACTAAGACGTCGAGCGAGGTGTTCAGAGCCTGCACAATTTAACATAGCTACATCCTCCAATGTTTGCTCATAAACATTCTGTACTTGTTGTAATGGTTGAACTCTTGGAATGACATCTGTAAACTCTCTTGATAGCCTATTCTCTATAGCTGATACTCTGCTCTTAATCTCTTCATATTCAAGTTTAGAAATTCTTACATAATCCTTATCAGATTGTTTCATATCTGCTGAAAGATCTATTGTGTCATGTGGATTAAATAACTCCTCAGAGGAAGTGAACACATTTTCACTACTTGTACTTGTTTCAGAATTTTTATGCAAATTTATATCTGTACTTTGATGTGGAGTATTCCTTATGTCGATCATGCTAAGTCGGACACGTTTTCTGTCCGTGACGCCCCTGTAATAATGGAAGCAATTTTTACAATCTATATTACCAAAATATTGAAGCTAAAATAAAAAAAGAAGAAGGAGAACATACATTTTCATTGGAGTAAATGATAATTCCTTTTGTGGAAGTCCTGATTGTATTTCTTTCCTGGAATAAGCAATTCATAAATGGTAAGAATCAATAATACAAAACTACATATTAACTGGGTACAATAAAAATAACTTATACTTACTTTATTTTAGCAGAAAGTCCTTCACAAGTATCAAATTTTCGTTTGGCAGCAGATTTATTTAGAAAAGGTGTTCTATCACATTCTTTAACAGTTGCTGGTGTGTTAACATTACCAGATACCATTTTTCGCAAGCCATTTAACATGCCTAAAAATATAAAGTATATATAGATTTCAAGGGTCATTCATTGAAATATGTTATCTAATCTTAGTTGGCAGGATATATATCCCTCAAATATTAAAATGATAAGTGAATGTTTGAATAGATATAAAAAACATTGATAGAACCTATGGTTGTTATTTATATAACTTACGATTCAACGAACCACTTCTCCTTTTTTTTCGTCTAGCCTCGTGAATATCAGAATCATCATCAAGTTGATTAATTAGTTCATCTGTCAATAAGCCTATACGTCTTGAGTTCTCTATAAATATCTGGAAACATTTTTAGTTGTATAATTTTGTTGAATAAGCACAGTAAATTTTGATCAAAATATACAAAGAAAAACACTGCATTTGGTGTAAAATACTTGTTTTATATCTAGTGACCTAATAACAGTCTAAAAAAGGAATCAAGAAACTGATTACTGACTATAGAGGAATAAAAACATAGTAATGTTTCGATTGAAGCACATAATACCAAAAGTACCTTAACAATAGCTACATGGTGTTCTAATCTCTGAGAATTTGCGGATGCGGGCAACGGCATGATGCTAGGAGCCAGCACTATGGCAAGGTTGGAAGAGTCCATTAGGTTGTCTCTATGTTTTGAAGCTATGAAATTTAGCAACTGGAAATAGAATTTTTTAATATATCATGTTGCACAATAAAAAATGAAAAACATTACCAGCAAAAAATTATCTAAAATCTATTTCAAATAGGTAGCTGCTATTATATTCTAAGTTTTCTTAATTGATACATTTTAAGTAGGTGACTTTAAAAAAACTTATAGTACAATTTATTATTACCTCCATAATATAATGCAACAAGTGTACATGAAGCACTGGCAATAGAAGTAATGTGTTAAGAATTGATACCAGGCTGTCATCCCCAGCTGTCACCCTACATCGTAACAGCAGGTCTTGTACTTCAGCACTTATTAGAGGTTCAGGCAAACACCGCAGGTACAGCTTCAGTACACTTGCAACATCTATTGGGTGGTGACCTTCAGAAACACAACCCCCAGCATCTAAGAGCCGCTGGAATACATAAAAGTTGTTGAATTACAACTCTGTTCAGACAATCTAAATAGTTACAATAAGGTATAAGAAAAAATAGTTGAACTGCCACAGCAGCTATAAAAATACATGATACCGGCAAATATATATCTAGGGTAAATTCCGCTTACCTTTATATCTCTTTGGCGTGTTTGAGAGCCAGCTTTCCTAAATAAACCCTCAACGTGAGCATTAGTTCGCAAAATTGATGACATCTCGCTTACAACAATCGGAATGCTTAGAGTACTACCACAACATATTACGCTACATGATGGCACTTTCATTAAAGGAGCTCCAAATACAGCTTTATGGTCCTAAAAAATAATGCACTTATAAATCACATACAAAAAGCCAATCTTATATGCTGAGCTTATACTAACTTTAACATTTTTTAAGATGATTTTTTTCAAACGATGTTTTAATCCAGCTTTTTTCAGTTCTCCAACTATAATTGATTGTAACTTCCCGTGATTGATGCCGTCGGATATTAACATCGCGCTAAAAGTTTCATTAAGTTCGACTTAATCAACAACGCAACCTATATCCAGTATCCACCATATATCACAATTTTCAAATAAAATAATTTCGTTACTGGCACAGATGATAAAGTATTGGAAGTTCCTTTGGATTTTGGAATGATGTTGACGTGCGTCGTACACTGTCGTCTGTCATAAAAATCAGAAATATAGAATTGTAAATATTAAATATTTTGCATGTTTCGAATATAGTTTCATTAAATTTTAACGTTATTTGTATATAGTTAATATTTAATTGTAAAAAGTGTTGGTTGGACTTTACGATCAGTAATCAGTGTTTGAAATTAAATATTATAAATTCAAACACATTACATTTTAAGAAAAGATACATGAAAAACTTGATTAATAGCATTTTTGTGCATAATTAACAATAATTATGATAGAATTAACGGCGAGACTTACCACAGGAACAGTTTATCTAGCAGGTGAAGCACTTGAGTGTTGCATTACATTCTGCCACACAACTCAACCAGAACATCGTGATTCTCAAAGTCACAGGTATATTCTAGCTATGTCATTTTTCTATACATATTTTTGCTGACTTAAACTATACTCACAAGCTCCCATTGAACATTACTTCAGAGTGTAATGATAATCTAATTACAGTGATATCTTGGAGAACCTGGCTTGGGCCTCTGCCCAAATTCATTGTTTCTTTTCAACATCTAAGAATACAAATGAAAAAACTTCAACAGTAGAGAAAACGACATCACTAGAAGTGACATCATGTGATATTGGAGACGTTGTGTTTCACACTAAACCAAAAATATTATTTTGTGACCTAACCATACCGCTTGGAGAGACTAAGACATGTATGAATTTTTATTATAACAAGTAACAATTGCACTACTCTCTATATAGTACTTAAGACAATTTAATTTATTTCAGTTTGGTACCGAGAATCTTTACCAATGGAAGCACCACCATCATATCGGGGAAGTCTTGTTAAATACTCATATAAAGTTACAATAGCAACACAGAAAGTTGGTTCACATATCAGGATGGCAAGAATACCATTTAGGGTTTTACCTATTAGTCCAATAATGAACATGCAAGACTTAGCTGCTCTGTGTGGTAATGAAACAACTGATGAGCTACAGCCTACTAATCCATTTTCAGAAGAGAGGAAAGTGGAAACACCCTTAACTATGGCTTTACAAGTTTTACAGGTCTGTATCTGCATTATCTTTATAAAAAAGGTATGGTGCAAAATTATTTTTTTTGCTGTTCTGTTGATCTTGTGTGTTCGGGAACTGAACTAAAAATATTCCTAGGATTTTTTGAAGGTCCCATAAAAACACATTTTAGGTGTGTATACTGTCAATAGTTTACGCAAGTAGGCGCTTTGCAGCAGCCGTGGTCACGGGGAGACTAACCCTGTGACCACGGCTGCTGCAAAGCATCCTAAATGTCAGGCCGAAGTTAAAACTCATTTTTGAATAATTATAACTAATATATCGCGTTTCAACCCGTTAAAGTTATTTAAACATTTTAGGTGGTGAGGTTTTTTTATCACTTAAATTTTTATTTTGTAGAATCTTACTGCTCGAAGAAGTCCTAACTCATACATGATAACTAATACTAGAGGTAAAGTGGGAAGGTTCTGTTTATTTAAATCTGCTTATAAACTTGGAGAAGATATTGTTGGTACATTTGATTTCTCTGTTGGAACAGTAGTATGCATGCAAGTAAGTCATAAGAATATAATTATTATATTTTACAGCTTTATTCATTATTTATGAATTATATTGTGAAATTTGGTAACAGGTTTCTGTGTCACTACAACCTGAAGAAATAATCAAGAAAAAGACTCCAACAAAAAATATAAACAAAGAATCTAGTAGCCGGTTAATGACTGTAGCCAGATTCCATGAGGTTACACTAGGTTTAACCCACTCACAGCTTATTCTTCCTATACCTTTGCATATCACACCAGCCTTTGACACAGATGAAGGTAAATTCCATTCATTTTTTTTTAATTCAACTCATTTTCTGGAACCCCTTGTTCACCATAGTCTATATAATCTTGTTGTCAGTTTTTCCAATAATACATAGAAGTTTCACCATCAAAATTTAATACATGAAGTATTAAATTTTGATGGTGAGACAGAATTTCATAGATTTTTCACTCAAATAATATTGAAATCATTGTTATTTTTATGGATGAAAATGTCTGATTTGTATAAAGAAATTGCTAAACTAATAAATATTTCATTTTAAATTTTAATTCATACTTTTTCAGTGTCACTAAATTGGAGATTGCACTTTGAATTTGTAACCACTAATGAAAAGCTACTGCCGTCTACCGAGGACAAAGATTGGAATGCTCCCTTAAATGTTCCTATAGAGACAATGGTTTGGAACCTATCAGTTAAAATATATTCCACATTGCCAAAACAAATAATGCAAACAGGGGGCAACGATGCTTACAAAATGGTTATTAAGTAAATTATACTATTATTATTGTTTGTATTAATTTATAAATTATGAGAAACAAGTAATATCTTTATTATAATGTCATTCTTCAACTGACTCTTTGTCCCAGTCTTTCATTTTTGCTCCCATCATGAAGTCATCCCTGAAAAAAGAAGACACTTTTAAGGAGAGAATGATAAATGAGAGAAGCTTTCATTAAATGGAACTCTCTATACAAATACTTTTAAAGAATTATCTTGCTTACCTTAATGCATTCCATTTTGGTTTTTCTTCTAATTTAACTTCCTCTTTTGTACTCTTAGTATTATCATCTACAAGTATAGATTTTGTTTGTCCCATCAAAGAATCTAAAAATGATCTTTTATCAAACTTTTTCAACACCTTTTCTTTTTTAGTTTCTGTTGCGTCACTACTTAATTCTTTTTCAAAGGTTTTCTGTTGGTTTCTGACTGCATTAAATAGTTGAACAACCCCCTTTGTTGCAATCTTAGCTAATAACCTTTCTCTATCCTTTTCTAATATGTTGGGTTTAGTGCGTAGGGATGTCTTTTCCTGTCTCTGTAATTTAAATAAGACAAAATTATTTATTTAAATATGTACTATCTATACACAAAATGTTCTAAGCGTCTTCCTTGGTCATCTTTATGATTCTAAAGTACGGACAATGCTAAAATCATCAGCAAGATATTTAGATGGTCGGTGACAGATATATTTTTTTACATCAAGTAAAAACTTGTTATTTATGTGTCATGTATTATTATATACCTTTTTTTTAGCCACAGGTTCATCACTAGTTTCTGTTTCTTCTATTTTTAATTCTGGCTTCACTACTACATAAGTGGCATTCTCTCCAATGATTTCAAAACTAGGTTTTTCCTCTTTCACTTTTTTAATCAATTCTGAATGTTTCTTTGCCCTTGATAAAACCAATGTCTTCTTGCTTTTGGGTTTATTGGATCCAAGAATTTTAGCTAGAGAATCGGCCCAACCTTCATTTTTTAATATAAGTTCACCGTTTCCTTCTTGTTCATCTTGACTTTCGTCATCCGCCTCAGATATTTCTGCTTCATGTTGTGAATCCGATTCAACACCAGAATTGGAGGAATCCGAATCTGAAACTAAATAAATAAGATCGTGAATCCGAACAGTCCACAAATTATGTTCACCATTTTACTCAATTTCGCACAAACCCTTTGGAAGAGAAATTCTAAATACCTGATATTTTAACAGATGCATTTTTCATTGTTTCAGCAACCACCATTGCGTAATTATTTAGAAATAATACATAAATTATTAATATAAATATTTATATTAGTAAATATATAACACACGTGTGCCCATCACGTTTTATCAACAGACTACAGATAATATTATTGCGTAGATATGTTAGAGCAAGCTCTGGTTAATACAGCTATCATATTTATTAATGAGAACAATATCTTATAAAGAAAGATAAGTTTACATGACAGTAATAGCAATTATTATTAAAAGGAAAATCATAATATCTTTATTTTTTGAGTATTGCTAAAACACCATGTTGAGAAACTTTAGGAAGAGTTTTTGATTTAGTCAAGTTTTGCGTATAAAGGAAAGTAGTGTCTAAACCAAAAAAAAAAAAAATACAGCTGATTGTCAGTTGTGACAAAAACATAATGAAAAATGTCTCAATTACGTCCTGATTGTGATGAAAATGGTAGTTTACATAGTTTCGGTCTAAATATGGCGAATATTGCATGTCCTTTACCGTATATCGCAAAGAGGGAGTATGGCTTACTACCAGATATTAAATCACAATTGTTTCATCAGCGGCTTATAGCAGCTAAAAATTTGTATCGTCGGGATCTAGTATGCCATTTTGGCTGTGTTAATGCAATTGAGTTTTCCAGCAATGGCGAGTTACTTGTATCAGGTAAATGAATTTATTATGAAAGTAGTTAGATTACAACTGAGCGATAATTAAAGGACCTGCTGCTAGGGCAAATTACTATCAATACAGGATAAAACTTGACACTGTGAGTCATGAAACAAAGTTGTGGTATTCGAATAAATATATAGTAATATAATAATATTGATTTATCTTCAAAAAATAATCTTTTAGCTTAAAGGTATCATGAAAATTGCCTAAAGTAGAAAGCCAAACAGTACAAAAGTCAGTTTTCAACAATTAATTATAAATAAAAAATATTTATGAAAAAGATTAAAAACATTTTACTTCTTTCACAATATATGGTATATAGACAATAAATTGTATATAGATATAAAGACAATATATCGATAAAAATAAACTTATGGTTAAACAGGTGGAGATGACAGGCGTGTTATGTTATGGCAATTTGGTCAAGCTATATTAGACCATGGCAAACCTGAGGCCATGAAAGCTGTACATCAATCCAATATATTCTGCTTGGGTATCACATCTGACAATCAGAAGATATATTCTGGAGGAAATGATGATATAGTGAGTAAACTAACTTTGATGTATCACTAAAAACTATTTTATTTCTTATTGGATACTAGGTGTGTCTCCTATAATTTTCTGCATGAAATAATGACTTTAGGCACCATATCAATCGATAGGGTGCCTAAAGTTCTTTAACTGGTGCAGCTATTAAAACAAAATCTTTAAATAACTTTTTAACTTAAAGAAAGTTGATAGTGTGCTGAGCTAAATTTACTAGAGAAGACTACTCGCAAGAATTATGCTGTAATTTTGGAAATTACCTGGTATATACAGACAAAGACTAAATTTATAATATTAATTTTATTTTATTACTTGTGTATCTATAAACTATATACTATTTCATTTTACATACACTTGTGATTGTTGCTTTTTTATAAATCATTATTAACATAAAGATTTGTTGTTTATTAGTTTCAGACTTATGTCAATCCCATATATTAAAAAATTAATATATTATGGGCTTTAGGTTATTGTTCATGATTTGGAATACAAGTGCCCCATGGAAGTTCTTCAGCATCAAAGAGCAGTGTGCAGCTTAAGCATTGATCCTTTTAATGAGAGAGTCATTTCTACTGCGGGGAATGATGGACGTCTACTTCTTTTTGACACAAGACAGTCTGTTCACGGTGAGAAAAAGATTATTAAGCAAAGTTCATAGAGCATATTAGACTACACAAAAACAATTGATTTGAAAAGTGACTGTCTGAATGTTTACAGTCTTCTATATAATATCTATTTATAAATACTCAAATATTTATAGCTACTACTGTTATTTATAGATTGCTATATATAGCTGAAAAAAAAAACACTGTAATTGTATCATTGATAGATCTAAAAACTTACTTACTTATCTATCGGGACTTAAATATCGGGAGTACTAATTAATTCTCAAATCTATCTTTGACATGGGATGCAATGCAAGTCGACATTCATCATTACTCTATACATATACAGTCTCAACTATTCTTTTTTTTTATAGAATCCCTTGTGATAGCTCGCAGTGTAAAAGAGTTTCATGGTGTAATGTTCCACCCACAACAAGTTGGAATACTAGTTTCCGCCAATGCTCGAGATGGAGTGGCTTTATGGGATTTAAGATCTCCTAAACAGTGAGTTCATAGCATCAACTGCCGTATTGCTTTCTCAGCATTACATTTGAAGCGTAAAGATGTCTATGTAACCCTCAGTTATAAGATAACCGTGTTTCGATTGGTCCGGTGCATTTGGATTAAAAAACTACTTTGAATGTCTTACCCGAGTCGCCAGATACGGTAGTTAAATTGATTAGATCAAGAGCACGGAACGCTGTAGTTGCTGGTTTAAGTCGTGCCCGTGTCATTGTTTTTTTCAAATTAAAATCGATTTTTAACTTACTTTGAATGAGTTACAATGCTAATTGTTTTTATGTTAATTGATTATTTTACTAGTAACTACTGTACGTTGTAAAAAATAAAGCACACTCAATGAGAATAGAAGCACGATTTTTTCTGTTTCTATTGCTATTTTAGCAGTAGACTATTTAAACAAAATTTTCATCAGCCCAGTGCTACGCTATGTCGGCAAACATAATGGTTCCTGTCAAAGCAGCATGAGCGTGCGGTTCAACCAAGCGGGTACGCATATATTGGCGCTGCGTAGGCGCATGACGCCCGTTTTGTACGCGGTTCACGCCCCGGAGCCAGTTGCCGAATTCTACCATCAAGACTATTATAATTCCTGCACTATGAAGAGTTGCTGCTTTGCGGGAAAGGGAGACGAGTTTGTGCTGTCTGGGTCGGATGATTTTAATCTATACATGTGGAAGATACCTGACTCCCAAAGTTTTACCACCAATGGTGAAATCGGTAAGTACTATTAACTCTTAAATAATATTCCTAGAATCCTATAATAGTTAACTTCTACAATTACGTTTATGTGCATGAGTATTACTGGGTTTGAATCTCGGCAGAACTGATAAATAGGTCCCAAGTAGGGCCAACAGAATTTCACACTTCTGTTTGTTTTTCCTGATTTGTAAAATCTGTTATTAATCTCTTGACTTAATAATAAAGTATATTAACTCTTTCTTAACTCTTCTCCGCATTTCTGGATTAAAAAGAAGTTATATGAAATAGAGTGCTGCTTGACTTTGAAATATTTTCAGATACAATGGTTGAATCACCACACATAGTTCTCTATGGTCATAGATCAATTGTAAATCAGGTGCGATACAACAACCATTACTGTCTTATTGCTTCTTCGGGGGTAGAGAAAATAATCAAAGTGAGTATTGTATGCCGTATTAAATTTCAATACATTTTTAATTAAATTATGTATCGTCAAATATAGATTATCTTAAAGAATACAAGACTACAAGTAGAAATATTTGAAGAGTTCATTATATTGATGGTTGAAAGGTTTGGTCGGCATTGGAGTATCCTCAAATGCGGGGTGCTCTTTTGGAAGAAGCACAGGGATCTGACAATCCGCGTGAGATTTACAGCCACGAAGACTACGTGTCACTCGTTCATCATAGCGGGCAAGTGAGTTACTTCCAAACTCTGATCTCTAATAAAGATGCAAATGACTTCAGTTTAACAAACATATGAATAATAAATCAGTGGTTATTATAATTTATTAATATCCCGAAACAAATTAATACAAATTATAAGTTTGAAAACTTTAATTTATTGCACATGATGGCATTATATAAATTACAAATCGATCATAAATTGAAAAAAAATTACGACCCGTACAGGACTTGAAACGGCACCCACGGCGCTTAGTGTTGTTGCGCTAACCAATGGTACCGAATCAACGTCGAACTTTTTCAACTTATTGATACCTACATGCACCTCTCGCGGGCTTTTGTACGAATTTAATTAAATAAATAAACTATTCATCTTTATAGTCCATATCGCACAATTACGCTGAGCAGTCGACGAGTGAAGACCTGCGAATGATGGCGTTCTTCGACTCGCTCCTTCAACGCGAGCTAGAGTGCTTCGCAGAGGAAACTGATTCGTTGGACGGTTCCAGCTCTGCGTCGCCTGGTGCTCACGACTCCGACTCCAGTACTGATCATATTGTGGTGGACCTTCTACCGCTTCCACCCAAGCGAGGTGATGATATACCTATATTTTGTCATAATATTATTTTCATAATATGTCAATTATTGGTGTTTCACTTTATTATATTTAAACTAAAGTTAACTATGTGTGTTAGACGTAACAAAGAAGAAAAAAGAACGAATCTAAATACAAGAATGAAGCTACTTATCAGTTTTGTTTAGAATGAAAGTCTATTTGAATGTTGTAGATATTTTGGTTTACCCTTCCTTCTGAATTACCAGTTAGTTAGTTAACAGTTGGCTAATTATTCATAGGACGCGGAATAGCATAGGCTTCCTTCTGGAACTAAAAGAAAATTAACTTCTAAGGCAGATTTGTAGGAGACATCGAAACAATCTATTATATGCCCGGGATACGAACCCAGTGCTTAACGCTATTTTAGGCAACACGTTAAACGTGTACACTTAGCTACAGAGGAGGCGATGCTTGGTTTAAAAACTATTAATAATGTCATGTAAATGTTTCTCTCACAGCAGCTCAGTCAACCAATAGAAGTCTAAGATGTCCTAATAGACTTGCACGGCTAGTCGCGTCGCGATATCCAAAGAGTTCAAGATCTCAAAAAAGAGGTTGCTTAAGGTAAAACTTAATGGCTAGTTTATTGGAAAAATATTTCAAATATGTTATTACAACTTTTAAACATACAAGAAATATTACCGATTCTGGTATTTTATTTATATGATAGAGGTTTCTAATACAAAAATATAAATAATTTGACAAAAAGAATATTTTAATATTTTATAAAAAAAACTATTCAGTCTCAAAATAATTAAATTTACTATTTAGCCCCGATTTTTATGAAATTCTAACCAGAATCATAAAACATAAAGTACATTTTGAGTTTACTAATAGGAGTTTACGGTCTATATTTATGATGTAACCAGCGCGTATACTGGGACAACTCAACTCCTAAGTCTCTTTTAATAATTAAGTTCCGGACTCATATCACAACCACGGTAACATTTCTTCCTGCTTACGTTTTCGTTTATTCCACAGACGCAATAAACAGTCTCGTACATGCGTCAGCAAGTCCGGGAAGAGTTCTACTGGCGCTAGTTGTAAGGGCAAGCGCGCGGCAGTCCGTCGAGCTAGAGGGGTACGGCGAGCACCATCGCGGACGCTAGCGGTGCCCGCTCGCTCCAGAGTATCAGCTCCGTCTAGCGAGAGGACCGACTCGGATGAACCAATGCACTCATTATACAGAAATTCCGGACAAGTTCGTACTTTATACATACTAGCGTTAGCCCTTCGTTTGCAATGTAATTTCATTATATAATGGGTCGTTACAAAAGATCAGCTTTTGTTTGCTATTGACGTTTTTTCGGGGTCAAAAGTACTTATGGTAGCCTCCATATTTTGCACATGCCAAAAAATTTAACTTAAAAAGATATTCACACTGTAAGACAGTTGAAAGAATAACTTACTTAATTTTTTTTTTTTTCAGATCATTCGACCTCTACGACGACGTTTAAGCCTCACTAGATCGTCCAAAAGAAAAAACACTACAAGCGGCTTGATAAAATCATTAAGGAATAATGGTAACTGGTTATTTCATAATGATTTTTAGGTATATAGACGTATTACTTACTTTACTGATTACATGTTTGCCCTGCCAGGTAACACAACACAAGAAAACGGTGACAATAACTTTTCAAACTTCGATGACACATTACCTAGTACGAGCACAGGTAAAACAATTCACTTTTGCCATACGTTATATCAAGGAATGTTAAAAAATGGAAAATTTGATAAATTTCCTAGAAAACTTTTGTAGGTTCTAAAAGTAAGATAAATCTACATTTTTACGTATTTATCAGTTTGTAACGACTAGTAGTAAATTGATAAACTAAGGGATGTACATTCATTGAATACTAATTGGTTGATCAGAAAAGCTTTTAATTTTAAGCTTTTTTTAAATTACGGTTAAAGTTGATAATGGCAGTCCTTGTGTCCATAGAGTATAGACTAAGACTAGGTAGAATCGGGCTTGCCAAACTATAAACTGTAGGTACATACATTTAGAGTTTAGATCTACCTATCGATATGTTAATAAAGCCCAGTACACCAAACTTCTATTTTACCATAGGAATATTAAAAGACCAGAAAAATATATTAATCTTCAATCGCAGGATACAGAGGGCAAAATTCATCGCTATTTCGCATAGCAGAAGTCGATTCAGACGACGACCAATCCGTAAGCAGTAGGCCGATATCTCCGAGAATTCAACACACAAATAACATTCCTAACAATTTAATAAGCATTATTCCGACGCCAATAAACGGATCGAGGGATTCCCTGGGAGAGTCCCTGAGCGTAGAGCCAACTCACTTTGCACCGCAAGAGACCCGTTTGCGAATGAGTTTAAGAAGAACGAGACGTAACGGTAGGCATCTTCACTGCTCAGATTCGAGCGAATCCCCCCCACCAAAAAACGCAGCAGAACGCGCATCCACATCAAACGCAAATAGACTCTCCCCTAAGCCGGGATTCAATAGAAGTGTCGCACGATTGATGAACGAAACTAATGAGAGTGAACTAGAGAGTAGTTGCAGCACAGAGGGTAGTCTGTGGCCCGCGCCAGACACTATGGCCACCCCGGATAGCGGCGTGGGTACAGTCGTAGGTAGCAGCACTAGAAATAACCAAGTGCCCAACGATGACGTATCGGACGACATCGAATATCAAGTGCTTAAGTTTCGCCAGCGTGTTAAAAAGGCGCGAAGGAATTACAGAAATCATCTAGACTCGGACTCTAACTGATTACGCTAGATAGAATTTCTAGTTATTAGTTGTTCTTCTTCTGAATGATCTCTATCTTAAGTCAATATATTGGATATCTTGGTATGGATCTTAAAATGAGTGCAACAAGCGAAGCCACAAAATAACACTTCAAAAACGGCAGTGTTCCATAAAAATTGTGTTGCTAGTTACTTAACCTCATGAAATACATCTGAACGCTAAAATAATACTAGCTCACATATTATGCATGTTATTGTTTAGCATCGTTTTTTAAGTCATGACTTGTAATTTTGCTCATGTTCAAAAGAATATTTACAGGCAAAGATTAAAAAAAAACATGTATTTGGACCGAATACCAAGTGTATGGCATTGCTTAGTGCAGTAAAATAACTGTATAACTAATAACAAGAGTAAGTTACACATTTTCATATCAAATATGTTACAAAATGTAAATAACCGTTTCGAAATGTGATATATATATATGACATGTTTGTTAAGTGATGTATAAATATTGTTAGGACATAAGAAATGTCGGCATATTGCTTTTCACTGGGTCTCTCTGTATTAGACTGTCTAATATTTTTTTCTAATTTGAACATAAAAAATAGCACTTACTTTTTTTTCTATTAGAGCAGGGGTTATTTATAAAATATAAACATAGATATACCCGTAAACAAATTAGTATAAGCCTGATTTTACGATAACGTAAAACAATTATTAAATAGATAAATATTAAAATGACGCTATATGCGTCGAAATGTACCTATAATATAATGGACATGTGAAGAAATATGTTGTTTAACAAAACCTCTTTAAAAGCATCTATTATTATGATTTCTAGCTATATACCCCTTTCACTTTCATTCTTTACTCAAGGTTTTGTTAAAACATAGACTTTAATGGCTCTGTGTAAATATTATAAGTCTTTATAATTAAATAATATTACAACATTGAAAAAAATCATTAACTTGACCCAAGTTTTACTTTAATTTTATGTTGAAATTGCTCTAGTTCAATTAAGTAAAAAAATGAAAATATACTAATAAAATCGATTTCATATAAAATGTTCTCAAATCTATAAAGATTGTTCGTTGTTGTGATAAGTAAATTCATTACTGAGTAATAAATTGATATGGAAGTATTTACGAACTTATTTAATACAATTATTTTTATTTTAATAAGCCTTACAATATAAAATTAATGCTTTGTGTATTACAAATTTGTAGGTGGTTTATATGAAAAATAAAAAGTAACTATCTGGATTCAGTCAGCTTTTGCTACAAATAGTATTATATAAATATGTATTAACCATCAAATTCGGTTTGTCGTTTAGGAAGAAAAATCGTAAACAAATAATATTTAAAATAATTATTGTAAGTATAAGCTATTATTTATGATATATGGTATATTTAGGAAATTGTAAGTGCATATTATGATAGTGTACGTAATCTATAGATATATGCAACGCACGTAATCTATAGATATATGCTATCTGTGCCGTAGTGTGGGTTTTATTATCTTAAACCTTCATAATATACATATTTGTGTAAATTGTCTACTTATATTGTTAATTGTCAGATTTTTCAGAATTCAAATAATCGGTAAACTTCGTAATCTGGGCCGGCAGAAATCATATTTTTTTTTCACATCCTATTTGCAAAACTACTCCAATAATTTAAATGAAATAGTTTTCAAATTTTATGAGTGCAGCCATGGATGGGGTATCCAACTTTAACGCATTCCTAGCACTTCATAAGCCCCAGCTTGTGCTCTCCGGTGTACCTGAACATTATTGGCACACGCTCAGCAAAAAACTTCAAGATCAAATTTTTGACTCAGGTCTTACATTTCAGTTGGTGCAAATAGATTATGAAGACAGCGAACGAAGGCCGTATGACCCTCTATGGAGTGTTATGGCTGTACGTGATATAGACCGCAATGACCCTAACCACATCTACTTGATCGATCACGCATGGACCTTTAAAGTGAATACTATTAAAGCTAATCTTACCAATGTACCTAGTCTTTTAGAAAGAATGTGCAACTTGATGCAGATCTCTTGCGATAGAACCGAAGAACAAATTCAAGAAGTGGCTAAATATGTTTGGAAATATGCAAATACATATTCTATTGCTGGCAACGAATTTTCTGTTGAAGACAGAGTTCCAGTGTGGTATATTATGGATGAATTGGGTTCTGGAATAACCCATTCAGACAATCCTAATTTCCGAGCAGTTCCATTTATTCACGTTCCTAGTCAAATTACGTTTACAATTCTTTACCCTACCAAAGATGTTGAAGAAGGTGAAACTATTACAAGGAATTTTGTAGAGGGCAATTTTTCAGATCCACTACAGAGAGAGGCAATGCTTATCCCCTGGAAGCGTTATGAGCACTTTTATGATATTGTGACCCAAGAAGAACCAAATAGAAAATATTTTTTGGAGGGCCATCTAGTTGAAACACTGCCAAATTTGGACTTGTTGCAAAGTAATAATATTTCTAACAGGCCATTGAAGGTTTTTTCTGATTATCCACTGATTAATGAACACCTAACAATCAGTGAATTTGAAATTGTAGATAATGAAAATGAAGCTGACATTTTATGGTTTACTAGTCATTTTAAAGCATTCAAAGAGCTTAGTGTAGATTTTCGGAATAAATTTGTAAATCAATTCCCATTTGAATATGTTCTTACAATAAAAGATTTGCTAGCAATTGTAGCAAGAAGATGTTCTAATACGAAAATTAATGAGGATGAACTGGAAACGAGTCCGTTATGGTTACCAACAACTTTCAACATGAAAACTGAGTTATCAAAATTAGTATCTTTTTACATGCAGAGAAAAAAGAAAGGTTTAGATAACCACTGGATCTGCAAACCGTACAATCTTGCTAGAGGACTTGACACCTATATTACTGACAACTTGGATTTCCTTTGCCACTTACCCTTAACAGGGCCTAAAATAGCCCAGAAGTACATTGAAAATCCAGTTCTTTTTCAAAGGCCAGATATTGGAGCTGTAAAGTTTGATTTGCGTTATGTAATCCTTTTGAAATCTGTTAATCCAACAGAGGTCTATGTATATAACAACTTCTTTTTAAGATTTTCCAATAAACCTTTCAGCTTATGCGATTTTGAAGATTATGAAAAGCACTTTACAGTTATGAACTATTCTGAAGACATGCCCTTGTTCAGGTTATTGTGTGATGACTTCAAAAGAGCCTGGGCAGAGCAATATTCCGATTATAAATGGAGTGATGTAGAGAGAACAATATACAACATGTTAAAAGAATTATTCACAGCTGCAACTTCAAAACCACCCCCCTTTGGAATAGCTCAGAGTCCTCAGTCTCGTGCACTATATGCAGCTGATATAATGTTATCTTGGCGAGAATGTGATAATGAGGAACTCATTCAGCCAAAGCTCCTAGAACTCAATTGGATGCCGGATTGCAAGAGAGCTTGTGATTACTATCCAGACTTTTATAACGATATATTTTCATTGATGTTTCTTGATAAAACAGTAGATACTTGCATTCAAATATTGTAATTTAGGATGTTTTGTAAACTGGTTTGAAAAAAAAAAACAAATTTTTGTATCCTCTTATTATATTGGTTGTACAGCTTTAGCACAAAAGTTATAATCTTAATTATATGCCTCAAATTTACACATATTAATCTTATTGATTGCTTGATTTTTTTTAATAAATATGATATTGTTACATGTTACTAATAAAAAATTGTTAAATACATTAGTTTTTCTGTAATATTCTTCTATCATCATCTTCTATACCACCAAACGGATTTACATCATCCACATCTCGTTTACTGAGAAGCCATAGTATGGTAAGCAGCACAAAAACAATAATTAAGGCAATCCAGTAACGTTTATAAATACCTCCACTTCGTCTTATGCGGGATGAGGGTAAAGAATTTCTGAAAAGAAAATACTTGGGCTTAACGTGAGGCAATTTTATATCAAAATATTAGGTTTATTTTATACAAGCTGTGCCAGCGACTTCGTGCGCGAGAATCATTATTTTGGGCATCCAAATAAGTTTTTGCAAACCCCATCATCTTTATAAACTTAAGCTGTTAGCCACAACGTCGATCGCGTTCCTTCCGTCGTTCTTGCAAGTTAATCTTAAGAGATAGACATATAGCGTCGTGGACTTCTTTTTTTAATAATTTCTAGGGAAATCATTCTATCATTCACAATTTTTAGGTATCTTGAACCGTTTTCGCAGCGTACACATCTGAAACCTACAGAGATGAAAAATTTTCCCCGTTTTGTTCACATTTCTCGCTGTATCTTTGCTTTATTAGTGACATCGCAATGTGTTATAGCCTATAACCTTCCTCGATAAATGCTCTAACCCATACTTCCTGAGATTAGCGATTCAAACAAAAAAACTCTTCAGCTTTATATATTAGTGTAGATGTATGTAGTTCATTATTAAAACAAAAATACCATATTGACTTGTACTTACTTCCACCACCTACTAATCCAAGCAAAGGTAGACTTCTGTTTATATTTATTTTCATCATGGTCAAAGTTAAGAAGTGGTCTGGAATGTTCATCAATTTTGTATGTTTTCCTTGGTACTTGAGCACCTGAAAATTACAATGACAATCACATAACATACAATATATAAATCATATTACTACTTTTTCTAATAGTAAAAAGATTAAAATGGTTATGGTCAATAAAAAATCACTAATTTTTACCTTGTAGATTTTCTGCTCTTTTTACAGAACTATTGTCAAATATATTGACAGGTTCATCTGATATTTGCACAATGGAATGCGGTGTGCTGTTTGCTGACCTGCTTACAACTTCATCATCACTAGCACCAGCAGGGGTGCCCCTTTGGGAGTCAATACTATTTGAAAAGTAATGGGATTCCAATGGAGACTGACTTCTTCGAGAAGATGCACCTTTTAGGTCTTGTTCATCTGAAAGCTATATACTAATTGATTAGGTAAGAAACCTTTAAAAAATCTTGCAGTTCTCCACAAATTTGAGGCTCAATCAAAAATGTTAGCCTTAGTCTGCTCACTTCAGCCAAGTGAAAGACCAAAAGCATGCTGTCTATTGTAGGTTTAAACTGCTTTTATTTAAAATACACATAACAGTTACACAATGAACAAACTCACTAGTGGGAGGCCAAGCCCTGCTCTAGCCCAATTTACTCCAGCTAATTTTTCTTTTAAAACATCAGCCACAGGTGATACTAAATTTGGTGGAGGAAATACAGGAGAGGCGCAAGATGGACACTGGTAACCTGCAGGCGCCGTTGTATGAGGAAGAGCTCTGTACCGAGACTCGGCACATTCCCAATGGAAAACATCTGAATAAGAAAAAATATAGCTTAATGTTTAATATGAAAAAGGGTAGATAAAGAAAAGAAAATATACTTACGATAACAAGTAAGCCGGATACATTCTACTTCTGCTAAACTTTTTGTGCAAATTTCACAAATAGGATTATAATCGCTGTCTTGCAACCATTGAAGATAAGATTGAATGATACACTACAAAGAATGATAAAAGGTTTAAAAACAATTTTAAACTTTAAAAGAACCTCTGTATAAATAATCTAGATACCTTTGGATGGTTTGTCACCATACAATATTCACAAACATTAACTCTGTGTTCAAAACAAAATTGGTTGGTTACTCTTCGTTTAGGACATTTGCACAGGCCCATGGTATTCGTTCACGTGAAAGCAGAATTTTTATTTACTTCGGAGATTAATATTTACATTTATCATATCATTTCAAAAATCTATAATAGTGATAGCAAAGGCATTGTGATTTCAATTCGTACATACGTGAAGAAAATCTTATTTTATGTGGAAATTGTCATTTGCCATTGTCACTTTTCAGCCACGTAAAATTCCCTTATACTCGACACATAGCATTTACAACCACAGACATACCCATTAATTTATTCACATTCGACAATAATAGATTTTACGACAGATTATAGAACTTACGTATAAAAATTTTATTGTCAAAATTTTATTTTAATATATATTATGTGCTTCAGTCTCAAATTATATATGTAATTTGCAAGAATAATTGTTTTTTGTTTAAAATGACTACGAAAATACTGGCTTTAAGAAATGTAGTCAGAAATCCAATAACAGCATTACTGAAGCAGCCCAATATACAAAATAATGGACAAAATAACCTCATACAATTTAGCACATCGCCTCTTGTTTACGTAAATTTTTTCAACAAATGTTAGTTTATTAGTGCAAATAAGTATTTAGTTTAATAACGTTTATAAAAAATCATTAATAATAAATATTATTGTAGTGCCTGCAGAAAAATTATGGAAATCCGTTACCTCTGTAAGTAATGCTGGAGCTAAGAAGGGTCGTGGTAAGGGGGCTGGTCGAATACGAATAAGAGACTTGAATCGGGGACAAATAATTGGAGTTGGCAAAATAAATATGTTGTGGCCTGGACTGTCTGCCCCTGTCATTAGAGGTAGAGAACTTCTTAAACAACAGAGATTACCAGATGATCCAGAAAGGTATGTAATACATTTATTTAGCTTCAACAACCATTAACCCTTAATGCTGTATTTCCCATTTAATACACTTTAAAATGAAATTATTATCATTAAATGTAATTCTTAAAATATGTACTTTTGAATCATTTAATTCCTCCATCACAGGATGGAAAAGCTGATAAAACTGAGAGACTCTATGACAAGATTTAGACGCTTGAAGTTAAGTCCTATAGAAAGAGGATGGTCTGGAGCCAGAATGCCTGGACGAAGTCTTGGACCTCCAGATCCAGTTGCTGATGGTATGCTTAGTATACTGCTGCTATTTATTGTGTTTAATGTTTACAAAATTGGTGATTAAGGGCACATCAAATGCCTATAAACGCCATGAAAATTAGTTCAGTAGCCATTTTCCCTACAAAATGTTTGTAACATTGACATTTTAGAAAAACTCTTTCTGCAGCAACTATAAAATTTTAGATGAAAGCTTTGTAATTTCTTTTTCAGAGGAATTTGTTGGGTTTGATACAAAGGTGCTTCAATTGAGACCACTGCTTATTATGAAAGGAACATTAGGACGTACAAGAAATTTTCAAGCTATGGTAATGAGGGATTATATTTTTACTACACCTTAGTCTTCTTCCAAATAATGTTTGTGCAAAATCATGTCTTATTAAATGTAGGGGGAGGGATACATTTCTTGATTTATACTATTCCAATTCATGAAGCTATTAATTCATATTTGATTCTTATAATATTTCTATAAGTAAAATTGTTTTGTAGGTGGTGACAGGTAATGGCCAAGGTTTAGCTGGATTTGGAATAGGCAAAGCAAAAGAAGCTCAAGCGGCTTTAAGAAAGGCCAAAAACAGAGCTGGCAAGAAATTAATGCACTTTGACATTTATAAGAATCATACAGGTAACTCTTTTAAAAGATAGCATTTGTTTTTTTTAAGTTTACCTTAATAATATTATTTCCTTTTGATACAGTTTATCACGATTTCTTTACTGCATTTGGTAAAACTAAGATATATGTTCAAAAAAAGAATGAAGGTTATGGTTTAATGGTACACCGAGCCATTAAAGAAATATGTCAAGCTATTGGTATTAAGGACCTTCGCGCTAAAGTAGAGGGCCCAAGTAACTTGCAACATATTGTTAAAGCCTTTTTTATCGGTCTCTTACAACAGGTGAGTACAATAATTAAATACCTCTTTAAAATTTGTTATCCTACCTAAAAAAGGGACTTCAGTTGCTTTATTATTTTTTGCAGAGGACTCATCAACAATTAGCTGAGGAAAAGAAATTACATCTTGTAGAATACAGAGCGGAAAATGAGTACTATCCAACTGTAGTAGCTAGCCCAAGCACAGTCAGAACAAAGGAAGAAATACCAAAAGATGAAACTCTCGACTTCAAACAATATGTTATGAATGATAAAGTTATTTTGCAGAAAAAGAAATTCCCCCGTTTCTATGAGACCATGCCTCATTATGAGTTATTCCTTAAAAAATATGAAAAATACAGAAATCATGAGAAAATCAGACTCGATCTCAAAGTTGAGTATGGAGAAGTTAAGAGTTTCTTGAATGACAAATATCCAGAAGAAAAAAATGAGCAAGAAGCTTAGGTCAATGTAAAAATAGTTTGGTATAGTTAAAGCTGAATAAATTAATATTTTAAATTCAATCTTTATTTACAAACCCTAGTTAGTCCCCAAACCCAAACTTTAGGGCCTAAAATGGATGCACCAAACAAGTGTTATAAAAAAAAAAGGATCCAAAGTCAGCTTTTTTGTTTATTCATAGTTTTCAATACAAATATTAATAGGTAATCATAGGTATACAACATAAATTGTAACTTGAATATAGGTCTAAATATAACTAAAATATATTTCTTTCACAATATCACAAAAATATAATGCATGTTATCTTTGAGAAACTAATTAATAAAAATTAAAAAATAAACAACTTTTAGGAAATTTTATAATAGAGAAACACAAATATTTACAATGACAAATGATTATATTTTTTAGTAACTAAATGCTCTAAAATGCTAGAATGCACCATTATTTACAAGGGAACTATTTTAATTCTAAAACAATTGAAGGTGACAGAACAAAGAAACGACCTGTCTTCCAAGTACAGAGAATATAAATGTAATATCAGATTGTATGAGTGCATTATTATAAGGAGTAAACATTTAAATAAAACACTAACTGTTTAAAACGCGACATATATTAATTAAACTTACGTCACTCAAATAAGTATAACTAATATATATCGCGTTTTAAGCCGTTAGTGTTTTATATAAGAGTGTACTACTCGCGTAAGCTACAGATTTTAAAGAGTAAACAGTTGAAATAATATTTTTTTTACTGACCAGCAGTTAAAAGGATCTTGTTTGTCGCTGTTATATGTACTCAAGTATTGTTTAACTCCATTAAATGTATTATAATCCGCCACCGTTAAATATACTTCGAGATCAACAGTACCCTATTAAGTAGTTTGCTCCTAATCTGTCGTATCTGAAATAAAAAAGATAAGTAAATTTATACTCTAATCAAACTTCGACTACTAACTTTGAACAATCGATTGAATATTTTTAACAATTTAAGACTGGTTGTGTAAATGTTTATTAAAACGTCGCCACATAACAAATAGTATATAATTGTAGTGTTCGCAAGTGTTCAAAAACGGCGCCATTTTTGAACATTTGCGTATCCGTAACACAACGACATAAGATCCGTAAGTCAATAACAAAACAAACCCTACAAGTAAGTGAAACTATCTTCATAATAAGCATAAGTAAGTAAGTGAAATCTCGTTTCTCCCTCGTGGGGCATGGGGCGAACACATTTTTGTGTTCTTCTCACTGATCTGTTCTTTAACAGGCAAGTAGTTGATCAGACTTCTGTGCCCTACATAATAAGCATGCTGCGCGATATTTGCGCTGTCAAGGTGCCAAATATAATTACCGTCGTGATCGTTCCGGCGCCATTTGTCAGCGTGATCACGACATGTATCGGGGGCAAGTGCAGCCCTTACGCCGCCCAAAAGGTCGGCAGCACCGGCAGCAGCCAACGCTAGGGGTGCAACAGCAGCACCCGGCAGTTGCCGCAATACGCCGGTACCGCGACCGCGACGAGCCGCTTGCGTTATATTCGCCGCTGTCTCCGCGAAACCCTAAAAAATTGTGTTCTTTGAAAAACATGTTAGAAAGATGAAAAAGTTTAGATTTTTAAAAACGGGTCCAATCCCGCCTGTATCATCGTTTTTCTCTAATTAATTAAAACTAATTATTAACATACAACTTCCATATCATATCGTATCGAAGAGATATATGTACAAAAATTCTCGCCCTCTAAAACAACATTCCAATAGCCTATAATAATACATGTGTATATAAACAATGTCAATAGTTATAATACTTACATCTCTAACAGTGTGGTAAGCGCTAGTGACGCCCTCTCTGATATCAGTCGGCTGGCGAGCTGGGTCGCGTCTGCGACGTCGTTCACGCCTTTCGTAGCCCATGGTCAAAGCGGGAGCAGGCGTAAGCATATCGAAAGCTGTCTCAGCCGTCGCCTAAGGACATGTTTATTAATGTAAGGAAAACGTGCAATAGGTAAATATAGGACATATAAGCATTGGGTTTACTCGGTGGTAGAGAAATACTCCAGTCATATAACCTCCAAAAAAATTTGCGCTGTCGGCCTATTTTGGCTTTGGTTATTCGAAAAGACTGTAACCGAAATGCGGCTTTTTCATCTGTGGTGGTTCTTGACAGGGACGGCATTTCGATATTCCTACCACCTATTTAATATCCAGATATCCAGACGAAGTTAAACAAGTTTCAGAAAAAATATAAATTCATTAGATAAATATTGGACCCCGTGGAGGTCAAATCCACGATCCGTTGATTAGCCATACTTTGCTACTACTATACCAACGAGATCGTCATTAGAATTTCATTCATTGATATAGTCATTTGAAAACTTTAATATTACTTGCACAATTGTTATTGCACATGAAGGCACTATATAATTTAAAAATCGAAAATAAATTGAAATTTTTTTCGACTCGGGCAGGACTTGAATCGGCATCGACAGCGTTCCGTGCTGTTGCTCTACCAATTGAGCTACCGAGTCCAATCTCAACTCAATCGGACTCAATTGGTAGAGCAACAGCACGGAACGCTGTCGATGCCGGTTCAAGTCCTGCCCGAGTCGAAAAAATTTTCAATTTATTTTCGATTTTTAAATGATAAAGTCATTTTATAACGCGCAGAAAATGGCCGGTAAAAAGTATGCTGTATGTCAGTCCTTACGCAGCCATAGTTTTTATTTATTTACAGTTAATAAAATCAATATCGCCAATTGCTAGTATACATCTTTAATAAAGTATTTTTACGTGTTTACGGACATTGTTTCGTGGACACTGGCTGTAAAAACTTTGACATTGCTATTATTTGAAAGCTGTTTGCTGAAAATACTTTTAAGTTTATATCCGTTTACCTATTTTAAAGTTTTTACCTGAATAAGGTGCAATATCCTAGCTGTAATGTCTAATGCTGCTACAGCGGTACGAGCCGTGAACGAAGCAGCACCACGACGCAGTCCGTGCACAAGACGCCCGTCGCGCCGCCATTGTTCCACTGGCAGCCACACCAAGTCGCGAATACCAGTTACTAGTGGAAGAAGAACCTTTTTAGTACAAGGAAATGTGAAGGAAATATATATTGCAATCCGTTTAAATACTATTAATTAATAATTATTCACAAAAATATTATTTCATTTATTATTATTGTGCCGCCATGTTTAAAGTTAATAGAAAAATAGCATACATTGAAATAAATACAGTTTAAATACTGTCTGTATTTTGCGCCAGTACACACTTGAAACGGTTTAAAACGCGAAATATATTAGTTAAACTTGTTTACAAATAATTTTTAACAACGGCCCGACGTTTCGGATGCTTTGCAGCAGCCGTAGTCACGATGGGACTAAAATTGAGAGTGTCTCTAAAGTCAAAGTAAAAACTTCGACGCTAGCGCCTTTATATATATCTATTCCGTCTTTGTTTGTTTTTAACGAAACTGGCCGGTTCATAGCATAATTGAATAAATATGATGACGTTTGTCAGTATGAAACATCGAGCCGTAGTTACAAGTACTTTGTTAACAAAATTTAACTAATAATATGACTCTTCGCGGACGTATGGGTATAATAGTGTCTAATTACTTACTTATTTGCAATAAGGAATGCATCGGTCCGATCCCGCTGAGTAAGCCAGGCAACTGATGTCGTTTGATGTCGGAAAGCCATTCGTGTAGTGCCCATTGTACCAGTTTCTCTAAGCCTAAAAGTCCTAACCTAGAAATATTTTAAGTTTGTATTGAGAAATCCCTTGCATGTCAAAAAGTCTTGCCTGTTCTTCACTACCTGGCTATGCCTTATCTATACTAATATTATTAAGGTAAACAGTTCGTTTGTTTGTTGGAACGCGATATTAACGATTGTAAAGACATAAACAAAATATGTACACTTACTTATAGTCTAGCCGTTTGAGGGTAAGTTCGGAACAGTTGAGCTGCCCTAGACCCATAAGTAGCCCAGCAACTGGTCCCGCCGAGAGATCGACTCGCTTGCCCACATAGTCCAGTCGAATTGGTACTTCCGGGGAAAACACTATGCGCCTATTCAATAAAACAATTAATATATAATATTATTAATTTTAATATTTGTTAGTGTTGTCTTCTAGTATGTTTATCAAGGGAGTTTTTACTTGATAGTAGGTGAGATGGTTTCTGGCTTAGATGTTATATGGATAGTAATACCCTAGCCATATAACATCTAAACCAGATGCGCTGGCGTTGGATATTGAGAAACCCACCGACTGAACACGAAGCAAAAAACAAATTCAGGAATTCAATGTAAGAATTCTTATATTTTCGACGTCACTTTTCACACGTTATGTTCTTACTCTCCTATAGTTTTTAGTCTCCTTCCTAAACAATTATGTCAACACACAAAAGAATTAACTCTTTCTTCTCTCCTTTTTAAAAAAATAAAGACAACAAATTTTCTTACCTAAAGTATATGGGAGAGTCGTCGACTGGTTCAGCATCAGGAGGTTTAATGGCGATCTTTTCTTGATTAACAGCGAGTCTCTGGAAGTCTTCCTCCAACTGAATGAGATTTTCCGAGACGAGTCTTTCGGCTTCATATGTCTCCATAAGAGGCTCATCATCGCGAAGAACTGTAACAATATTTATTTTTATATAAAACAAAAAAAAAAAAAAGGGGGGGGGGGGGGGGGAAAAAAAAAAAACCCAAAAAAAAAAAAAAAAAAAGGAAAAACGGCGGGGGGGCCCTTTTTTTTTTTGGGGAAAAAGGGAAAAAAAAAAAAATTTGAAAATATTTTTTTATACCTTTGTTAGTTAAAAACTTATATTGGGTTAGGTTTAGTCCTTAGCCACTTACCAGTATCGTTCAGCGATAGACAATCCCCATCCCCTAGAGACGTAGGCGTGGGTGGTGGGTCGCGTAAATGGCTGCCTATGCTCATTACAGGTGGCCGATGTGTCGGCGTCGTTTGTCGAGATCCACTAGAATCCGTTGATAGCCCTCCGACACTTTTTGTGTCCTCCTCTAAGACATTATAAAGTGTCATTAATAAAGTTGAAATTGAAAATTTGAGTTCACTTTGGGCTTTAGCCCTTTTGATGTCAATTAAGATAAATAATAAAAAATACCGTTGGTTTCATCCGTTCCGAGTTTAGAGAAGAATCCAACGAGGAATGCCAGAGTATCTTGATCGAGGTTGAAACGCAAAGGCAACAGGGACACTTTTAGGCAGCACTCTTGCGCTGGAAGGGCTGCGTCGGCACGTAAGTGCACCGCTTTTACAATTAACTGAAACGCAATAAGGATTTTTTTCAAGAAATTCAATAAAAATATGTTTTTAATGATTTTTCGTAAAAAACTTTCTTGTTTATAAGACTTTGAGCCATTTTTTAAGTTACACTATTTATAATGTATTAATTTTACGGTATTATTCTTACGTCTTTCATTTATATAAATGAGACAGACACAATTATATATTTGAGTACACATGTAAATAAAACACTTTTAAAGGTGTAACACGAAACTTCTGGCGGTACATTAAATAATTTAACTAATATATTTTGCGTTTAAACCGTTAAAAGTGGTTTTTAAATTGCTGTATTTGCTTCACTAATAAATGCCTACGGTTAGCTAAGAAATCAAGATTATCGTAGTTTGGTTTAAATATCGTAAAGACTAATTTTTATTGCCGCAGCAGCTAAAAAATATGCTGGTACTTCCGAACTCCACCGGGCGTGTACAAAATCTTACCATATGGGCATTCTTCCTCTCCGGTTCATCTTTTAACTTATATTGGCTCAGAAGCTTGTTAATATCGCTGCAAACAAGTCGGTCCAAAACTTCTATTTTCGTGATAGCTAGCGTTTGACGAGAGGCCTGCGTGCCTCCGGGAGGATATACTTCGTGTTGGAATTTCACCTGTTTATAATTAATATATATTTAATAAAGACAAAGTTAAAAATAATTTATTCACGTAATATGAAGTCACGCCAGTTTAAAATTAAAGACTCTATAATTCTTAAAACTAAACATACTCATATCTAATAATTTAAAAAGGACATAATTTACCCTCGCCTATCATTAAATGCATTGTTATTTTGTAAAATAAATTTCGAAAATCTTTTAAAAATGTAAAAACTTGTTGACCTACCTGAAAAACCTTTGCGCGGCTGTCACTTTTGTTAAAAATCCTATATTCTTCTTACAATACTTTCTAATTCATAAAAACTCTTACGTGGCTTATTATGTTAAATTGTAAATATTTACGAGAAGATAATTATTGGCAAATAAAATATTTTTATTTGAAATAATAATACCTTCGTTAGACAGAGTTTGACGCATGTGTGATGATCACGATGTTTGCCACCGCGCGCCCGCAACTCGTGCTTAACTGGTGGGGCGGAGGCACGCACCCGCTCACTTCCAGCAGACCAGCTGACTCCGCCTGTTCTGTACGCAGCTGCTACGGCACGGCCTTTCTCGTAGGGCTCATAATCTTTGATGCGTCTGTTAAATCAGTGTGTATTTCATAATTATATCTTACTATATATAAAATATAACCTTTTAGTATGTGTATTCTAAGTTATAATAAAATGACGTTTTTAAAGATATCATACAAAAGAGTAATAAAAAAATTTTTGGTATAAATTTGAGATAGTCTTGCTAAACTAAGGGTACTAGTGTTGAAGGTAAATGATTCGTTAGCATTTTTTTTTGTTATAAAAACTCATGTATTTATAAGCATTTAGAACCGCTCCTGAAAATAATTAATTAATTACTATACATATAAGTGTGTGTGTGTTTTAAAATAATTTATTTGGGACACGTTTCAAGGCGCTCTCGTATAAAAATACAGACATAGCAAAAATAGAGTTTTGAAATAAATAAAATCTTACTTAGTGGTAGTAGGAGAGCCCTGTTTTCTGGGATCGACGTCGATGCTCACAGTCTTCTTGGGCGCATCACTGGTCGGTCGGAAATCGTTTCCACCGTACATATTCCACGTAACGCTCATTTCGCATAGAGTATACCTAAAAAGAGGGGCATTTGTCTTTATAAAAAGCCGTCAAGTTTAATTGCGTTTTGATTTCAGTCTGTGGATTTAGGAATATCTAAAGCCAAAATAGGTCATACAGCCCATTTTGTTTATATTTATGGCTGGAGTATTTCACCAAGGGCACCTCATGCCTGTCTATCCTCTTCTATCATAAAAAAAAATAAATCACATTACCTTAATACTGGCAGTGGGAAGCTCTTAGGTGCCTTGAGAACATCTGATCTAGCGGCGGGAACCGAAAAATGGTTGTCCATCATGTAAACAGGCCCTGGTCCGATCCAATTTACAATGGGCTCGTCCATTTCATTATCCTGCGCATACGCAGTCTCCACTATGAAATATTCGTCATCTGTGTTACTGCCATCTCCACCAGATTTTATCTAGAAGACACGATTATATTTTTTATGTACATATATTGTAATTGTGGATGGCGTACGTACAGATTTTTAAAACATTATTATCTTTTAAGTTTGAAATCTTTTGTTTTCTGTTATTGTACATGATAGCACTATATAAATTAAAAATGGATTTTCGATGGAAAAAATTTACGATACCGGCAGTACTGAAACCGGCATCCACGCGTCCGTGTTGTTGCTCTAAACAATTGAGCTACCGTGTCCTACACATCATCGTTCGAATCTTTTCAACCTATTGACTCTCGTGCAATGTAATTTCAAACTAAGTTAAATTAAGGTAGATTTTTAATCTTTTAAGTAAATAGCCCATGATAGATGTCAAGTTGGATTTTCAATCTAAGTAAAGTATTAATTTATAAGTTTATGGCTTCACTAGTGTTTAGAATTTTCATCACTAATAACGGTTATTCCATTTATGTAAATATTTTTATATGACTTACCTTTTTCCGCTTACTCTTCCTCGGAGAAGCTTTAGGCGTTGACGTGGGATCGCCCAAATCTTTTGCCACTTGTGCGTTCGGCTTAGCCTCCTGCGCTTGCTCTATAACATCTATGCTTTTGCATTCCTCGTCAAGGTTCTGTATATCCATCTCCGTATCGATACCGTCAGAGGCCTCTTTAGGTTTAATATTAGACTCATCTGGGAAGAAAAACACTTCAACTCCTTCCTTCTCCGTGGAACTGACTAGCTCGTCTTCTTCATCTAAAATAAAATGATTAATTATCCTACACGTTCAACATATAGAGTTTTTTTAATAAGTTTAAACAAAATATTACTTGTATTATTAGGGCTCTCTTTCAAAGCTTCAGCCATGAGGTCATTGACCTGTTGAATTTCACTTGGGGACAGTTCTCTTATTTCTTCTGGTTTATCCTCTAGTCCTGAAATACAGAAACATGTTTATTGATTTATTTTTATCTTAGGATTTTTTATTTCAATTATATATTCTGCATTGTCATATATTTTCAGTGACGTTACGTCATGACATGTTAGAAAACCAGCTTTTATAGATATTATAGCGATATTGGTATAACAAATAGGAAAGAGATCCGCTCAAATACGTAATATAACTTACCAACGAGGGGCTCTAACGGCTGATCAGAACATATACTAGTATGTCTGGAGTGTTCAAACGGCGCATTTGCGTCTCCGTCGGAGGCGACATATGTGAGCAATCGGCAAAGGGCCGAAGCAGAGTCCCAGCACGTGTATAAGTTCACCATATTGTTTGATGCCGTGAGGTCAACTTGAGGTTGGTCGTTAGACTGAAATTACATTATTATTACAGGACGTGTGATGTCAAATGAGGCAGTTTTACCATCCATGCATGTCTAAGCATATTCTTAACTAGATAATCATAAATTATCCTTTTTAAAGCTTTTATTCACGACTTCCTTTTAATGTTTTTAAAACCAGAAACAATAACGATAAAGATAAAATCAAAAATCAAGGAATTAAAGAGCTGAAAGTATGTTAGTCCCTATAATACCTGAAGGAAAGACAAACAAACACACTTTTGCATTTATAATGTTCTTATGGTGAATATTGTACATTCTTCAAGGGGCCTTAAATAGAACCTAGCCTACTGCAGAAACCACTTACCCCGGTTTTATCTTCCATCCTTAAAGAGAGTTCAAACAGCCCAACATCGAGGACACAAACGTAGTTTCTTTGTAAGTCCGGATGCTTATCGTCATCCTGCGGCACGAGTGCATTTGCTTTCGCGTTGTGAATGTACGAAAGGAACAAAGTACACTCCTGCGCTAAGAATCTGAGGTACGATGTATTCATTTCTGGTATTAGGTTGCTCGAAACGCTGAAGTTTCCTAGCGTCGCAACTGTTCGTATTGGTAAGTATAAGGGCCTGGAATCAATGTATTGTTAAATTAAATCTCGTTTCTCATACAGGGGGCATGGGACAAACACATTTCTGTGTCTGATTCAATGATCCATTTTATTTAGAGGCAATTAGTGATAATTGGAATTTATTATACTGGCCCCATCAAAATGACGTTTTCGCGGGATTCAAAGACTGGACATTTTGGCACAACGCAATTTTAAGTAACTCATAGGATTATTCATTGAGCCACGAAAATTTGTTAAATTAAAGTCGATACAATGAAGCGTCATCTAAATAACATAAGTAAAGAATTGTCTGTAGTTTCGTAAAATTTGAGTAAAGAAAATAACAAAAATATATTTATGAGAATAGATATCGATCTTGATATGACTTAAAATTTCATTATTCTATTTAATGGACAAGAACAATCTTTTCTGTAGTTTGGTCCTTCGAGCCGGTTATAGGAGTGAGTTAATATAATATATGCTTTGCAGGTTTGCAGACTGTTTCTTGATAAATGTAATAACATATTTTACACTCTTATATAAATTGATCTCTATACCTGTAGTCAACAGCGCAATCCCATACATGTACATGTAGTTCGGAAAGTACAGTAGAAGGCGTGTAACCGGGCACTGGGTAGTCAAAGACATCCAAAACATCCATTAACTGCGTTAACCAAGCTATTCCCTTATCCCCTCTATGACGCAGCGTCGCTTGTTCTATGCCTAAGGCAATGCAGATTGTCTAAAAAAAAGTTTTCATGCTAAAATGGATTAAAATGATTACAGACAAGCATGGCTGCCTTGTTGGAAAATGGCGCGTTAAAGTAATAACATTTCATAAAGATACACTGTCGACGCATTTTAGCTTTGGGTACTTAGCTTATGTTAGTGACAGTAAGCACTGACATTAAGTGTCCCTTTTCATCCTTTTGGTGCATAACTTGAAGTGAATAATACAAAACTAAGCAATATACAATACCTTCAATCCTGGCGTATCGCTATTTGGTTCAGTTTTCAATGCCATCGTAAACATGTCCTTGGGTTCTATTCTATCTTTCACATAAACACCTTTATTTGAAGGGTATATAGTTTTTCTTAAGTGACAGGGTAGTGCTGTGCCGAATAATCGTAAATCTGGTTTTTCTGAAGGTATCGTCAAAATAGCTGGAACCGAAAGACATTATTAGAAGGGTAAGATCTTGTGATGAGTGAAATATTTTTTTTATTGTTAGTTTCTCTTACGTTCATGATACAGGGACATTTTTCCTCCCCTCAGGCACAGTTGCGCTGTCTTGGGGCGTCCGTTGAGCCCGCTGACTTGGCACATTGATAATTTTTGCGCTTCCAAAACTAATTCTCCCATTTGACCGGGCACCACTTGTTTGTTTGTATCCTATTGATCCGAAACATTATGTAATATTAATATTTAGCAAATGTCAATGACACTTTCAATATTTGTGAGTTTCAATATATTGTAATATATAAAAACTCAACAAGGTAAGTAACACTTACCCTAACTGGTGCGTAAATAGTCAACAAGCCCTTGTCGACTTTAAGAGTGAGACAGAAATTGTGCGTCTCGCTCTCCTTGGCTTCCGTTGGCGGTTTGCTACCAATATTTTTCCTTGCCTTGTGGTCGTAGGTAGAGTAATACAAGTTCTCCTCTTCAGAGGATGTGCTTTCCGAGTCGGAATCTGTTGAAAAAGTTTAATTACATTTTCTTATAACAGAATTATGGTGAAAATGGAGATGGAATTATGGAAAAAATGAATATGGAGAAAAATTTAAAACATATTTTTGTCATTCTGACATTCATTATTACGTATTTATAAATCTTTTTTGTAAACAAGTAAAAAAATATAAGCTTGTTAAATTTTTGTCTATGTTCCCTTACCATAGCCCTTGCAGACTCCAAAAGCTGGATATATCGGCGCACTTATATGCGGGGTTACGTCAAATTCTTCAGACACGCGGGGCTCCCACAACAATAGATCTGAGTTAATGCGATTGTAGATTATTTCGTAAAGCTGCTTCGATCTAGGCAAAATGGAAATTGTGTTTCTGCATTTTATTTAACTTTTGACAAACTGTTAATTGGTAGTACGTTGTTGAAGTGAGGTCTCAAATGTGTTTTTTTTTATAAAAATCTTTAAATAAAAAATTTTTTTTTTATAACAATCATTTATGTGTTAATTTGGAGCTGAATGTAGTTTTTCTGAATTAATCAGAAATCATTTAAAAAAATAACTACATATAAATCTTTATGTTAATAACTGTCGTGCTGATCAATGATAACTTTTAGGAACTTACTCTAACTGCAAACTCAGTAGGGGTAGATTGAAGTCCAAATGTATGGCCGAATTATCCACTGAACTGTTCGTGAATTCCGTCATTTCTTCATCCGTACCTGGTACTATTAATTCTTCCTCTTGATCTGCGACAATTCAAAGAGCCATATATAATATATAGTCTAAACATGGAAAACTTATTGAAAATAAAATAGAAAGAGAAAATCCCAACGTAGGGCATGGGCAACTTAGTTATTTATTTATGAAACTAAACAGCGCCGTCCCTTATGATAACTAAAAGTAATATAACAATTTCTAATAGACAAGCAAACTTTCTTATAGAAATCTAAATGTATGTATATCCTCAGAGACAATTCCTTAACAAGATTCACTGAGAATATTGTAAGATAAAAATAAAAAAAAGCTTCACGGTGAGAAACAGTGTCTTCGGCAAATACAACAAAGGAAAAACAGACATCCATTCCAGCCTACTGTTGGTCAGACTTCTGTGACCGGCCCAAACCAAAATCCTATTTTTCCAATGTATTTGAACCCAAGACATGAATCTGACATAAAGGTTTAGAGCGTGAGCGAGCATTGCGTTATTCCGTTCAGCCAGAGCCAAGGAGCTTTTCTGGTACTAAAAGTTATAAAAAAATGTTATTCCTTGTTCTTTGTTTTACCTTGTGATTGTGTTTCATGTTTACTAATACTTTGATGCGCCATTTTCTTCCTGCTAAACGGGCTCGGCTGAGTACTACGAAGATTATTCATTATGTACATAGAGGTTGTCATGGGGTTTGATGTCTTTTCGAAGTTGAATTCTTCTACCAGAGAGTCGAATGGTCCCTTGTTGATTTCACGCGGTTGAAATGTTATCGATATTCTGTTAAACATAGATATTTTTATTATAGTTGCTCTAATGTAAGATGGTATTTTCTAGAAGAACAATAAAAAGAAAGAAGATAAAGGGGTTCACTTGATGGCAGACAGAATTTTCTAGCCATAAAAGATCGGAAATCCAGATTAAAACCGAAACGCGATTAAATTTCACAAGTTTAATGATTAAAGTTCACCTGTGGAGGGTGGTTCGTGACCAGGGCAGAATTTTGATATTCCTACCACCCATTTAATATCCAGATTTCCAGACGTCCAACATGTTTTATAAATTGTACAAATTTAAAAATTAGACACAAGCTGAAGCCGGTGGGGAACCCATGACACGTAGATAATCAGCCATACATTGCCAAATACTACACTTATAGTTGTTATCTAGTCTTCTACCCTGTCCGACGTCATATTTTGAAATCGTATAAATACAAGAAGAGAAGTTTTCCAAATTAACTTTGGAGGTGGTAAACATTAAAAAAATCAACTAACATTGAACTACCCCCAATCTTATTGTCGTGTTGAAAAGTTTAATGTCATACATTCTCTTTACTTTTTATGTTCAGGATTTATGTCATAGATATAAGATTTGAACCATACATTGGTAGTGCTGTAGTAGAGTGTCCTTTGAGTATATCGCCAGAAAAGAAAGATTCGTCCATAGTGCTTTGAGCTACATGCGTAGCGGGTAGATGCTCATTTTCCTATAAAAAGAGGTAATATTAAATTGCTAATACTTAAATTAACTTTTAATCCTATATTTTTCTTGACTATTTCAACTTATTGGTATTCTTCAGTGAGAAATATATTTTTTAACTAAACTCGAGGTCTGTTAGTCTCATAAAAGCGATTGACTGACGTTAAAACAAATTTACTCGAAAGAAAAACCTATTTTGGCTTATACCACTAGCTAAGACTTCTGTTTAACATTGACCTTAATGCTAAATATTCTTCATCGTCTTCTTTTAATTAGACTTTTTGTTGGAATGTATTGTAATAATATTTAACTCACATGGTAGTAAAGATCTAGGATTGTGGCCTTCACAGAAATGGTGGTGGGCAAAGGGCGAACACTAGGAGTCTGCTGGCAGGTCACAGTTGTATTTTGGAATTTGAACACGAGGTAATCGGCACGAACTCTGCGCATTTCGCGGTTGATTCCTGGACGAAGATCTGCTATTGGAAACCTATCAAATTTAGAAATATTAGTATTGCACGTAGTAATATTTTTTTAAATTAAATTTTGACACATCGCGTTTTAATCCGTTCAACATGGTCTTTTAAAGAAATTTTTAATTAACTTTTAGTTCTAGGCTCCAAACCACATCAAGTAACGGAAGTAGTTTACACGAGTAGTAATCATTTAAATAAAATACTTTTAACGGTTTTAAAAAACAGATGTTTTGCAGCATCCGTAGATCTGTGATTAAAAATAAGTTAATTAACATATCACGACAAACAAAAAAATGTCTTATTGTCTTAATCAGACATTTTTTTGTTATTGACCAAAAGGGGTACAAGGTATGTATCTATACTCGAACACTTTTGCTTTACTAATTAAAAATGTTTCATTTAAAATAAAGCATAGACAGTTAGGAGGATGTTTTTAATAATTGAAATTACTTACCGAAGAATAGCGTTTAAAACGGGACAGTGTAGAGTGAAGTTAAAATGGTTTTGTGGTTGCGCGGGCGCAGGTGTTGCCGCGGTACTTGTCTTATTGAAAAATGTCGCGGACATTCGTTCAATACGTGTCAAGTCTATATCCACGTGGAATGGTGTGCATTTAACACTAGAAAAAATATTAGTTTTGAAATATTTAGTCTTGCCAAACACTATTTTAAAAGATCAAAACTAAGTGACAAGTGGTACTTAACGCTTCCCCATATCCCTTATTGGTGGTAAACAAACTATCCAACCGATTTGGTAAATGTAATAAATGGTAGCCCTTGCGACACGGCCATCATGACATCTCACACGTCCTTAAATTACGTACGTTGGATCACCCAGTTTATAATTTCATCTTTGGACACGTTTAGTGTCCGTCTCCAACAAATATACTACTATAAGTTTGCGTCATGTTTAAAATGTTTTAGTTGATTTCAACATAAATTAAATACTGCTTAATACTAACATAATATCTGTAGTGGGGTATACTAATTTCTTTTCGCCACCAATTCTCATATATTTTGACGTCTGTTTGAAGTTAACCCGTAGATTTGACTTCGCCGAAGCGATACCGGGATCGTCGTCCTCTGTAATAAAAATATATTCCTTTTAGGACCACTTAAAAAAAAATACAATAAGCGATCCCCATGGGTGTATTGAAATGGTCGGAAAACAAACCTCTATCAAAATAGATAATATCATAATTCTCCTGTTGAATATTCCCTTCTTGAGTTTGGACATACAGACATTCCCTAGTAAGGAAAGTCCTTATGGCCGCTTCACACATCGTTTGGCTGCCGTGTGACGTCACCTTTTCACTGCCATCGAGACTTATCTCTGTAGCTAGTAACCTGCAAAAGTGTATAAGCAAGAATATAAATATAAACAAAAAAACTTATACATATAGAAATGTTGCTTAATTTGTTAGAGCAGTAGCACGGATCACTTCGGATGGTGTTTCAAGACGCGCCCGTGTCGAAATCTAAATAGATATATTTAACCATGTTTTTTTTTAAAGAAATACATCTTAATTTAAGGAAGAGTATAAAACAGGTGCTCACCTCAAATGATTCAGATCTGTAGCTTTATTTAAAGATTCGTTGATTGTGTTCAAATCTCTCCTGTGCTCATGTCTAGAATAAGTTTCTATGCGGGCGAAGAATTCAGTGCTGACTTGTTGCAACCTGCTGGCTGAAGATGGTGACACGCTAGTAACACCCATTGGTGTTGCTATTAAAATATCCTGAAATCAACCATGAAATATTAAAGAATTGATAAATCTCTGAAAGTTTCAATATAATAGCATGTATTGTACCTTATGTATCAGAACACAGGAAACTGAAGCTATTCTGAGACTAACATGGGACACTTCAGCTGTCGGGTCGCCGTCAATATATGGCACTGAAATATAATTATGTACATCAATATATGTGCATCGTTTTTGTGAAAAATTATGACAAGGGGGACTAATTGAGATGATAACTAAAATAAATACAATTTTTTTTTTTAATGTTAACAATATAAAATTGAATTTAATAAGATATTATCAATTAGATTTTTTTAAATGGAAAAAAAACAATATTATTATGTTAACCTTTTCTATTTCTTTTAATTCGAGGATGCGCAGACGGTATGTTAAGGCTGGATGTCATACTAGCACTCATAGAACTGACGGAAGAATTGAAACTCTCTGACATTTGAGCATCTGACGACATTGGGTGGAATTTTTCACTCTCTATGTCACTGTCATCTGAAAATTCATATTTTTAACGATAAGCCATTTAACTAAGAAGAAGAATATATTATAATTCTGTTGAGAAAGACATTTAGATAGTAATTCAATTAAAAAAACATGGGCAACAAATAGGGTTGTTATACAATGATGTTTTACATTAAAAAATTGGTATAAAATTATTTTAAGTTATTATCTTCTTCAAGTGTATTGCATAAGCTGTTATATGAAAATGACATATGCAGAAGAGTCCATAATAAAGACTGCGTAGGCGAGAAAGTTGTCTATACAGTTAAATAGTTAATTCTTTAATCTTACCAATACTTGGACCCGACCAACCATGAAGTGCTGTGGGCTTAGCTCTTTTCTCCAGATTACCAAGTAGCTGGGCTTCAATAAGTTGAAAATCTGCTGGTTTCATTGGCTTGCATTGTACATTAGCACCACTTGGCCGAAGTGGTATATTGCTGCAATATTAAAATATGTGATATTTAAATGTAAGAGAATAAATTAAGGCAATTACTTTACATCTTTGTTTAATTGTTTTGCTAAAGAAAAAATAAACTAAAATAATGCAAAATTAGGTCATTCCACAAGAAGTTTAGGAAGATATACAAAAATTGATAGATGACACTCAAAAAGGGTGCATGTCACTTATCTCTAAAATATTTGCATTAACAATTTATTATATATATAAGCTATCACAATCAATGTCTGTTCGAAATTACAAAATTTTAAATATAAAAATGTAACTTTTTCACATACCTTGTGTCTTCCAAATCTGGCTGATTTAATGCATCACATAATTCAATCAATGTATGCAACTGTCTAGGTGTGAGAAATATAAGAAAGGAGCCCAAAAGCACCTTGACCTCAACTTTAGGCCCTTCTATCTCCTCTGAATGCTTCAACTTTAGCATTAACTCTTGCGGACCAGTTAACTTAGCAAACAGTATTGGATCTGGCTGATTTGCTTTCTCTTCCTCGGGTGTTGTCTCTCTTGTACTCTTCCTATCTTCAAGAATATCTCTAACTGGATCAGAATCAATTGTAGATATTACACTTCTCGCTTCATAGAAAACATCGGACATAGTGCTTTGGTAGTTAGAGTCAGGAGTCTCTGCTGTTCCATCTGATCGTTCAGCTTGAGAGGAAGCAGATTTTTCCATAATTAAACTTGGCGCCATTGTACGTAATTTCGATGGAAATTCGTCGATATAGAAGGAGATGCCAGAAAATTGGAGCTTTTTATTAGAATAGGTTGAGACCACATAAGTTTTATTTTTCTCTGTATCTGAGCATTCAGGTACAGAATCCAAACCAGCTTCGTCAAAATAGTCAATGCTGCAAGTAAATTAGATTTAAGATATTTACAATACTGTGATTTTTTTTCTGTTATACATATATTATATTAACATATAATTTTACAAACTTTTTAATGTGTACTTCTACAGCAATTCCTCTACTTCCATTTTTAGGAACATGTTCTATTCGGACCTTGGTGTTAACAAATTTCACCTTAACTCTGCTCAGAACTGAAATTAGAGAAGTGTTATACTATATATACTATTACATCATTAACATTTTATGATTTGACTAAATGTGTTAGCAACTTCGTCTGCAAGAATCGTCATTTTATCATAATTTTCCAGTTTGATGTTTTATAGCTCCTTGTTTTATTTGTCGATAAATGCTCTAAATAACACAAGAATTTTTTAATTCAAACCCAAAGACCCTGAGATTACCATCTTCAAACATACAATCAAACTATTCAGCTTTATAAATTAGTATAGATTTATCAACATACGGGAGTCTATTGCATGTGCAAACATTTCTATGCCTTCAACTGGATTAGTTTCCTGTGGACCTGCCTCATCGCGAAGGCATTCAGCAGCCAGTTGCATAGAGGATGACATAGAAGACCACATGGATTCCAACATTGATGATACTGAAAATAGATTTAATAAATGCTGTTACTAACAACAGCTACATAAAATACAATAGTTTATTGTTGTAAAGGCCTCTTTTTAACAAACCTGGTTCAGCTCTAACTTTAGGCTGCACAGTAAGTGAAAGGCCATTGATTTCAACAATAGAATCATCTTTTAATAATGTTGACCAAGGTATAGTCACTGTTATTTCTTGCATATGACCGTCAACTATTTCCAAGGGCCAATTTTGTGTATCACCCAGTTCATTAAGAGCCTAAAATAAATAATTATTCAATAATTACATTTATAAAATCATTGTTGGTTGCACATACTTCTACAAAAGTAAATGTGTAAGTTGTGAAGCTAGTATTGAGTGAGTCGTAGTGGGTAATTTATATATAAGACATGAAATTATAAATTAATTTAGTTAGGTATAAATTACATATTGCTCTCTATGTTCAAAGATTTTAACCCTTTTACACCAGTACAGTAATAGATTTAATTATGCTTCACAGTAAACACCTATATTTATTTTCTTTGTTTTAAAACAAATAAGTGACACGTGTTGCGTGAAATACGCACATAAAATTGGCAAGGACATACGAGATAAATATTGAATTAGTTCGTTATAGATTTATATAAAGCGTGTTATATACTTCATTGTACGGACATACCAAAAGAATATATAAATTAAGGAGATAACAATACGTACTTCGCAGTCAAGGCTAACTTCAGAAACGGTTCCTGTTCCATTGTATAAATCCACACTCAGCTGATCTAAAGTTAACTTTTCTTCAAGGAAGTTACCGAGGTATCGCTGAAGAAGATATCGGCAGGCTCTTTTTTTAATACTTTCAGACCATGGGTACCAAAACATCTTCACGGTTTTTTTATCATTACACTATAATTTTTGTTTTTGTGCGTAATGACTATTGTGATTTGCGAGTAATTGACTCCACTGACAGAACGTAAATAAACAACAGTGAAAATTTTTGTTGCCATATGAGGGATGACAATCTCCTTGTACCTTATTATAATGTTGCCACCTTAATAAATACGAATAACCTGAACCTGTCTCAAATATCTATAATTTTGTATAGACATAATCTGAACTAGAGAAATAAGGATAAGCTAGCTATTCCCAAATATAGGCTCCATAAAATAACTAATTCATTTGCGGGGAATTGTATTCCTAGTCGTAAGATTGTCTCAAAAGGCGTATTATTGTTAAAAATACTTTTTTAATGACAGAGCTGCCTGGTAGTGATATGAATCGCTCCTTAGGTCATTTAATTCACAAAAATGCATTAGTTTGTAAGACATGTTGAAAAAGCCAGACTGAGTTTCTTGGGTTTTCTTCTCGGTTATGTTGCTCTTTTGAGCACTCTGTAGAATCACGACGAACGGACAGACAAACATCTTATTTAAATTTTTTTTGACGAATCTAAATATATTTTATAATTTTACAGCGAATAATAATATATTTAAATAATTAATAAAGAGTAGTATATTTTATTTTATTACCTTTATAAGTAAATTTGAGAAATGAGACGAAACTGGGAAGGTGTAAAGTGATAATTTATTATCAATTTCATTCATATTATATTAATAGCAACGCGGTCTGCGTTGCTTTTAATTTTTATGCTAAGCTTTACTTTTATTTAAAAGCAGAATCGTTCTTAGAGCAAGCTCGAACACAGAAGACAACACCACCACTTGCATGACTGAGAAGAAGACTTATTTGTATTCATCGCATGTAAATATGATTAGTTTATAATACGTCGACCGAGTGTTTGTAGCATAAAACATCGTTGCGGTAAACTCCGACGCACCAACACCATTTTGAGAAAAAGCTACACAGTCTGTGTTATTTGTTATTAAATGAATGTTGACTTGTGAAACCTTGATTTCATCTGTAAATAATTGTAATTTATTACGTAGTTGAGTTCAAATATAAATATTTTTTCTTTCCACGAAATGAATTCAAGAAGTTCGATTGCTTATCATCGTAACAAAAGATTCCATATAAATACGTACCGTCACTGCTTCTATAATAAATGTCCATAACGCGATTCAATCGGACTGTAGGCCATAATTTTTCTTCGATAAAAAGTATGTTTTCTGCAAAATAGTTTTCAATAAAATTATATACTTATGTTCACTTTTTACCTTAAAAATAATATACTTACTTTTACAAGAACCCAAAGTCATGCTAATTTGGTAATACGGTATTCCGATGGCTTCGATGTTTCTTTTGAACCTAATTGCTTTTATATCTTGAATAATGATATAAGTGATTAGTATTCTTAAATACATAGTGCACTTTATCGTCATTGTACTAATATTTAGTATGACCGCATGCAATTATGTAAATCTTCATATAATTATTTAGCTACTTAAATTAAAAAACACTTTTAAGTAACTTGTTTAAACTCAAAATATATTCGATACTTTTTTGCAGTCGTGATTATGCTAGTAATATGTTTCGCCTTTCAAACCGTTTAAAGTGTTTTTCATAATGTGTATCACTCCTCGTAACTATAGACAATGGCTAGTTTCACTTTTGGTCGTACATTTGATGTAACGTAATATCTAACAATGACAATAGGTTTCAAATTTATAAGTAGTTTGTCAAAACAAGCTTTACTCAAAGGTAATATGTTTATTAAACATTCTGGTGAAGGGACGCTGCATTTAGCTTGCAAGGTTTTTAACGTATAAGTAACGTATTTTTTATTATTACATTTTTGTATTGTACCAAGATGGACTGACCAGATCAAGGCCGCGGTTGGAGGCTCGCTGAACGAGTGCAGCCGGATGACCTCTAGCAGGCAGCAATGGAAAAACGTCGTGAAACGGATCACATCTGCCCCCTCCAAGACTACGAGTACATAGCGATCACGACCGCTCTGTCAAGAGCGCACCGGATTAAAAGAAGAAGAAGTATTGTACCAACAATAGTATGGAATAATAATGGTACGGAACACTATAATAGTAGTTTTTTTACTCGAGTAGTACCTACATATTAAAATAAAGCATTTTTAATGGTTTACAAAACAAATCGTATTGGTTAAACTTATTTGCAAATTATTTTAACTACGGCCCGAAGTTCCGGATACTTTTCAGCAGGTGTGGTCACTTGAATTTGCTGTATTTAAAATAATTTGTAAATAAGTTTTACGCGTTTCGCGTTTTAAACCGTTAAAGTGGATTTTGTTTTTATATCAAATTTTCAATTACGTAATATATGTATGTGTGACAACTCATTGGTTTAACTTAGTTTTAAATAAGCCCTGATTTTTTTTTTCTTTAGGTGTTGCCATAAAAAACAATGTTTTATAATTCGAACATTGAAAATTGAAGTATTTCTTTCGCAATTTATTTATTATTCATTCAATTAAACATTTTTTATGACACTTTTACTATCCATACATAGATAGAATGAAACGCGCCCCTGCTGCCAATCCCGCATAAGTTTCAGTCACAATTTGTTTCACGTATTGTGGTGGTACTAAGAAGTTGTAGGTGTATCCCGGCAGCTCTAACGTATAGGTGAATGGGATTCCTACAGCACGAGTCCAGTCTCTTGATGTGCCTGTGGTGTAATATAGTGTTTGCGCTGCGTTGCCTACAATGTAGCTTTTGGCTGACGGCAATTTTAATTTGTCGATTGCTTCAGCCATTTGCACACCGGCGACTTGTAACATTAGACCATTGGATGGTAGCGTACCTGTGACAGTTAATTTATTATTACTGTCTTAGCTGTTTCATATGACAAGCCTGTGAAATGTATCTATACTAAAGCTGAAGAGTTTATTTGTTCGTTAGAACGAGCTAATCTTAGGAACTACTGGTTCGAATTGAAATGTTTGTGTTGGTTAGAGCATTTAGCGCGGAGGGCTAATAAAAGCGGAGATACAGCGAGAAAAAAAAGAATGATTCCTCTTTCATGGTTTACAAAAAAGTCCAGGGCGCTATACGTCTATATTTTAAGATTTACTTGCCAGAACGACGGGAAGGGACGCGACCGACGTCGTGGGTAACAGCATAAGTTTATAAAGATGAAGGGGTTTGCAAAAACGAATGTGGCTGCCCAAAATATATATTCTTAACAGGCGAAGTCGCTGAAACGGCTAGTGTTAAATATACAATGTTGTTTAAAGATATACAAACCATTGTTTCCCCAAGCATATAAGAACATGCTGCCGAAACTATGCGCAGATATGTATAGGCGAATTCTATCCAGATGTGTCAATATAGCGTCTCTAATAATCCGTATTTCTGGTTCCGAAAACGGAGTGGGTCCTTCATATATGATGGAGCACGGGTCCAAACTACCCTCTCTTGTCCCGAAGTAATGGTCAAAGTTGCGGTTTCCATCGACTCCTGGACATTCTTCGCTTCCTTTGTGGGCTTTCGAACGAGTTTTGCGCCACATACGATCCTTGAAAATCATAATTATAATCAGAATGATATGTCGGTTAAATTCTTCATCAAAAGTTATTTATACTCCGGTGCTAATATTATGCTCGTAGCAACTTTGGCATTTAAAAGTTTGAATAAACCTTAAATTTCATTAATTAGAGAAGTTTTAATGATAACGTCGAACGGATTTGTATATGGGGGGGGGGGGGGGGGGGGGGGGGGGGGGGGGGGGGGGGGGGGGGGGGGGGGGGGGGGGGGGGGGGGGGGGGGGGGGGGGGGGGGGGGGGGGGGGGGGGGGGGGGGGGCCGGGGGGGGGGGGGGGGGGGGGGGGGGGGGGGGGGGGGGGGGGGGGGGGGGGGGGGGGGGGGGGGGGGGGGGGGGGGGGGGGGGGGGGGGGCCGGGGGGGGGGGGGGGGGGGGGGGGGGGGGGGGGGGGGGGGGGGGGGGGGGGGGGGGGGGGGGGGGGGGGGGGGGGGGGGGGGGGGGGGGGGGGGGGGGGGGGGGGGGGGGGGGGGGGGGGGGGGGGGGGGGGGGGGGGGGGGGGGGGGGGGGGGGGGGGGGGGGGGGGGGGGGGGGGGGGGGGGGGGGGGGGGGGGGGGGGGGGGGGGGGGGGGGGGGGGGGGGGGGGGGGGGGGGGGGGGGGGGGCCCCCCCCCCCCCCCCGGGGGGGGGGGGGGGGGGGGGGGGGGGGGGCGGGGGGGGGGGGGGGGGGGGGGGGGGGGGGGGGGGGGGGGGGGGGGGGGGGGGGGGGGGCCCCCCCCGGGGGGCCCGGGCGCGGGGGGGGGGGGGGGGGGGGGGGGGGGGGGGGGGGGGGGGGGGGGGGGGGGGGCGGGGGGGGGGGGGGGGGGGGGGGGGGGGGGGGGGGGGGGGGGGGGGGGGGGGGGGGGGGGGGGGGGGGGGGGGGGGGGGGGGGGGGGGGGGGGGGGCCCGGGGGGGGGGGGGGGGGGGGGGGGGGGGGGGGGGGGGGGGGGGGGGGGGGGGGGGGGGGGGGGGGGGGGGGGGGGGGGGGGGGGGGGGGTGGGGGGGGGGGGGGGGGGGGGGGGGGGGGGGGGGGGGGGGGGGGGGGGGGGGGGGGGGGGGGGTTTGTGGGGGGGGGGGGGGGGGGGGGGGGTTTTTTTTTTTTTTTTTTTTTTGGGGGTTGGGGTGGGGTTTGTTTGGGGTTGGGGGTGGGGGGGGGGGGGGGGGGGGGGGGGGGGGGGGGGGGGGGGGGGGTGGGGGGGGGGGGGTGGGGGGGGGGGGGGGGGGGGGGGGGGGGGGGGGGGGGGGGGGGGGGGGGGGGGGGGGGGGGGGGGGGGGGGGGGGGGGGGGGGGGGGGGGGGGGGGGGGGGGGGGGGGGGGGGGGGGGGGGCCCCCCCCCCCCCCCCCCCCCCCCCCCCCCCCGGGGGCGGGGGGGGGGGGGGGGGGGGGGGGGGGGGGGGGGGGGGGGGGGGGTTGGGGGGGGGGGGGGGGGGGGGGGGGGGGGGGGGGGGGGGGGGGGGGGGGGGGGGGGGGGGGGGGGGGGGGGGGGGGGGGGGGGGGGGGGGGGGGGGGGGGGGGGGGGGGGGGGGGGGGGGGGGGGGGCCCCCCCCCCCCCCGGGGGGGGGGGGGGGGGGGGGGGGGGGGGGGGGGGGGGGGGGGGGGGGGGGGGGCCCGGGGGGGGTTTTTTTTTTTTCCCCCTTTTTTTTTTTTTTTTTTTTTTTTTCTTTTTTTTTTTTTTTTTTTTTTTTTTTTTTTTTTTTTTTTTTTTTTTTTTTTGGTTTGGTTTTTTTGGGGGGGGGGGGGGGGGGGGGGGGTTTTTGGGGGGGGGCCCGGGGGGGGGGGGGCCCCCCCCCGGGGGGGGGGGGGGGGGGGGGGGCTCCCCCCCCCCCCCCCCCCCGGGGGGGGGGGGGTGGGGGGGGGTGGGGGGGGGGGGGGGGGGGGGGGGGGGTTTTTTTGGGGGGGGTGGGGGGGGGGGGGGGGGGGGGGGGGGGGGGGGGGGGGGGGGGGGGGGGGGGGGGGGGGGGGCCCCCCCCCCCGGGCCCCCGCCGCGGGGGCGGGGGGGGGGGGGGGGGGGGGGGGGGGGGGGGGGGGGGGGGGGCGCGGGGGGGGGGGGGGGGGGGGGGGGGGGGGGGGGGGGGGGGGGGGGGGGGGGGGGGGGGGGGGGGGGGGGGGGGGGGGGGGGGGGGGGGGGGGGGGGGGGGGGGGGGGGGGGGGGGGGGGGGGGGGGGGGGGGGGGGGGGGGGGGGGGGGGGGGGGGGGGGGGGGGGGGGGGGGGGGGGGGGGGGGGGGGGGGGGTGGGGGGGGGGGGGGGGGGGGGGGGGGGGGGGGGGGGGGGGGGGGGGGGGGGGGGAGACGCAGGGAAAAAAATTTTTTTTTTTTGGGGGGGGGGGGGGGGGGGGGGGGGGGGGGGGGGGGGGGGGGGGGGGGGGGGGGGGGGGGGGGGGGGGGGCCCCCGCCCCCCGGTTTTTTTTTTTTTGGGGGGGGGGGGGGGGGGGGGGGGGGGGGGGAAAGAGAAAGGGGGGGGGGGGGGGGGGGGGGGGGGGGGGGGGGGGGTGGGGGGGGGGGGGGGGGCCCCCCCCCCCCCCCCCCCCCCCCGCGGGGGGGGGGGGTCCTCTTTGTTTTTTTGGGGGGGGGGGGGGGGGGGCGGGCGCGGGTGTTTTTCCCGGGGGGGGGGGGGGGGGGGGGGGGGGGGGGGTTGGTTTTTTTTTTTTTGGGTGGGGGGGGGGGGGGGGGTTTTTTTTTGTGGGGGTTTGGGGGGGGGGGGGGGGGGGGGGGGGGGGGTGGGGGGGGGGGGGGGGGGATAAAAAATTGCAAGTTAGAACTTGAGTCTATATATCTACTATCGTAATCTTTATCTAGAAGCCACAGGTTTTTTTTTACCTTTTTTGGTTAACTTTGGCTTCTATATAACCGTTAAATATCGTTACATACGTTATAGTAAAATCTAAATAAAATTATTTTTAATAAAAACACGTGCATTTTAAATCTATGTCACTCACCTTGGTTACAGAGAGTTTACAAAATCTTATCAAGCATCGGAATAAATATATTTAAACAATTGTAAATTAGACTAAAACATTTCGCGTTTTAAACGGTTAAATGTGTAGTACTTGCGTAAACTACAGACAGTACGTGGTTTATCAAATTATACCGTTAATACCCAATTTGAATATTATAAAAGCTTTACTTAGACAATTAGTTGCATAGATAAACGAATGACACATTTGTTATCAACCGTTTATCAAAATTACTGATATATTCTAACAAAATATTATGCAAACCTCTTTCATGGAGTAATCATATCCATCAGGATTAGCCATAGGCAAGATAATCCAGTCAATGTTTTCAACAAGATCTTTGTCCGTTACGTCGACAACCAATTTGTGAATGAGATACAAAGCTACTGGTGGCGTCACCCACTCTCTGGCATGGACTGCAGCGTCTATGAAAATCACTGGTTTATACAGTACTTCGAATCTGGTAGTAGATATCCTGACGTATTTGATCTGCTTTCCTTCATAACTTAAGCCGGCATTTATCACTGTCACGAGGTCTGGATATTTCTCAGCCAAAGAATCTAGATAATCGTTAATCTATAAAGAGAAAAGGTATATAATATATGTAAGATTGAGGTATGACTATCATAAATTAAGCCATATATAACATAATTTATAATGACAAAATCATTTTATTAGACTTGATGACGTTTCACTAGAGACAGTGGTCGGCAGACCTAGACGACTCCGTACCAAAATGCCTCGTGCGGCTTATACGTGTCACCTGCGTATAGTATGGCTGTCCCGTTCTATTCCGAACTACCCACGCTCATATACATAAAAAATTTTAAAAATTTAAATTTTGCTACTAAAACACAATTTTACTTCTTGGTATCCATAATATTGATCCCAGGACATTGAACTGTTGTCGCTTTTGGTTCTAGATTTTTGTTCACTGATTTGAGAATCTTCTTCGCGGAGTATTCTGAAATTTTGCAAATGCATTTTAGCTTTAAAATAATTTCGCTTAAAATTTTGACGGCCTCGTTGGTATAATGGTAGCAATGTACGGTTAATAATCAAGGGGTCGTCGGTTCAAACCCAACCGGGTCCAACATTTACTAATCAATTTATATATTTTTTTAAACATGTTGGACTTCGTCTGGAATTCTGGATATTTAAATGGATGGTAAGGATATGGCAATTCTGTCCGGGTCACGAATCACCATCCACAGATGAAAAAGCGGTGAAGTTTAATCACGTTTCGGTTTCAGCTTGTGGATTTCCGAATATACAAGGCAAAATAGGGCGACAGCGTATCTTGGTTAGATGCTATAGGCTGAGATATCCTATCACCTATCATCAAGTAAACCCACCCACCCAGAAATCACATGATGGCATTACATAAATTCAAAGTTGATTGCAAATAAAAAAAAGACGAAACGGGAGGAATTTAAGCTGTATCTGGCTCCAAGTCAAAACTTTTTTACAATTTCGCTTCAGATTATACGTACATATATACTTACTCAGCTAAATTATCAGCGACCAATAAATAATGCATATCTTTTGAAGTAAAATAATTGAGCCATTGTTTTCTCTCGTCCGGCGATAAACGTAGCAAGATTTCCAGTTGGCCAGTCTTTGAAGCTGCTGAGGTTGATAGGAAGTCGAGATGCGATTCTAAATGTTCGAATTCCTTTGATGGCCCAGTCACTTTGTACAGCTGATGGCTGTTACATAATCAACATAAATTAATTAATCGTAGCTTATTACCTTGTGTATCTAATCTATTTTTTAAAATTTAAAATACATTTATTGTTATTTAACATGTATTTATGAATACAAGTAATATTTCTCAAGAAATAATGACATTGTTAAGAAAATGATAGACGGTCGATGATGGTCGATTTTATGAAGAATCATTATCATTATTTATTGGTGAAAATAGATTTAATAGTAACGAGTTATTTACCCTTCATATTTTTCATGTCGTCCATAGACGCAACCCACAAGGAAAAGGAAACAGATCACTAAACGTGCCATCATCACTAGCGACTAAAAAGGGGAACTCGTCTTATAGCCTTCTGTTTTTCATATTATCTGGCGCGGATTACCATTATCGGTAAAATAATTTATAGCCAAGATGAGCCGATTTAAAAAATAAAAATTCGAGAAACTTTTATTGCATTTATTTGTGTTATCAGTAATTGGGTATATTTATGTTCCACATTATCAATATTAAAGGATGAAAAATTAAAAAAAGTGCCACAGTACTAATATTAAGTAGACCATACGGTTGTTTAATATGTTTCACATGTTATTGTACATGATGGCACTATATTTATATAGACTACATATACTATATTACTTAATATTATTATTGTGGCACATATTTTTCCATGAGGATTACCAAAAGACATTTTAACAGTAATGCTTGGTAGGAACCTTTAAACAAAAACAGCGAAGAAATAAATATTTTTTTGCTTATATCCTTTATTGTAGCCCTCCGTAGTGTAACAACATCAATTGTAAATAGACCGAGCATACCGCGCTCCAGCAGCTAAACCGGCGTAAGTTTCAACCACTACGTGGTCCAGGTATTCGGGGGGTAGCATGAATGCATACATGTACCCAGGAAGCTCCAAGGCATAAGTTAATGGAATGCCAATAGCACGAGACCAGTCCATAGAAGTGCCAGTGGTGCGGTAAATAACTTTAGCAGCATTACCAACAATATAACTACGAGCTTGCGGCAATTTCAACTCGTCCATAGCCTGAGCCATTCGTACACCAGCAGTATGCATCATTAGACCATTAGAAGGTAATGTCCCTGAAAGATAAAACCAGCCATCTTACTTTTATATTATTTGTATAAAAAACAATATTAGTAAATGTATATTGTTTTTTATTTAATTTTTACAACTTTTTTTATCAGGCCAGTTTGAAAACCAGCACTGGTATAAAAGAAACATTGTACAGCATATAGCTAAGACTGTTACCTCTTCGTAAGTGTGATATTAACAGCTGTACGTATTTATATTGAATTTGTAAATAATTCTATAATTTGCATAAGCATTGAAGAAATAGAAAAAAGAAATTATGATTTAAATTTACAAAAAGTGTTTTATAGTGAAATTTAAATTGCTAAGATAAACAACCTAGTTATAGCTTACTCACCATTATTTCCCCAAGAATATAAAACAAGATTTCCAAAACTGTGGGCAGAAATATACAGCTTGATTTTATTTAAATGCTGATAAACTGCATCTCTCACAACTTTTGTCTCCGGTTCAGAAAACGGACTGGGTCCTTCATACGCGATGAATTTACAAGGATCGTCGGATCCAGATCCTAATGACCCGAATTCGAAATCAAAGTTACGGTTAGCATCGACGCCTGGGCACCTTGCTCCGCCAGGGTGATTCGTGGAACGTGTATTACGCCACATACGATCCTGAAAGTTAATTTGTAACAATTTTCCATGATAACATGCTTATCAATTATAATAAGTCCATCCAAAGTGAAAAATACTGATTGAATAAAACTATTTTTGGTTTTTGTTTTTTTAACACTGATAACTAATTTAATTACAAGAAGATACTTCACAACTAACTAATTTAATTATAACAAATTATCTAAGTCAATGCGCTGCAAATATGATGTCGATTTACTTTTCAACAATTATGGAACGATCGTGTCCAGATGTTTTAAATGATGCAATGCCGTTTGTGATTTTTGTGTATTCAATTAATGTAATTGGGTATATAAAAAAGGCTTTAGCTGTTTTAGTTGTAATAAATAATAATAATAAAGTCCACCCAGACAAGGGATGCCCCTCAGCTAAATCTCTCGAGAAGTAGGTGGAAGACAAAATTAAAAGAACGAGAAAATACATTACCTCTTTCATTGAATAGTCATATCCATCGGGATTAACCATGGGAATTATCACCCAATCGAAATTCTCAACCAAATCCCTATCAGTCACATTGACGACTAGTTTATGTATCAGGTAAAGTGCCACTGGCGCTGTCACCCACTCCCTAGCATGAGCTGCAGCTTCAATAACAATTACTGGTTTGGAGAGTTCTTCAAAACGTGAAGTAGAAATTCGAACGTATTTTATCTGCCTTCCCTCAAAACTAAGACCGGCGTTAATAACGGTTAGAACTTCTGGATATTTGGCGCCAAGACTATCTAAATAGTCATTTATCTGTAAATAGCGTAGGAGGTTTTTTAATATATATTTAAAAAATGGATCGAATAATAATTCAAATCAATTACATAGTTAAAAATTATGTACAAATAATGACAATTCATACTTCACGGTAATTGTAGTATCTATCCCACGACATAGAATTGTTGCTGCTTGTAGCCTTCGCTTTCTGCGCACTTAGTTTCAATTCTTCATCTCGAATAACACTTAAAATATGATTTATGGTATCATTGTTCAACATGCAATATTTACTTTAGATATTAATTTTGATACAGTTTTATCAATATGTAGCATTAAAACTTACTCTGCTAAATTTTCAGCGATAAGTTGATATTTCATATCCCTTTCATTGAAATAGTGTAGCCAGTAGTTTTTCTCATGAGGAGCAAGCCGTAGAAGTATTTCAAGTATTCCAGGATTGGGGACTGACTTCGATAAAAAATCTATCCGACTTTCCAAAGATTCAAACTCGTGAGCGTTTCCCGAAACAAGGTAAAGTTGGTGTCTGATAAAATAAATTGTCTGTTTATGTTATTTGTCGTATTGCACATTATCTTCAGCGAAAGAAAATATAGAAATGCAATCATCTTCAAAAACTAAAAATCGATGAAGATTATCGATTCGATTCTTTTTTCATCGACTCCCGATAGAGAATCAAAATTGAGAAAATGTGTGCAAAAAGCAATAATCACCCTTCATATTTCTCATGGCGACAGAAGACGGCTCCAACAAGCAGGAGGATACAGATGGCTCGCTCCATCTTTACCTACCTTGCACAGAACAATAAGCAAATATCTTCCTTTCCTATCATTAAAATAATTATTCCTATCATATTTTGCCAACAATATTAATCTGATTATTGATTTTCCTGTAAAATCGATAATTGATAAAAACGATAATACTTACCGTTTGGTTATTAATCTTTATTGATTGGATACCTCAGTCAGGGGTTTCCTGTATTCGAATGTGTGTTATGGCAATAATCCATCATATTACATCATTATATAGATACTGTTAAAATGTTATATAAGAATTTTGCTTATGAGGAATGCTGATTTCGTAGTGCACAACTGTCACCAAATAAACAAAGATGTGAAGTCATAGCCGTGCTTCTTAGCTTTACGTCCGTCTTCAATTGTTAATAGGTACTTTGTTTGATTAAGCTCTTTTTCATAAAATATCCATTGGACCCAACATGCTTCAACATTCACTGTTATTATATATATGTTATTATCAGCTGATCCAGAAATATATGTCTATTATATACTTTAATTAATTTTGCTGTTCGAGACGAACAACTCGAGCATACCGAAGACCCACGAAAATATGTCTAGCTTTTCTTAAGTTTTGTTGTAACAATTATGACCATGTTTGATATACAAAAAAATATATATTTTAATTTACTACTACACATTGTTGAGCTACAGCCATAAACACGTACTAAACAACGTATGAAAAATATATTAATTTGCGTAAAACTGTATTTATTTGTTAATCTATATATAATGTATAATCCGATCTTTAAAACTTAATGCGTATTGTAAATCGAGAGACAATATTTTTTAATATCAATATAATACTGTTATTGATAAAATGATAAGAGATATGAATAGGGAATTCCAGATAATATTCCTCATCACAAAATTAAAATACATTTTTTTAGTATGCCAGTGTTAACAAAATAGAAGAATAATATTAACGCTTCACAAAGTTCTGTAAAATAATTAGAGAGCTAATTTTAATATTAAATCTTACAATACTCCACTCATACAACATTGCTTTCAGAAGCTCTTTTTGAAATATCTCTGCGCAAATCGTTTCCAATGTGTCCGAATATATCTTTGAAATCCTTTATGCCACCAGGCGTATATTAAAGGATTTAAAGCACTATTTAAAAATGCCAATGCCGCTAACGGCCCCGCGAGTAGTAGACGAAGGTGTAAGCATTTTCTGTTGTTCTCCTTATCTTCACAGAGCACGTAGAATATAACAGTCATGAAGAAGGGCATCCACGTACAAATAAAACTTCCACTTGTAAGCATTACAATAGTTATCGCCCGCCACTTTGTAGCTTCCTTTCTTTTAACTCTTTTGCTAGTTTCATGTATTTCATTCGATTCAGTAACAATAGTGAAGTTACTTCCATCTGTAACACTAACGTTAGTAGAGCATAGACTATTACCAGACACATGTTTATGAAGAGGATTGGTTTGTATTCTGTTGTCTTTATTCATATCATCTACTAATGTGTTTTTGATATTTAGATCGCTCAAACTTTTGGATTTATTTGTTTGATCACATTGATCATCACGAACAATTTCTTCAGATGAATTTGATGCTATACTATGTCTTACGTTAAATTGCTTTGTATTTTTGACCGGTTGTATTGTAGGATTCCCATTACCTCGGTAAACCCTCAATGAAGTTGAATTCGCTGATTGCACCTGATTGATTGATGCATTTATTTTTCTGACATTCTTTAGGGCACTAATTAAAATGATTGTGTATAGAACAGCAACGACCGCTATTGGAACGATGCTTAAAAAAGAGTTAAGAAGAACCAATGGTCCTGGGAAAACTGCAACATAGTAGCAGTTTCCATTATCATCACGATTATGCAGTCCAAAGATGGGTAGAAATCCAAGAATAATTCCTACAAACAAAAAAAGCCATGAAATTTGTAGCGTAGGGAAAATATAGTAAAAGATGATTCTTCTTACCAATAAACCAGACGAATATGATACTGATTCGAACTTTAGAGGTGTTGACCCAGCGCTGGTAATGCAAGCCGTGTAAGATGTAAATATAGCGGTCGACAGCAATTAGGCCCACACTGAATATTGAAACCATTGCGGGGCAGACTAACATACCTGTTAAAATAATAACCGTTCTGTAAGGAGTCTCTTTGTGTAGCCTTCTGGAGTTTCACAGTATTTTGTGTAATTATCTATTACTTTCTGTATTATTATTAATGATTTACGATTGATATTGGCTCGTAAAAATAAGGTGATTCTGTAAATTGAGCTCAGTGTCCCTTTCGAGATACTGGATTTGATTAACCATAAAATACAATCGAAGTGGAATTTCAACATATATTTTTAATTTTTGACTAAACAATACGTTTAATTCCTTTTCCACCTGTGTCCTCTCTCATTGATTATTACTGACATATATCATTATGATTAGTTGAAGTTCACGAAGAAGTTTCATATTAAAATTAGTTTGCTACAGTTTTGGTAACAATCGTTTAGAACTTCTAAAACCAGCGTCGGGTGGCGTCTAAAGGAAACCTGCTAATGCTATTGAGAAAAATACAAACCTAATTCGATGAAGCATAATGTACTCGATGTTATAGGATCTTTAAAGCTGAACCCAATTAGCATAGATATTCCAATGATGGTGTCAGCAAGCGAGACGTTTCCGAGAAGAATGTAAGTACTTTTCGGTTGCTGACCTAAAATGGAAAAATGACATATTGTGTATATTTTTGACAACTTTAATATTTTTCACATGGCATTGCACATGATGGCACTATATATATATATTAAAAACCGAAAATAAATTGAGCTATCAAGTCCTCGACTGGACTCGGTAGCTCAAGTGGTCAGAACGTTGGTGATGTCGGTTCAAGTCCTGTCCAAGTCGTAAATTTTTCATTTTTTTTCGATTTTTAATTTATGTAGATATATGTTTTATACGTTATTATTTTTCGTTATAACCTTACGCAAATCTATGATTTGGTATACATAGAGATATAAATAAAGTCATAACATATGTATTTCTTATTTGTCTTGTTATCACGTTGTTCTTGCGATGTTTTGAAACAAATCAATGTCGATAATTTTTCGATCGATTATGTCATTAATAAAAATATTTCAAAATACTACAGAGTTTCTAAATGGAACGATTTTAATTATTTTCCATTTATTGATTAGATATGCCATCAAGGCGTCTGTCCGATGTAGCCTTGTTTCATCATGTAAATAAAAAATAATATAAATGAAATAAAAATAGAGACAAAAAATGTTCAATAAGCAGAATAATTCTATTTTCGTACAAGCTCAACAAAACTTTAAGAAGCAATTATGAGAAGCGAGGCTTTGCAAATAACAAACACGTTAGAGTTTTGTCAACATCAACATTCTTTAATACAAGCCACATAAATATGTTTTTATCATAAACGGTTTTTACTGAGTTGTAGGTATATTGTTACTATGTATTGGGCTACAAATGAAATATTAAGCTAATTGATATTTAAGCAAAGTAATGATAATTGATTTTCGAATTAAGTATTTTTCTTTAGTATTATTTTGATTGATTGTTTTAGGAATTTTTCGGATGTAAAGATCGTATTCTTTCCTATTGTGTTTTAGCCTTCGCACCTTTGTGATAATCAGCAATTTATATTTGAGTAAAGAACATTAGTTTTGTTCATACATCTAACGATATATATACGACAATACCCTATAGTAACAGAAAAATACGTGGCGCAAAGTTTAGTTACAGACATACTTTTAAGCTTTTAATGATCAATGTGAAAATTGTAATAAATATAAGGGTAATAATATTATAAAAAACACTAATACATATATAAAGCTGATGAGTTTGTTTGTTTGTTTGAAGAAGCTAATCTAAAAAAATCTTATTGTATTAGCGTATTTACCGAGGAAAGCAAACTATTCTACGCGAACGGAGTCGCGTAGAATAGTTAACTAGTTATTAATAAACGCCTCCTCGCTGCTTAAGTCAAGATGCAAAATACATAATAATTTGGTGGTACTTATTTTTAACACTAATAAAAATGACGTCATTAGACCTTTTCTTAAGGTATTATACTATGTACTTAAATTATTTTTCATACCCTTTTTGAGAATCAAACCGCTGGAGATGACGACAGTGATATTACTTAGTAAGATCAGTAGACCTACAGAACAAGCTACTGGTCTGTAAGCTACAAACTGTTGAAGTTCTCTTATGGTATATTCTTGCAATAACGAAGTAGAATTAAACACTTCACTTCCATTTGTGTCATTATAACTTTTAGAGGTTACGTTAGAACTGAGAGCCATATTATTATACGTAGTTATTACTACTCGTTTTTAATAAAATGACAGACATGTCTACTCAGTAAGCGAATTGATGTAAAACTACAGTTTACTTTGTATGTAGTTACAAAAATACTCCCCTTAAAGGCAACAATAATGGCTTGAGTCAATTTACATATAAGATCTTGGGTAATCGTGTTTCTTTGGGGTTCGGTAATGAACTAAAAAAATATTGTTAATGCGAATGTTTTATTTTTAGGACCATTAATAATTTATTTTTATGGGAAATGGAAACAGAGCTCCGGTATTTCATGTTTGTTACATATTTATTTCATTTAAAACAGTCGCTATTTTTTCTTTTAAATCCGATGTAACATTGATAAAAAAATTGTGACGATGATTATACGTTTACATGTATCATGTTCAGAACCAAAGAGGTTTAATAACTCTTTATTGCGCAGAATCTTTTCATCTTAAGAATCTTGTTAAGCTTAATGATCAACTTCAAATTGTGTGACTTGAATATGAAATCGGCAATAGGTAGGTTAAATATTATATGTCTACAAAGTATGTCCTACTTTCATGCATAATGATTTACTAATAAATAATTTTTCAGATAAGTACAATTATTTTATTTTGATTTATTGAAATAATTTTAGTGTCAGTTTATTTGTGCGTTGTGCTTATTTTATGAAGTAATGTGAATCCTACTAAATACATGAAAGGCAATCGAAAATTACAGATTTATTTCACTGGGGATAAATCAGTCTAGACTCTAGAACAATAAAATTATTAAGATAATTGCGATGCCGGAAATGGCAATAACAGTATATCTGTGGTTTTAACTTAGAGTGACAGTAGTAGTAGACAACTGACAATTGACAATCAGTTTGTTTTGATTTTAAATATTACATTTAATTCTTAAAAATCGAAAATTATTCTTCCTAGAATCTAAGAAAATTAATGTTACCTTAATAATTGTTTGATTAAAAGTCAAGCAATGCTGCATTTATCATTTTTGAAACAGTTCACGCGGTATGTTATACACATAATTATTGTATAACCTCTCATAACTATTACCCAAGAATAAAAATGTTTTTACTGAATTCCTCTCAAACTTACAGGTTAGCAATTGGATCTGCTAAGGTTCAGCCCCTTAACTCGAAAAATATTTGCACAACCGCTGTATTGCCATTTAAAATCAGTGATCAGTTATGGTACGTACTTCTAATTTTGTCTCGAATCATCATTTATCAAGACATCCGATGTTTAAGGATTTTTTTTTAAATAAAATGGCATTAACAAGAAATATAAACGCAAATAATTAGTAACTTGGTTTGTTACAAGTATCAAGTACCCTTTATAATTTATTCTTTCAGGGCAGAACCAATGAAGAAGAAAAAGAAAATGGATCCAGCCATAGTAAAAGCTAGAGAGGAAAGAAGAAGGAAAAAAATTGAAAAACAGATTCGAAGATTGGAAAAGAATGCCAAACAGTTAAAACCTATAGATGAATTAGAACCACCATTACATGTCCTTGATAACTTGAAGTAAGTCTAAGATGTCATTTAATTACCATATTGTACAACTTCATCAGCTACTTAATAGTAATATTTAAAATCTTATTGAAAACTTGATAAAAATTTTGACCTACTTTCTAAAATGTACTGAATTTACTTGGGTTGCTACGGCCAAGCATTCACCATAGCTGTGAAATGTAAAACTAGATCTAGAGTTGGTTATAAGTCTATGCTTTTACTTTGTTAATTTTATTTTCTGTTTATTTACAGTACACGCAAACGCATACCTGTAGTCTTGTCTCCTGCGGAAGTAGAAGCCCGAGCTCTGTTAAACAAGGAATGGTGTAGATATAAACGACAAGAGTACATGGCTAATGTCGCTCAAGTTGATAGAATAATGCGGGCACAGAAAAGAGCTTTGGATCAGTTATATGAAGTGTCAGAGGATTTATACAATGAAGCTATTATGGTAATTATTGCTTTTTGATAGGCTTGAAGTATTAACTACTTTAGACGCAGTCAACCTTCTGCATTTTATGGTAACTGATTTAGTAATCATAGACTTAAATGGTGTCAATGTTTTTATTATCAATATTTTTTCTGTCAATATTTTTTCTGAAAAACAGGTGACTAAACCTGAAAAACAGGTGACTAAAACAGGTTTAGTCACCTGTTTTTCAGAAAAAATATTGACATTGAAAAATATTCAGTGTCTTTTTTAATTGAAATTTTTTAAGAATTATGGCTCAAATTAAAAAAGAGTAATACCTCTTATAATAATTTAATTATAATTACTTGTCCCTTTGCAGAAGACTTAGAAGCCAGCCAAAGCGATAATTCAAAATAAAACAGTGATGTTTTTTGATTTTGTTTCAGCCTGACTTACAACTAATACCTTATAGTATTGTTGGACCATATGCAACACCACCAATCAAGAACTACGATTCCCCAGATGGGGAGTATATAGATGTTTCCAAAAAGTGGGGTAATTGAGGAGTGGCAAAGAAGTACAATAATAGCAGTTTCTAGCAAATACATTTTTAACTCATTTAAATGTGTTTTATTAATTATTTTAATTAAATAACTCATTTCAAACAATCAATCTCTATGGAGTCTCTATGTAGAAATAGTTTTTAAACATAGTTTTTGCTTTCTACTTATTAGATAAAAGTAATATATAAAAATATTCGAGAAAGACAGCAGCCATAACCCATTTGTCTGGCTTGCATACAGTTAAACCTGATCATTTACTTGACGAATACCTTGAGAAAGGTTAGCACTTAGAAATGGAGGGAATTCTAACTGTGTCTTCAGTATTTTACATTATATATACATTGTAATACAATAGGTTTCTTTTTATATATCTTCAGTAGGATCGCTATGTTGATAGATTTGCGTAGTTTCAGAAAATGAAATAAATATGGTGGTACTGGAACACGACGTGTAGCCAATGTAATATTAATATTAAAAGCCCGATAGGCATGTGTGTCTTGATTAATCATGTAGGATATTGCTACATTGTATTGTGTTTTCGGCCAATATCGTTAATAAAATCATTCAAGAGTGAATTTTTCAATTTTCATTCATTCAATTTCATGCCCGACAAATTCATTTTGATTATTACAATTCAATTATAATTTATTTCTTAGTACACAATATTTTATTTAAAGGACATGTCTTGAATACATAATTCCATCGCTAAAATTATTATTATGATTATATTTAGGAATCATGTGAGATATTTTAATTTTATGAAAGTAAGTAATTGTTAGATATTTTTAGGCAATCGATGATGATGATTGATTTTTTGAGGCTATACCATTTTTTTCAAACTTAAAAAAAATATCAAAGAGTAAAAATGCAACGCGTATGTAAATGCGTACTTAATGTAAAACATACTTTAGTATACAATAAGTGCAGGCAGATTTGGTTTTAACTTCTTACTAAAAACACTTTATTGTTCTATAGAAAAATATCGCTGTCCTAACTTTTTGACGTGTAATTAAAAACTGTTTCCAGTGTACATAGGACCATTGACAATAATTTCCATAATGGCGTTACATATTTCAAAGTCTACGAAATGGCCTGACCCTTTTAAAGATGAAGTAGCTTACGTCGATAATCCTATTGAATCTGGATTTCCAGGGCACTGGTTGCCCCTAAGCATAATAAAGAAGATTATGGAAATGCGAGTTCTGACATTGGCTTCGGAAGCTACCCAACGACCAAAGCCAACTTTAAAAATAGTGAAATTAAAGTTACACGTTACTACACGACACAAGAAGACTAATCGGAAAACAGCTCGACAAGTTTTGAATGATATTACTTCAAAAATGACGTCAACTAAAGATGTCACGACACAAACGATATCACGGTGTACAAGTGCTAGTAGTACAAAGGGATATACTTCTGTAGTAGAGAGGAGTTCTATCCCAGAAACATCACGTTTATCGTCTTCAACACAAAATGTTTCTCTAACAACGCAAGCAACATCAGTGTTTTTTACAAATGCGTCAACTGTTAAAGTTCTACCAGTAAAATCCACAACAGTACCTTCCTCGTCAATAACACCAAAGATGTTGTCAACATTAACAACAACTACAGCACCTACAGCGACAGCGGCGGCTACGACTACTACGCCCCGAACTACACCAACAACCCGGGTATTAACAACGACGACACCGAAAATTTCAACAACAGCGTCGGATGCAACAACAACAACATCATTCCCGACAACGACAACACCGTTACTCACAACAACAAGAGCGCCGGAAACAACAACAACATCATTCCCCACAACGTCAGCACAGTTACAGACAACAATAACAGCGCCGGAAGCAAAAACACCTACATCAGTCTCGACAACGACAACACCGTTACTAACAACAACAACGAAAACAACACAGACGACGTCGACTACTACTACTACAGAAACTGGAAATCCATTTTACTAGCCTATTATTTTGATATTTAATTATATGAAAGAAATCGTCAGGTCGTATTTTATTGAATTTTGTTGTATCAATGTTAGGAGCTACGTACTGGCAAAACAGTAAAGCCTTCAACAAGAGAAAATAATAACCCGAAAGTTTTTGAGGTTTGAACACGCATTTACCTAACTAAAACAATAAAAAACATAATAATGAAAATTAACAGAAATAAATATATGCCATATTATAAATGATATAATATGTTTCTAGTAGTAATATAAATAATAACTAGTAACGTAACACAAACTTATAGATATCATAACAGAAAACGAAATTGGCATAGATTATAAAAGGTTATAAGTAATTATGTGTGGGTTTATTGTTTATTACATTTTTATTGTACTACTGTACTGTGTTAGCACAATAGAGTATACAACAAGTACTCGCGTGAAAAATCCAAAATATTTCCTGAATTTTCGTTATTGCCAACATAGTTCAGCAAACTAGAGCCGATTGCAAAGGTCATTAGGTAAAACCGAACAAAGTTACAGATTCCAGTTCATTAGTGATGCGTAGAACAAAGCAAATGCCGTAATGAGTTCACTAGTTCAAACGAGCTCCCATAACGGCCATTGTGATTAGATAAATCTACCCGTGTGTATATACACGGAATGTATTTGACTACGCGAAAAAGTGTTACAATATAGATTCGATGAGTTATAAACTTTTATATATGATAGTATAGGACAGACAAGCAGGGGTCTCACTTGGTAGGTAGGAAGTCAAAGTACGCTAGCCATATGTGATCTCAACAAGATACGCTGTCGACCGTTTTTGGCTTTGGATATTCGGAAACCGAAACGTGATTAAACTATACGAACTTATATACTGTCTATAGTTTACGCGAGTAGTACACATTTAAATAAGTCTCCCCGTGACCACGGCTGCTGCAAAGCATCCGAATCGTCGGGCCGAAGTTAAATATCATTTTCAAATAAGTTTAACTAATATATCGCGTTTTAAACCGTTAAAGTGTTTTATTTATATACGAACTTATTATCGAATGATATCGTGATCCAGACGGAATATCGATTCTTACCACCAGGTGAAGTCTTGTTTAAGATAAAATACAAATTGATCAGAAATATGTTGGACCCGAAGGGGCTCGAACCCACGACTCGTTGAAGGCATACATTGCTACCATTACACCAACGTCCGTCAAAATTTAGCCTATAATATTAATATACACATAAAAGATTAATTAGAACCTATTCCTAAAATTTGCGCAATCAAACAAACAAACAAACTCTTCTGCTTTATAATATTAGTATAGACAAGCATGTTAGATGTCCTATTTAATAGGAATAGACGTATCATAATACAGACGACAAAATGTTATTTAACGGCTATGGTATTTAGAATTAAGGCTCAGGTTGAAATATGTAATTAAAGGATTTGCAAAAAGGTTGCATAAATTATACTAATTAAAAATTTATCATTACTAGTGCAGTTTGTAAAATCAATGCGCGAAAATTCTTCTTTTAAATTCTGTCAAATTTCTTTTCGCTATACATATACTTGTTAGGTGAATTCTGTTTTATGTTTATTATGAGTAACAAATTAATTCAAAGATCCGTTGGTCACCTCTGTCGTAGATTCGTAAGTACACAATACTTAAACAAATCCTGTGATTATTATGATTAATAAAGTATCACAAATAAAACTCACTAAGTAAACAATTTAGAAAGAAACTGTTAGGGAAAATTTTAATTCACAATAACTTTTACATATATATAGTATTCGTTGTATAAGTTGCTATTTGGGCTTTCAAGCTATTCGGCCATCGTAATAGAGGAATAGTTCTCGACCATCTCAAGTGGATGACATCGTCAGATATATTGCATTCATCGATTAAGAGAGTACCTACTAGAAATAGTCGAGAATCATTTCTCAACTACAGCGGCCGATTGGCTCGAGATTACAAATGATAGTTAGATGCAGTATTTAAGTAAAAGAGTTTTAACAGTTTAAAACGCGAAATATATTAGTTAGCATTTAAAATTAATTTTAGCACCGGCTTGCTGTGCAGCGATGAGCGGGAGGAGTGAAGATGAAGGGCGTCCCTAATGTCTAAGTTATGCTACGCTAGCGCCATCTGTTGCGTCTAATTGGTAGTGATCAGTAGATAAAAAGAATTCTATGTTCTTGTTCACTAACGAAACTTAACAAACAGAGTTATCATCAATCGTTAAGAAAACTGAAGTTATAAAATAATGTTGGTTCTAGAAACATTTCCACCATGAAGAAATAATATAGGCGAATACAAATAACATGCAAGTCACTTACTTGGGAGGCCCTAAATTTAAAAATTACTCAAATAATTTGGGGTTGTTAAAGAGCAAATCATTGAATAGATTTTTAAAAGTACAAAAGCTTTTGTCTATTCTTGTAAGGTATGAACGATGACGTTTTAAATGGGCGAGTAGCTATTTATAGAATTAAAATATTTTTAATTAAAAAAGATGATTTGGTTTCTTTTTTTAATAATCAATGTCAGTTAAGTGTAATTATTAACACCGAGTAACTCCAATTAAACACAATGAATGTAGACTTTTAAAATCGCGTGTCTTTAAGTTACGATAGTTATTTCTATGTACGACGTAAATATATGATAACACCTAACTAAACTTTAAAGCTGTTAATAAATAAATCCGGTGTGGTTTCTTTGATGTAAATCTAATATTATCATTTAAATACCATTAAAATAATTTTATAGCCTCCATAAACATTTATAAGACAGGTTCACCACGCGTGACAAGTATTTGATGTGTTAGAGTGAAAACGATGAATGTTTCGATCTGGTCGGGCAATATATTATACTACTATATAAAGCTGAAGAGTTTGTTTGTTTGAACGCGTTAATCTCAGGAACATAAAAAAGAGTTTAAACTCTTTGTATCGGTAAAAACATTTATCGAGGCTTTAGACTAAAGAACATTGCGCGGTCACTACAAGATGAGAAGAAACAACGGGAGATGTGGGAAAAACGGTTCAAGATTCCCAAAATAAATGTATTGATGAATGATTTCTCTTACAGTATATGTCTATCTTTTAAGATTAACTTGCAAAAACGACGGGACGCGGACGACGTCGTGGGAAACGGCTATAATTTATAAAGATGTAAAAGCCCAAACAACTTTTCTACACAGGCGAAGTCGCTGACACAGCTAGTGAGTCAACAGTTAAATGCCTGTCTCATGAAACAAAGATTTGTACCAACAAATAAAAAAAACAGATAAGTGATAACGCTTCAAATCATCTGAAACGTCGGCTAATTAAATTTAATTAAAAATAAATAAATTACTACATATTTGTTTCAAACAGTTAAAACACTGACTGGCTTATTGGTGTAATGGCATGTATAGCTAATAATCAACGGGTCGGGGGTTCTATGTCCACCGGGTACAATATTTTTCTAATCAATTCATATATTTTATGAAACATGTTGGACTTCGTTTGGTAATCTGGATATTAAATGAGTGGTAGGAATATCCGTCCGGGAATTCACAGATGAAAAAGTCGTCAAGTTTAATCGTATTTCGTTTTCAATCTGTGGATTTCTTAATATCTAAAGCTAAAATACGTCAACCGCGCATCTTCTTTTAGATGTTATACATCAGCCGTATATAATGAGCTATCATAATAAAATTTTTTGAAAATAGATGTTATATCGTTTATTCAAATCATTGCTCGCGGACGAAATTGTTCCCTCCCAAAACGAAAATAAAATCTAGACAAAGAGCTCTGAGACAACCTATCAGCCTATCTCGTCTCCCTTATGAGGTTATTTACGGGGCCATTTGTGTTCCTCATACCTCAGCGTCACGACAGAAATAGTATGTGATTTGTATGCTTCTCTTTTATATCAACGAACGTGTTCTTATAGTTAACACTTCTAACTGTTGCATCTTAATCTTAAGTGTCTTAATCTCATCGTCGTCTAGTGTTAGTAGCTTGGCTAATGATAGGGGTTTGATTCCTACAACATATTATAATTTGATTAGAACAACTCCGTTTGGAAATCTGGGTTGGTGAGTGGGAGGAACATCGAAACTCCGTTAGGGGCACGAATAGGGGCAGACCAAAGATGAAAACGCCTTCGTTTATTGCGATTCGGTCTCAAACTGTAAATTTCCGAATATGGAAAGTCAATATCGGTCGATAGCACATTTTTTTAAATGTATGGCTGGTATTTACACATCCCGTGAGCCCCATTCTAGCCTGTCCTCCTTTATTATAAGAAAAATATAAAACGGCGAACGTCAAAAAGAACAAATTGTTTATTAAAACTTTGGAATGATTCTATTAGTGAGTTGCGTAGGCAAGTGTCACTTTTAATCTTCGCTTTCGCTTTTTACTGACTGCTCGAATCACCATGTAAGCATGGTTTATTAATGTTCGTTTGAAAATTAAAAATAACGAGGTCGAATCATACTGAGTTTTAATTTTAAACAGCATTGATAGCACAAAAACAAAGTAAGCCTATTACTTCTAACAAGCTTGCGTGCGGCCAAAAGGCTGGTTTTAAATTTTGAAATGACAGCTTTTAAAAGAACTAGGTTCCTACATCTTCAATAGGCTTCACTTGACCCGAAAACGTAGGTACGTTTTTACATGCTGAGCTTATAAGTGAAAAACGTCGTTAAAGCAAAGCTAGTTTTAAATTAATGAATCTTAAAATAAGCTTTTGATTTTATAACTTCGCTTACACGAATTTGGATATTATATTTTACGTAAAAAAATCTTGTAAAAGTGATGCATTACTTTACTGAATTAAGTGTGTCATTACTTTTTAATACAAATATACAATTGTTCGATACTTAGTCCCAAAGCAACAAACGACACAATAAAATATAGGTATATAGATATAAAACTTAAAATAAATCTTAATTGAAATGTTTTTATACAATAAATTATATAAATAAAAATCTCTGACAAGGTAGCTCAATCGATTAAAACAGCAG